ATTCATTTTTTATTGAAGGGAGCCTAATGAACTTATTTATGTATAAGTGAGTATTATGCTATAACGAATTATGCATTCAGATTGGTGTATTAATAAAACAAGTTAAAAAAGAAAAAGAGCACCATATTAATTTGGCTAAATACTTTTGTCCATCACTGTATATGTTCTTTTTGGATGGGTGTAGATTTATTATATATATTCAAAATTTATAAACTGCTGAGTAGATATGTCTCAAACATTGAAAAAATATGTAGGGCAGAACCAGTGGCGTAGCTAGAGCCTCGGGGGCCCTGGGGCAGCAATACGAAAAAAAATTTCAACTCAACCCTTAGAATTGCCTAAATAACGTTTGAATTTCCCGCACATATACGGATATCGAGCACTGTTCGACGCGATCAGCTGCTGATGTCTGTGTCAGACTCAGCAGTGTTACCAAGAGTCAAAGTTACTAGAATCAGAAATAAAATTTGTTGTACTCAAACGAAAAAATGTTATTTTATAGACAATCTAATAAAACTACGAAAAAAATTTTCAATTGTTTCACTTTGAAAAAAAATTGTTCAATTTGAAGTATTTTCAGGGGCCCCTAAAGTCTTTGCCGAGGTAAGATTCTTTCAGGGCCAAAAAACGTCCCCCGACGAAAAAAAGGCCCCTGACGAAAAAAGGCCCCTGACGAAAAAAGGCCCCCTACGAAAAGGGGTCCTGGGGCACCGCCCCGCCTGCCCCATGCTAGCTTCGGCGCTGGGCAGAACAGTAACCAAAAATGTCTTATCTATGGGTTGTTACCATTATTTTTAACTTGTAAATGTGAATTTAGACTTGTTAGCTCTGAAGAAATGTACGTACCTTCTGTATCTTGGCACAGTTTCTGCAATTTGATTGTTGGTTCAGCCTGTAAACAACCAATACAATTCTCCAACTCTTGATTAGTTTCATAAACCGGATTTTCAGCAATAGTTTCCATGAAAACATCCACAAATTGCTCTACGATAGTTTTATGAAACCTCACATTAGGCATTATAGTAACAGTAGCTCTGGACACTCTGTCTTTCAGATAAGTAAAATCGCTGGCATTGATTCTTATTATAAATGGCGTCACACCACTTATACTTGACTTAACTTCAATGTTCAAATACTGGGTGTTGCTGTTGTTAAGATGTGTCATCTGGTACGTTTGTGCTTCTGTAACAGCAAGTGTAGCATCTCTTTGGTTCACCACAAATATACTGAGTGGAGTTACTTTCATTAGCCAATTCTCTGTTCCTACTATCTTTACAATTGCACTGGTTTGGATGGAAACTTTGTCTATCCTGTAAAAAATAAATAACTCACCATGGGAAAAGGAATAATTTAACAATATTTTGCAACCTGCACCAAAGGTGATAGCCAGTGATAGCCCAAAAAGGGATTGCACTAAGCTAGTACCATCTATGAGACGATAACTGAACATAAAAATGAAAAGAGCTAGTGTCTGATTCTGCTACTGACTCATAGATGGTGCTCAGATCTTCAATCCCTTCAACTGGCTAAATGAAAATGGGGTATCAAATAAAGGTTATAGGTAGTTGGCCAAAATCCCTCTTACCTTCTGAATTCTGTGTCAATTTCTTGCTTAAGTGCTTTCCAGTCAAGTTCTTCTGTTGCAAATTTGGCAATATTCTTTATTGTTGGATGGTCTATAAAATCATTCTTTACCCAAAAATATATTTGTAAAAATGCTAGTATAGGAAGCATTAGACTGATTGTGGTCAATATTTTCCAAAATTTGTACTCTGAATCAAAGGGAAACCAGTCCTAAAATATATGGAATGTTATAAAATGAACCTTGCACGCTATATGAAACATTGCAGATCGACTTGCCTGTTCATTGGATTCAAGAAGAAAATATAAAACAACGTATCCTAATGGTAAAAGAGAGAATATAAAAAGGTACAAGCAGCTTTTTCGTATATGATACTGGATGAAATTTTCGATTTCAACACCAAGGTACCCACTAAAGAGTGCTGGTATCGTGAGACCAGCCGATACAAATTCCGTAGGTGGATATACCAAGCAAACGCACATTAAAAAGTACACAATTGTAAAAATAAAATCAGTCGACATTTCTGTTGTTACAAATTTATCAAGTTTTTTTTTAAATGTTCCACTTTGTGTTTGAGTTTGAGGTTACGTATAAAGAAATTGTCAAAATGAAAGCTCAGTATCTCCAGCTGTAGTGAAATAAAAATCACCAAAATTTCAGATATTATAGAGATGAGAAAAAATATAAATTAGAATATTAGGTATTTATATTAAGAGAAGTTTTCTCATCTATAGTACGTATATTCTCAGCACAAAATTACCGGCTGTACTATAGGTCATATCGCAAATATTTCATTTCTAATTTTAAAATAAAAGATTAGGATGTAACTTTCACGAAAATATCGTTTTTTCTTTAAGGATCTCTGTGCTTGCTATTTTATAGAACTTTAAAGTTGCATTTTGGGTGTACTGTAGTATAGAATACTGCTTTATAACCTGTTGTCTTCTTGTTTATGCAAAAGATTGTTAAAAATTATATGAATCTAACATACACTGTAAGTTACTGTGACACTGTTCACCGCAATAATGCAATTTTAGAATATTTTAATGATGAACATAGTTCATTGTTAAGTAGTCATTTCTTTTATTTCAGATAATTATTCCCATCACTACACCACCGTCACTGTCATATTCTCTCCATCTAGTTGCGATCATGGATAGTAATATACCTTAATTTGGTTTGCCAAATTCTTACTTATATACCAGCGCAAAAATGTGCAATCGGCACAGGATTGTCATGAAAATGCGATTTGGAGGTGTGTACTAAATCCACCTTGTGCCCTACCAGAACATTATCTAATGAGACTTTTTTTGAAGAATGCCTTATGCCCTTCACAAAAGTACTTTGGTTATTGTTTTTCCTATATTATAGTTATAATCTATTTACTTTCTGTATGTATATACTTGAAAAATCATTTAAAGTGAAGCATATGTTACAAAATATACCTAATTAAATGTGATATATATGAGAAATAACTGAAAAAGTAGCTGTTGCAAATCACTAAATAATGAAAACATACAGAACATTGCATGTTTTTTGATGATTTGATGAAATTATCGTTGATCTTTATTTAACTATAATGTTGGACGATGATATGTTGGGTGGACAGGCGAGGTGGTACAAATCGACGAATCGACGTATTTTTATATGCAATGACCGCTGGTGCCTTTTGTATTTTTTGTCACGTGAGCCGCTGGTGCATTTTCCACTGTTTAGACACATACTGTTCAAAATTTCATCTACTTGTCGGTAAATATTAGGACAAATTTTCAGAAAACAAGCCATTTACAATAAATTAAGACGTTATCTTGCAAATAACCTCATTTCTAATTACGTATTTCTCCTGAAAAAGGTACAACTTGACAACAATGGATATCATTTATTTTATCTGTCAAGAAATGAGCGATGAGCGTTATGAAATGGCCATTGAGAATTGTTTGTACTTTCAAAGATTTCTTATAAACGCAAAAACTTTGATCTCATTGGAAATACGCGAAAAAAATAGTTAAGGAGTTTCAAGAAGACATTGAAAAATTACAAAACAACACCTCTACACAGTTTACTAAGTAAATACCATCATATATGTATGTATTTTGATATCATTTAAGCTAATGTGTGGTTTTGAACCTTTTTTGCTAAAAACAACGATTTTTTACAGTTTCATATCTATTTTCCTTAGTGCTATACAGTGTATGTTATATTCTTATAATTTAGAGTATCCTTTTGTATAAAAATCAAAAAAAGGCAGCATATAAAACGGTATTCTATTCTAGAGTATTACCACCAAAAATGCACTTCGAAGTTCAATAAAATAGCAAGCAGAGGTTTCCTTAAAGAAAAAATGATATTTTCGTAAAAGTTACATCCTACATCCTTATCTTTTATTTTAATGTAAGAAATGAAGTATTTGCGATATGCGCTAAAGTATAGTCTTAAATCACCAAAGCTGGCCAAATTAGATATAGGAATAAGCAAATAGTAAAATATTAATTTACCATCTCTAATCAGTGTTGCCAATGGGAGCTAAGACCCTACAACACACTATTAAAGTTGGAAATTAATGAATTTTAAGGAGTCAAAAATCAAATTCAAGCGGATAACCAAATGGAAATGGTATTTACCATTTTGGGTTGGTATTTACCAATCCGTTCAAGCGAGTGTAGTTATCAGTTTGGTTATAAGATCCGTGACGTCACGAATCAGCTGTAATATGTCATAGTTATCACCGCAAAATTGTGGTATTTACCCAACTCAAGAGTAGTTTTATATTTCAGGTTATTATTTGAAATGTGACAAGTTAGAATTTTGCCGGGTATTGGATATTGTTATTGTACTTCAGCTTCATTTTTGAGAAAAATGATACAGGCTGACTTCAGTTTTACCATAAAGTGGAGCACCTTATTAGTTATACTCATTACGGTTGTTGGGGACACTTTAAATGTAGTTCCTATGCTTAACAAAATATCCTATGTAGCCATATACCACAAGAATATTAAAATATGGCCATATAAAGTCACTAGATGATATCCACCTGTATACGGTTTTGCTAATTTCTTTTTTCATCATTTCTGCTGAATCAATAAATGTTTTCTTTGACATGCGGAAAAATTTAGAGAATTGAAAGTTATCATAGCTACAAAGCCATGGTTCCATCATTAAAAAAAAATCTTAAAGAACATTTCTCCCATGAATATTATGAAAGGTTTCTTATTTAAACTTTCCATATACAGTTGTAGACGGAAGAGCACCGATTATTAAATGATAATAAAAATAATTAGAGATTATATACGCGCTTTTCTAAAATAAACAACCTGCAACAAAACCGCGGTGAAAACCAACGCGTTCAAGCGATTCGTGTAACTGACGTCATCAACCCGTGTGTCATCTTGAACCATATTATAACCGCGGCACATAACACAGAAATTTTGGTTATTTGCTTGGATTTGATTAAATATTAGCACCAACCTAAAGAAAGGAATAAGGAATAAGGTTGTCGTTGTCATTCAAATGTCAAGTTCAATCTTGAGATGTGTGATGTGAAAGTTGTCAGGATTTGTAATATATAAAAATAAATATTATTGCAGTGCTATTGGAATTGATTGGAACAGTCGAGCGATTGTTGAAAAAATGTATTAAATCAGCTAGTTTTTAATTGAGCATAACGAGCGTATGACGTTTCGCTCGAATCATTTCCGGAGAAATTCACGTGAGGAAAAAGTAAATACAGGCGCACTAGAATTGAGCCTTTATTTATATCAAATGCGCCGAATTTTTTTGTTTTGAATACACGTTTCAGATAAAAGTGCTGTTATGTACGCCTTATATGCACATGCACCAAATAGATAAACATGCTTGAGGGATTGGTTGCATGGGTGTTGAATAACTACCTTGGCAAATATGTGCAGCTCAACACAGATCAACTCAGCATTGCACTTCTTTCAGGTAAAATCATCATTGATCAACATATTCAAATATCTTTTCCAAGTAGACCCATCCAGAGACAAATAGGTCTGGAAGAATTAAAAAAGATTTGCAGCCCTTGTGGGCGCATTTGCTCTTATTACTGGAACTTTATTTTTTTTCTACAGAATTAAATATTAGACTGTCCTATACTACGAGCCCCTTCGCACTTCAGTTGGCCCAACTATTGAAATCTTAGTTTTTTTCTTATCAAACACAAATAATAATGTAGAAGGGTGTTATAGGTTTAAAATATTAACAATGAATATTTTGATAATGTATAGTAGCAAACACCAAATTTGCAGCATAAAAATAACACATGTTGCAATAACAGCATATCAACCTATTTTCATTTCAATGCAAAATAAGTCTATAATGCATAGCTGGCTGTGAAAAATAAAAGCCATGACAATTGTTTTTATTAATCATAGCTGTCAGAATACGTTTAAAATAGTTTTGGGTAGTTAAGGTTTTCAAAATGGGTAGAGGAAAGGTTATTACTGAGAAAATTCGGTTACTGATAATTAAATTTTTTAATTCTGGGAAATCAAACTCGGAAATTGCAACTATGTTAGACTTATCATGGTACAGTGTGAGAAATATTGTTAGAAGATATAATGTAACTGGTTCAGTTAATATTAAGCCACAATATGTGAAAAAAAGCAATATCACAAATGCCGACCGAAGAGCATTAAGAAGAATAATCATGATAAACAGGCGTGAATATTATTTACAATCAAGTGCTCTGTGGAGTGACGCTGTTGGAAGGAGAATTTCGAGGTCCACAACTCATAGAGAGGGGATTTAGCACTTGCAAGGTAAGTTTTCTTATAAAAAAAAAGTGAAGTAAAAACCCTAAAGTTGCACAACTTGTTTATAGGCCAAAGAAAAGCCACTATCAACTCCATTGCAAAAGAAAAATCAGCTTAGATGGGCTAAGGACATAGACAATGGACTCCTCAACAATGGTGTGCAATACAATGGAATGATGAGGCCCTATTCGAAGTTTTTGTTGGTGACAGTCGCAGTAGAGTTATTCACAAAAAAAAGCATTCCCTGTTGACTGTGTAAAGAGAAAAGAGAAATTTCCAGCATCCATTATGGTCTGGGGCAGTATGTCATCAAAAGGAGTAGGAAAGCTTCATTTTATTGATGGAAATGTGGATACAAACAAATATTTGTCAATTTTTGAAGAATCGCTTTTACCAGTGATGGAAGAATGTTTGACATCCGGCCAACATTTTGTGTTTCAGCAAGATGGTGCAGCATGCCATACCTCAAAAAATGCTATAAAATGGATGGAAGAAAATAATGTACCACTTTTGAAATGGGTTTCTAGCAGTCCAGATCTATCACCTATTGAAACTTTGTGGCACGAGATGAAAAAGGTTCTACGACAACATCCTGCTCGTACAATCACCGAACTGAGACAAAAGATTCAAGAAATATGGGATTGTTTTACACCAAATTTTTGCCAAAACTTGGTTAACACTACGCCCCAAAGAATTTCAGCCATAATAAAAAATAAAGGTGATGTTACCCAATGGTGATCTTTCAATTGTTGCTTTGTTAACTTCGCGCATTTATCGCACATTGTTTATTTGTTCAGATGTTCTATTAGTTATAGGTCTAAGTGATTTCAAATATGTATTTTTTACGACTAGAGTGTATCTAAAATGTTGTTGAGAAAATAAATTGTTTTAGAAGTAAACAGTTTTGTCATGTTTAGTTTATAAAGGCATATTTTAGTACAAATCATAAAGTGGGCCAACTGAAGTGGGAAGGGGCTCGTACATACAATTACCCTCAAATCTAGGATCTTGTACTACCCATCTATATCAATTTAATCAGTTTATATGGTGTTTCATATGTATTTCCTATCTCTCTGTATTTTATAAACACATGGGTAAATTGTAAGGAATTTCTGAATTATTTCATTAATTTCCCTAAAACTAGTTGTATGATCCAATTATAATAGAGACAAGATTATAGTTTGAAATCTTATTTTTATGCATTTTTCTTTTATTCCATATACATTTATGGTCTTAGCTTATAACTGTGAGAATGATTATTTCTGATGGTTAATACCTATTATTTTATTACAGAATTTTTAACTAGTTGGTTTTATTACTAACATATTTCATTTAAGATTATTACCCATTCATACAATGCTAAAATTGGCATTTTTACAATCATTCATCAGCAGGTTTAGTTGCTTTCCTAGGAAAATTTTCATGTATATACAGTAATGCACAAAAGTATATAGACAAATTAATATTGTGCTGCATTTCTTTTTTAACTTGTTTTATTAATACACCAACCTGTATACATAATACTCACTTATACATAAATACATTCATTAGATTCCCTTCAATAACAAATTTATTGAAAAAAACTATGAAGGACAAAGCAAGACAATTATAGAAGAAAGAAGCAAAGTTCATTGAATTATAGAAAACCAACCATATTTGTGTCAATATTTTGTAGCATAACCACTATTATCCTTCACCACCTGGCATCGTCTCGGCATAGATTGTAGAAGTTTCTAGATAAAACATTCATCAATTTGTCTCCACTTTTGCTCTAAAGCGGTAAAAATATCATCCTTGTTTGAATAATTTTTATCTTGTATTTGCTTATCTAAGTATTCCCATAGATTTTCAATGGTGTTTATATTGGGAGACTGTGAAGGCCATTTGAGAACTGTTATTTTTTCATTCAGAAAGAATTTCTTTGCGAGATTTGAAGTTTGCTTCGGGGTCATTATCTTGCTGGAAGAGTGATCTTAAGGGTATATTGTCTTCCATATAGGGTAACATGACATGCTTTAGTATATCTGTGTATACAAACTTATCCATAATGCCATCTATTCTGTGTAAAGGTCCCATCCCAAACCACGAAAAGCACCCCCAAACCATAACAGACCCGCCTGCATGTTTGACATTGGGCAAAGTGTACTTGGGGTTCAATCTTAGTCCACTAGGACGTCTAACGTAATGAACACCATCTGATCCAAACATATTGAACTTGGATTTGTCACTAAAACATACCCTCTTCTAGTCACAGATGCTCCAATCAAGATGCAACCGTGCAAATTGTAATCGGTCCTTACGGTTTTTCCTCGAGATTAGCGGCTTCTTACTCGAGCGACGTGCAAATAACTTCAAATCATTTAATCTTCTACTTATAGTTTTCCTAGAAACACTGACAATTCCTTTTGTCTCGATTTCGGCTTTTATTTGTCTTGGGGTTTTAAACGGATCTTTGCATGAAATTACTTTTATTAATCTAACTGATCTAGCATTTAGTTTTTAAGGCCGACCACTTCTCTTAAAGGCTTCCAAGATACCTTTTTGTTTATATTTGTTCAATATTGCCCAAACTGCTTTACGCTTCAGCTTCAAATTTTTGGCAATGTCGACTTGACGTTGACCATCTTTGTATAACTCAATGATCTTAGTTTTCACATCGAAAGAAATTTCTGGACTACGCGGCATGCTCTTAAAATCACTCAACTTATTCCACAATACTTGATGAAAACAAACTAATCCTCTTCTGACACGAAACTGTACTAAACTAATATTTTTGTCCCTCATAATAAAGTGCTTATATTCAGACTTGAATTGTGTTCATTGCAGATAATGTAAAAACAAGGAATTTAGTTTTTCTACTAATAACGCATTTGTTTATGGAGCACTGAATTATGAATTCGTTTTCTAAAGGTATTTAGGTGAATATTCATATTTGTCTACATACTTTTGTCTATTATTGTATATACATTGCCAATACAGAAGCTAATAAATGGTTGTGTGTTTTTTATAGCTACTGTGTTTTTATTATATTTTCTAATCTCATTAATGTCAATACATAGTTGAAAATATTCACCATAAATTGTATTCTAGTATATGTATACCTATTTCTATAAGGCATGTAGGTACATGCTTGAATTCAGGATCAATTTAGATAAACTAGTAACATTCTTATAAACCCAAAAAATCCAACAATTTTACAAACATTTAAGTTTAGATTTAATTAATGTCTGACTATTGATGTTAGATTCAATTTAAAGATAAATCTTTGATGATAAGGTGATAATCAGTAATATAATATGTAGTATTAGCTTATATTGAAAAATTGCTATAGCCTAGGATCTTGAAATACTCTTACACTTTTTCAAGTACTTTTCAAAAGTTTAAAAAAATCTACTGGGCATATTTTCCTGAAATATTTTTTGTTTGTAGTTTTTATTGATATAATTTACTTTATTACCAGTGCATCAAAGGATTGTAAATCATAAACATAAATTATGGCAAACTTGTCTTAAGTACACACCATTATCCATTATGTGACTCGTTGTTTAACAAATATACTATATTATTACGTGAAATTATCCTTATAATAGCCTTGTAGTTGATATCAAGAGAACATTCATATGAATTATCATATCATGTCCAAATAATGATTATTTTACATTATGCCTATATATTTTATTTTAGCATCGCTAACAAAAAAATTACAGATTATATGATTCTAAACCTTCTTTGAAACACACCTTACATTTTCAGATAAGTGATCAATTATCATCAAATTTGGACGCATTCAAACTCAAGGCATTTCATCATGCTTAAAACTAGTAAATGAAAGGGCAATAACTAAAAATATCTGTACTACTCGGCTCTCAGAAACTGCTTTCTTCACAAAAACTAAGACAACCATTTCAAAAAACAACAACAAAAAACAAATTATTTTTTCTGGGTGTAATACTTCTAATGTCACTGAGTATTTAATTTCATGCTCCTAAAAAAATAATTATATATCAAAGTTCAAAAACATAATCTATCCGTGCTACCTGTGTTAGCAATTATGTGAATGCTTTTTTATTTGTGTTGATTTATTAATAAATGATCCAAGAAGCTCTAGATATATACCAAAATAAAAAAAAACGTATGTTTTGTTCAACTTTTGTAATTTTTTTCAGGAAAAGTGGAACTTGAAAATTTGCCCCTGAAAGAAGATGCGTTAAGACATCTTGGACTACCGATTATTATCAAAGCTGGATTCATTGGTAAAGTCCAATTACATATACCAGTTAGACAAATCAGATCAGCACCCTGGGTGATCATTATAGAACAACTGTATCTTGTAGCCAGTCCTTTACCACTACACGAGGTATTTTTCTTTTATTTGATTAATCAAAAATGATCTATTTTACATAGATAAATATTTTTTTCTAGTCAGAACCATTTAGACCCAATTTTTAGGACACATTTGTAAAGTTTGAATCTAGAAAAAATTTTTTTGTTTTCAGTGGGATAATGAGGCTGAAGAGCTAGCCAGACATGATCAAAAACTGTATGGATTAGATACGTTGGAGGCAAAATGGAGGTTAGACAGAGATGTTCAGGATTTAAATTCAGCATATTATGCATCAAGCTATTCTTCTTGGTACAGCTACGGCACAGGTTTGGTGACTGAAATCATAGAAAATCTACAGGTAAGAGGCTCATACACAAAACTTACAAAGACAGCTTTTCGTTCTATAAACATTAATCGATTCAACAGCAGTGTCAATAACATCTATCTAACTTCTCATAAAGTTGACAGTAACCCACATTTAGTCCTTGTCTAAATCATTAATTTTCAGCTCCGTATTCAAGACGTCCACATCCGATACGAAGACAATATAAGTGTCCCTTCAAAATGCATAGCCTTTGGAATAACAATAGAATCACTGATCGCACAAAGTTGCGATTCCAATTGGCAGCCAGGCTATGTCCAGGCTAGCAAGAGTGAAGAATCATTCAAGTTACTTGAACTGCAAAAATTCGCTCTCTATTGGATGACTCTGGATGAAAGTGGGCTTCTGTCAAATCTCACCGTTGCTCAGCTCGCTGTAAGTTGGCTACTGATTTTACAAAGTAATATATACTAAGTGACATATAAATCCGAACACCCAGTTTAAATGGTTTTATTTTAATAAAATTTTGTAAAAGTACGTATACTTAATGAAGCATAATAAGTAAATGATAAAAATTTCAAAATGATTGCACTGCTTTAAATCCCTTTGACCTTTAATAGTGTGTGGATGCACCCTGATGTGCTACGCATTCTCCAACGCGCCTAGGCATGCTTCTGATCAGGTGGTCAATGTCCTCCTGTGGTATTTCATTCCAGGCAACCACCAACTCCTCTCGAAGTGCTTCTAGAGTCTGAGAAGGATGTTGCAAATTGAGCAATCTCCTACCTATCATATCCCACACGTGCTCAATTGGGGATAAGTCGGGAGATCTTGGTGGCCATGGTAACAATGTGACATCATTATGTTGAAAGAAGTCTATTGCGACTCTTGCAACATGTGGTCGGGCATTATCTTGTTGGAAAGTTGGATCTGCCAGGGTGTCAAGATAGGGTAAAAGATGGGGTTCTAGAACTTCGTAGATATAACGCTGCGCGTTCATGTTACCTCTGATGAAGATTAAAGTTGACCTGGAACCATAAGCTATAGCACCCCAAACCATAACTCCAACAGTGTGATGAACATGTCTTTCGACAAAAAACTGTGGATTCTTCCTTTCACCACATCGCCTTCTAACCCTGGCACGACCATCGTGCATGCCTAAACAAAATCGAGACTCGTCACTAAAGACAATACTGTGCCATTCCTGATCCCAGAGTGACCGTTGTCTGCACCACTCAAGGCGATTACGTCGGTGTTCTCGAGTTAAAGGGAGGACCTAGTGTGGCCGGTATGAAAACAAGCCAAAACTTCTCATTCGTCGGTAAACACTTCGCATGCCAATAGGTCTTCCGTGTTCTGCAAACCATTCATTTGCAATGGACCTGGTAGTGGAGAAACGGTCCCTTAAGGCCAATAATCTTAGGCGGCGATCTTCACGGTCTGTTGTTCTACGGCGGCGTCCAGTGCCCCTTGCTCTTTGCGTACGGCCTTTTCGAAGCCATGCCTGACAACACCTAACCACAGTGTCTACACTTCTTTGCACTCTAACTGCAATTGCCCGAAAAGAAAGTCCAGCTTCCCGAAGTCCCACTATACGGCCCCTATCAAACTTGACGAAATCGTACAGGTCTCCGTACTCTAGGCATCGTAACCGATCGTAAAGGATGTCAAGAACCAAAATCCACCAACGTTGATTCTTTACTGCGGCTGAAATATTCATTTTTAGAGCGTTAGTGAATTAAAAAAAAGCAGTATAAAAACCGGAATGTCCAACTGATAAGGCTGAAAATTTTTTCACTTGTTATTTACAGTAAGATAAATACATTCATTTATTAAAATAAAACCATTTAAACTGGGTGTTCGGATTTATATGTCACTTAGTATAGTAAACAGTATTTGTTCCTCTCAGTTTCAAAATAGGGTTGTCTGGAAAATACGTATAAAAATTTCGGGGCCTTGTTGAAAGTAACCCTTTTTTCACCTGCCATCGGCATGGAGCTCTCTCTGATCGAGCAACAGCGCATCAACATCAAGTTTCTTGCAAAGCTAGGCAAGAATGGTCGTGAGATTTTTGAGTGTTTGGAACAAGCTAACGAAGACAATTCTCTGAAGAAACCAACCGTCAACAAGTGGTTGCAAAGGTTTCAGGAAGGCCGAGAAGATGTGAAAGATGACCAACGCTCAGGACACCCCTTGACATCAAGATCTGAGAGAAATGTTGAACGAATTCTGGGCTCTGTTCTTAAAGACCGTCGACTGACAGTTAGGATGATAGCTGAGGAACTGTCCATCTTCCACGAAATTCTGACAGAAGACCTTGAGATGAAAAAATTGTGCACGAAAATCGTTCTGAATCGCCAGAGCAGAAAGCAAGGAGGGTTGCTTGCTGTGAGGATTGGTCGGAAACAGCGGAAAGGAGGGACTTTTTCAACCGGGTCATCACTGGAGACGAGTCTTGGTTCTTCGAATTCGGTGTAGAGCTGAAATCTCAAAGCATAGATTGGTGTCAAGCCTGGGGAACCGAGAACAAAAAGGTCCAATGTGAAAACAATGTTGATTGAAACGAAACGGCAAATGAAGAGCCTCGCAATTGAAGACTCTCAGCGATCGTATCAACAGTGGAAACGGCGTTGGCAGAAGTGCATCTTATCTCCGGGGGAGTACTTTGAGGGAGACCAGACTGAAATTGAGAATAAAGTTTTATACGTATTTTCCGGACAATCCTCGTATTGGGTTATCAAGGTACTCATTGTGATTGTCATGTTCGTAGGAAGCAATGAGCCCTGGAAAAATAAAGAAAACTACGAAAAATTACATAGTTCCTTCTGTGAGTGTCCAGGCCCATCTGAAGAGGAACAGAAGTACACATCCTTTAAGGTCGACAACACCTAGAATAGTATGTGATTTGATTGTGGAAGAAGTTGCTTTAAGCTTGATTGATGTAAGTAAAAATTAAAATAATTATAAGTATTTGAAAATTAAAAAAACATGGGCATAATTGAGACGAACTTGTTACAATGTTTGTTTGAAGGGTTCAATTTGAGCTATCAGTTATTGAGACAATTTCTTAATCTGAAGGCGAAGAAAATATACAGTGTGTCCCTGAAATAACACGCCAGAGTGACACCGGAGGTATATTCGCTTCAGATCAATCAGATAAAATCAACATGACTCTTGTAAAAGTTTTCTAGTTTTCGCGATATTGCCACTATTAAAGATCTTCTAACTTATCAACCTATACAGGGTGTAAACGTTATGATAGTCATTATTTAAATGGGTGATAAAGGGGGTACACCCAGGCAGAAGGACATTTGTGCAAGTGTACCAAAGACTTCGTGATACAGGAAGTGTTCAGCCCACTAATATTCGCACTCGTGAAAGACAGGTTACTGTAGAGCAGGAGGAACAAATTTTAAATATCATGGAAATCAATACAGATATCAGCACTCGGGAATTAGGCCGCCGCGTAGGAATATCGCATACCATAGGCAGGCCTTGTTACCAGAAGACTATCCTCGCAGATTAACATTCTGTCAGTGGTTTTTGCACAAAAACATTGAAAATCCGGATTTTTTTATAAACATTCTAGCGACGGACGAATACACTTCCATAAATTTCCATAATACTCACACGTGGGCCCAAGAAAATCCTCATACCATTCGTGAAGGTCATTTCCAACAACGTTTTAAAATAAATATTTGGGCGGGTATTCTTGACGATCAGGTAATTGGCCCTTTCGAGTTACCCCCCAAGTAGTCAGGAGAAGGATACCTTAGCTTACTAACCAATAACCTACCAGAACTTTTGGAACAGACCTTAGACAACCTGCCATTACAACGGAGCCAGAATTTGTGGTTTCTTCATGACGGGGTACCACCACACATTTTTAGAGGCGTCATCCGGTATTTGAATGAACATTATCCAAATCGCTGGATCGGTCGAAATGCTGCTGATCCTCGAAAATGGCCAGCAAGATCTCCTGACCTCAATCCGATGGATTTCTGGTGTTGGGGATAACTTAAAGGGATGGTTTATGGGGCTGGTCCAATAACAACTTCGCGAATAAAAGTTTAATGCGGCTGACATAATAAATGGACAACTTCGAGGACCTAGAGTAAAAAGAAACTGGGTTCGTCGTAACGAAGCTTGTGTAGAAAGTGGAGGACGACATTTTGAACACCTTCAAGTACAAAAAAAGTGCAGTGTGGGTTTTAAAAAGAAAAACAATGTATGTATCAAAATTGTGTTCCCTATTTATAAGTGTATCTTTTTAATACGTTCAATAAACTTTCACACACCAGGTGAAGTGCTGAGACAGTTAGTGGTAAGTCCGTTTTTTTAGTTGTTTGCGTTTTACGAGTACATCATCAAATAATAGCCAATAATAACAAACTCCATCTTTATTTACACTGCGTTCCGTCGTAATTTGCATCTGGCATTGCGGCGTTGTCACATTTTATTTTACTTTAAAGTCGCTTTTCTCTAAAAAAATGCCGTTTTGACCCCCATGTTATATGAAACTTTTTGCCTCTTTTAACACCCTCTATCACCCATCTAAATAATGACTATCATAACCTTTACACCATGTATGACGCTTATGCGGTTCGTGTAAAGCGCTGCAACTCGTGAAAAAAAAAAGTGTTTCGGCAATCCAATTCTAATCTCGTAATTTTTCTAACAGTGGCAATACGACCAAATAGTTTCCTGCGTCCGCGGATTGGACGACATAGCTCGTCTACGAAGCTACCGTCGCTTCAAGCCGTCCTCCAGCGTAAAACAAGACCCTAAGGCATGGTGGTTGTATGCGATCAGCAACTTCTACCCGGGCGGACAGCCGAATGTTTGCAGACCGCGTCCCACGTGGGAGAACTGCATTAGAAGGGCCAGGCAGAACGTCAAGTATGTCGAAGTGTACAAGAAGCTGCTCGTTAGCCCTACCGCCGCTCTAGGGCCCGAGGAGGTCAAGCTGAAGAACGAGGTTGAGTGGGAGAGGGAATTCGATGAACTGAAGACGTTGCGAGAGGTATGTTATCAGTAACGCACTAACGGACGTGCAGTAGCACTGGTCAAACTAGATTCGACCCCCGTCGAAGCACTACGCAGTTCAACGACTAATTTTGTATTTGATTGTATTTTTTTTAGCTGGCAATGAGTTCGGTGAAACTCCCCAACCCGAACGGTACGACAACCGCCGCGAAATCCACCGGTCGAAGCATCGTTTTCAGCTGGTTCCCGACTTGGATGGGTTGGTACTCCTCAGGTTCAGCGGAAAGCAGCGCGACCTCCTCCCCTGAAGCTACTCAGCTGGAAGGTGAAATATTGCAAGCGCTAGCAGATTCTGCTGAAAATAACACCATTTTGAAAAGGGACGCTGTGTTCGGCCATTTTAACTTTTGCTTGAAGACGGGGACGTTGAATTTGTGTACAGTCGGTGAACATGGGAGCGATAGGTGAGGAAAAAATTGGAACTACAAAAGTAGCTATAGTCTTTTCAACTTTTTGTAATTATAGTCTCGTCTCAATTTCGAATTCTTGAATGTGTGAGAACCAAGGTGTTTGATTTTTTATTTTATAAATTGTTGTATTAGCTGTATCAGATTTCAACATCAATAAATATTTCAATCATATCTTGCAGTAAAAGAACTCCTCGTAATTTTACCTAGTTGATATTAATTTCTTCCACTTTGTTAGCATCAAATATACTTTCAATTTCAAAACATTTAAATGAATGATCACTGATTTTAGTAGTATGCATAACTTTTGCAATTAAATTTTGTCCATTTGTTATCAAATCTTGATTGATTTGTAAGTCTGATGTGCTCATAGACTATAGACCATAAGAACTGAGTACCTGTTTAAATTTCTTTGTGTAAAAGTCTTGGTGATCAAAATTTATATTAAAATCCCCAAATGTACCGTGATGCAGTTTCATTAAAAAAAAAATCTCACGGATAATTTTAAAAAATAGTGTACCTTCGTTTGACCGATAAATTCGTCAATCATTTTGAAAAAGCACCAAACTGAGCACATAGCCTCTAAGCGTTCATTACTGCTCAAAATAATCAAAAGGTTAACATAAAACCCAAATTTTGAGTGTGTGATCTGAATTAACTCAAAATTTTGAAAAAGATTGAAGAGTTGTGACTTTGTAACTCCAAATTGGTGCCTTGGCACCCAACGCAAATCGTTACAGATCTGATAGTTAACAGTTTCAGAAGAAAAACTATCTGAAATCCTTAAAAAAACCGAAAAAACTGTAATTGATGATATCAAAATTGAGGAAATTATTATTTCCGTAGGTAAATTGAAGGCATATGGTACATCAGGAAATGTTTTAGATTGGTTTAGAAATTTTTTTGTCTAAATGGATGCAAGTTACAAAAGTTAATGATACCATTTCAACAAAAATTGAAAATACGTTGGGTGTTCCACAGGGCAGAATGTTGGGACCACTTCTTTTTATTTTATACATAAATGATTTACCTGCCATAGTCAAAAAATGCAAAATTCAGATTTTCGCCGATAGTACTATGATTTCTATATGTACTAAAAATGGTTAGCATCTAACAGTCTCAAATTAAATACAAGTAAAACGAAAGCTATGTAAATCGGAAAAACAATGTACAAAAAATGTTCAACTGAATATTCATGGTGAAGATATTGAATTCATAGAAAATTTAAAATACCTGGCGGTTTTTTTTGATTAATTTTTTATATTCATTATGAAAAAGTTATAATTAAGATTAGTAGTAAAGTGGGATATTTATCAATAGTTTCTGGACGCGTGAGTTCATATAGCAGAAAAACTATCTATAATCTCATAATTCTTCCAAATTTCATGTACTGTTCGACTATTGTATGTTTAGCAAATAATTACATTTTTGAAAGACTGCAAATTTTACAAAATAAGTGCATGAGAATAATACTGAATAAAGATAAATATACTCCAATTAGACAAATGCTTAGCAAATTAAAATGGCTCAATGAAAAAAAAATTATCAAATATCTTGTAATGATATTCATTTATAAAGTAAAAAATAATATATTTCCATCAAGTCTAACTAATTTAACATCATCAAATGCCAACCATCATTTACATAATACCAGAAATAAAGATGACTTCCATTTAATGACCAAAAACTATAACATATGCTACAAATCTGTATTCCATCAAGGGTTGATTGAATATAATAAATTTTACATAGAGATAAAAGATCAGAAACGTTTAACAAAATTCAAAGTAAAATTGAGGAATCACTTGTTAAATCTACAATTATAGCTTGCCCAGCGTTTACATCATACATCATTTGGCTTGAATTTCCTAATTCTAAGTTGTTTACAATTCTTCTGCTTATGTAGCCAAATCTGCTAAATAAATCTTTCTACTACTGCTTCTAATGTCACTGAGTATATTTAAATTTTACTAATGTCTCCAAGTCTTTAGGAAACGCAGGAAAACATGATTTGGTCCGATTTTCCCCGTTATTCTTTTCAAGCAACGTAATGAAATTTTCTTTTCAGTTCCCCCATGCTAGAACTGGAGTTCAAGACCCTATCTATCACCATCCTGAGCAAACCTCGTACCTCGTCACACACGATAGAACTATCGTTAGGTGCTGTTTTCCTTAAAGATAAGATAACGTTGAATACGATGTTCCCGGTGCTAGTTGGTCCTCCAGGATTTGATAGGACCGCCGTTCCTAGGGGCAAGGGCCCTAATCCAAGGTTTAGCGCCAATAACAGTAGGGTAGAGGATACTTTGGACCATCTTTTTTATTTGGAGTACGAGAAGAAACCTCCGAATTCTGTCTGTGATTATAGGTAAGATTGAACACATAATAATAATAATAATAATAATTTATTCATATCACTTATAAATTGTGAATAAATTTATATGCCACCCCCCTCTCCACGTGTAGCGGAAGCAGAAGGTTAGAGACTGCATTCCGATTGTTTCAACAAAATGTCGTCTCACGTGTAATATTTTTAACTAATATAGGTGATTTTTGCTGCCTTTTGACGAGGCCTACAAGCAGTTAAAATAAACGACTCAACTTTGCAAACACCCTGTGTAGAAATATTGCATTAATATTCTACAATATGAGTATTTTTCAGCTCAACGAAGGTATTCCGCCGTGAACTGAAAAACATTCCAATAAATAAATTATATACCTTGTATGAGTTCTACATTACATTTACTTGAGATCCATATATTTTGATTCGTATTTACTTTAGTATTAAGTCAGTTTTGTCATTAAGAATTATTGAATTCTTCAGACAATTATCTATCAATTGATATCGGCACTTTGATCTAGGATCTCACGTATTCTTTTATTAAAGATTAAGAAATAAAGGAAGAGTAATAATCTTTTTTTTTTGCAGTTTACGTGTGAAATCCAAATGCTTAGATGTAGTTTATCAACCGAATGCTGTGAAATGGCTGACCGAATTCGTCTGCCTACCTCATCAACGTGATATAACTCAGTCTCAAATAGAGGCCATGAAGTCCAGGACCAAGAAGGAACTCATCAAAAATTGGGAGCAGATATTGGAAGGAAGAGTGGTAAATATCTGTATTCTCTCTCAATGGCGTTATCGGTACTTAATGTGGTTCAAAGGAAAGCTAGCTCTTTTTACCGATATGCCAACAAATAGTGCTCCTCCGAGCCCTCCTCCACCACGAAATTCTCATTCTCATATTTTCACTTTATTGTTTTTTATTTGTACATGCGTTTTTAGGTGGGCAGAACCTCTTGGGATCTGGAATTTGATATATCCGCGCCTCAAATAATATTTGTGGAACAATTTACGGATCAAAATTCTGCAATGGCTGTGATAGATTTTGGCAAGTTGCAGTTGAGGAATAACATGGACAAGGTAGAAGTGCCTCCAAAACCGGAATTTATTACAAAAGAAAGTGAGGAAGATGGTAAGTTTACTGATAATATTGAGAATATGCTGTTTCGTTTTTTTTATCTCACGTTTGTTTCTTTATTTCTATCTAGAAACGTTCGTCACCCCTTGTTCCACGCCACCTGCCAGTGAAGCTAGTGATTCCGGGGAACAAACTCTGGAACCGGTATCTCAGATTGACGAGTCTCCAGAGGCAGATCATCCGTTGAACGAGAAAGATCTCTACAATAAACTATATGACTGTTATTTCCTCGAACTCACCGACATGCAAATTCTTATTGGTGAGCAACTATTTCATTTCCTAAGCAAATAACTAGTTATTTTGACGTCATGAAATGTAAATCGAAATGAACCATACAGTCTGCTTGTCATATACACGGTGGCCCAACGAAAAGGTCGCACCTCCATTTGTGACATGCTCAACAGTATAAAGAATTTTGAAAGACAATAAATTTCACCCGTACAAGATAAAACTTGTCCATGAGCTTAATGAAGGCGATTTTGATAGCAGGTTTAATAACAATGCAGATCTGTTAGTTAATGTTTGTTCCTCGGGCGAGTGTACGCTCTACAGGGTGTAAACGTTATTTAAATGTCGTCCTCCACTTTCCACACAAGCTTCATTGCGACAAACCCAGTTCCTTCTTACGAGTACTCGAAGTTGTCCATTTATTATTTCAGCCGCATTAATTTTTTTTTCGCGAAGTTGTGCTTCAGTTGTTATTGGACCAGTCCCATAAACCATCCCTTTAAGTTCTGCCCAATACCAGAAATCCAACGGATTGAGGTCAGGAGATCTGCTGGCCATTTTCGAGCATCAGGAGCATTTCGACCGATCCAGCGATTTGGATAATGTTCATTCAAATACTGAATGACGCCTCTACAAATGTATGGTGGTGCCCCGTCATGAAGAAACCACAAATTCTGACTCCGTTGTAATGGCATGTTGTCTAAGGTCTGTTTCAAAAGTTCTGGTAGGTTATTGTCTAGAAAGCTGAGGTATCCTTCACCTGACAACTTTGGGGGTAACTCGAAAGGGCCAATTACCTGATCGTCAAGAATACCCGCTAAAATATTTATTTTAAAACGTTGTTGGAAATGACCTTCACGAATGTTATGAGGATTTTCTTGGACCCACGTGTGACGATTATGGAAATTTAATATCCCGTGTCGGGTAAAAGTACATTCGTCCGTCGCTAGAATGTTTTTTAAAAAATCCGGATTTTTTGCAAAAACCACTGACAGAATGCTGGTCTGCGAGGATAGACTTCAGGTAATAAGGCCTGCACTCGTTGTACATGGTAGGAATAAAGCAAATTTTCCCGTAGGATTCTATGGATTATGGTATGCGATAGTCCTACGCGGCGACCTAATTCCTGAGTGCTGATATCTGCATTGATTACCACGATATTTAAAATTTGTTCCTCCTGCGAATATTAGTGGGCTGAACACTTCCTGTTTCCGAAGTCTGTGGTACACTTGCACAAATGTCCTTCTTCCTGGGTGTACCCGTTGACGAAATCTGTGGCGATAAATTTGAGCTGCAAGATTGGAATTCTGACGAGCTTCACCGTAAACTAACACCATATCGGCGAACTGTTGATTCGAGAACATTGTAAAAAACACGACGACGTATCCGAACAAAAACAAAACAACATACTAACCACTGTTACCGTTTGCGATCGATTGCCGGTTCGATAAGAGTGATGAAAGACCGACGTGCTGTTGTCGTGTGTGTTTTAAATATTTAATTTAATGAAATTTACTTACTGACTACAAATTCTGGCTTAACTTAGAAAAACTTAATTCCATTTATTTGTTAATTACCCAATTTAAAAACGTTTTAGATTAGATTATAAAAATTAGTAAGATTGTGGTGATTGTGATCGATTACCGAAATAATAGAAAATGTCGTTAATTATAATGAAAATTACGTTAATTTCCAATAAGATGGTATATCATTACTTTTATCACAGTTCCTAGAATTTTACTATAAACTCAAATAGCCTCACAACGATTGAAGATAGGTATAAACTTTATTATACAAAAGTTTCTAAAAACCTCATGGAAAATCCAAAATAAAAAACATGGGGGTTTCTATTTAAAAATCTAAAGTGTAACGCAATATCTTATTTTGTTATCACCCAGTACTGTACGGCTATGGATGAAAAGAAGTCCCACTAGAAATCAAAATTGACGGTTCCGAGCGTTTTTCCCAAAATATACCAGGAGAGGCACAAATCGGGGTGCGACCGTTTCTTTGGGCCACCCTGTATATCTGTTTTCCAGACGACAAAGTTCATTTTTTCAGCCGCCGAAGCAGCCTTCGACCATAATTTCTGCATTTGCATTGTTCGTGAATCCGAAACGCGATTAATACTTCAACAAATCAAGGACACTATGCATTTGTTAAACTGAAGGTCGTAAGCAAGGACAAGTAAACATCACGACTTCCCGTGCCTTCGTAAACCGAACTATGCATTTAAGTGAATTTCTTTAAATTATCAGGCTGATCGTGTCAGATCTGATCTATTTCTGCATAATGGAATAAAAATAGACTTTCTACTAAATTTACCTTGTAAGGTATACGGTTAAGATCAACATAACACCTTTCTACAACGTTCTTCAATTTTGAACCTAAGTATATGAATGCATTTTTTGCAAACTTCATCCTCATAATTCCCAGAAACTAATCATAAGATTGCTTTGGTCCCAACAGAAGTTTTGTTCAGAAAGGCGAGAAACATATACTGAATTTTTAGACAAATCTATTTTCGACATATACTAAGTGACATATAAAATGCAACACTCAGAACTATTTATTGAATTTTGATAAACGTTTTGCTTTCATGGAAGTAAATGCTGATAAAATGTTGAAGGCATTCCGAGCCGTACTTTTTTTGTAAATGCTTTTTTTGTCATATCAGGATCCGAACAATATGAACATGTTTATTTAATATTCAGTCCTCAGTCAAACCTCATGTCACACGTGTTAGTTTAGACTTTTTAGAAGGGTCCTTCTCGATCTCCAGACCCTTTCCCCATCGAACATTTACGAGGGATGTCTTTTAAGTTTTCCATATGGAAATAAAACAACACGGTAAGTAGTTTTAACTGACTTTATTGTTTTTCGAAGTATTCTCCACGAAGATTAATACACATCTGCATGCGCTCGAACCAATTTTCGAAGCACTTATTCTACTCGTTTGCTGGTAGATCCAAAACGGCATTTTTGAATGCGTCAACTGCTTCTTCTGGTGACTAGTTAAATACTGCCTTGTTGTTGTTGCTGTGTGCGAGCTTGCAATGTCTTGGTGGAGGATGATTCGTCTTTCGGGGTTGATTTTTCGAAGCTCGGTCATGAGTTTTGGCAAACAAATGGTGGTATACCAATCCGCAGTAACAGTTCTTTGGTCATTAAGAGGAATTGTTGCAATATGACCCGCTTTTGAAACAAATGTCGCGACCATCTTTTTCGAAACACTTCGAGAACGGATGACTTTTGTTGGCTTTTCTTCACCTTGGAACACCCAAACAGCTGACTGTCGTTTATTTTCTGGTTCTTAACAGTAAATCCACGATTCATCACCACTAACAATGCTGTACACATTTTTTGAGTTTCCGGAATTGAAACGATCAAGAGTTTTTTGACACCAATTAACCCAGGCTGCTTTCTGCTCTTCATTCAACAGGTGGGGTATCCAACGAGAAACTAATTTTCTAACTCCTAATTCTTCATGTAAAATTTTTTGAATTGAGGTCTTTGAGATCTTTAAGGACGCCTCAATCTCGCGATAGATCACATGTCTATCTTCAATCATGAGTTTGTGCACAGCATCGACGTTTTCCTGGGTGACTGCCGTTTTTGGTGCACCCACCCTGGGATTGTCGCTAAGACTCACCCGTCCACGTTTGAATTCTCCAAACCAACGAGAAATTGTCGACTGATGTTTCGCTTCGTTGCCGAAAACAGACAGTAACTCAGCAAGGCATTCTTGTTGCGATAATTATCTCTGAAAGTTGTAATACATTATGGCGCGAAAATGTTCTCGGTTGAGTTCCGTTTTTCTAATGACTTGGTGACACTTAGAAATTCACTGTAGTGAGAACACTGCACGTATTGTTGTGAAACTTTGAATTTAAGTTTACTAAAGAGTGAGGTTAGGATTCAGTACTGCGCGGCCTACTATGTTTCTATATGCAAAACTTAAAAGACATCCCTCGTATGGGACACGATAGGAAGAAGGTTGCAAAATGCACTGCACCCTCCACAAACATTGGAGGCTTTTCGAAACCAAATTCAGATGTCCTGGGATGCAATACAAAAAGCATACATCACTCACCTAAACCAGTCAATGCCACGACGACTTAACGAATGAGCTTCAACACATTATTAACATTAAGGTAGGATATCTCAGCTATTTTGCGAAATTTCGAGTTGAAATTTTTATCACTTTCTAGTTATCAGTACATTGTAAAAGTATGCTCAAAATTATTTATTATTAATTACTCCTAGTCGGTATTGCATTTTCTATGTCATTCAGTATATTTATGCGGGAACCTTTAAAACTTATACAGCAGACGCTCGATAATGTAAACTAATTTAATCCAAGTGTGGTTCACATTATCGAAATGTTTACATTAGCGAACGTGATTTATATAATATTTGATTTATTAAAAGAAACGTTTAATACATACTATTTATAACAAAATAAACAAATATTCTAACAGCGATAAGTATTTTTTTAATTAGAAGAAAAATAATAAACAATCTTTGTCTGCGTAAATTTGCCCTTAGCATTGTCTTCCAATGTCTGCGCCCGTAATTTACGAAGAACTAAAATATCCGTGTATGAAACTTCTTTTCTTTCAGCCCAATCTAAAGCTTGGTTAAAAACTTATATAGCTTGCGCGTCAGTCACTACACTTCTGACTTCAATGGGATCGTTCTCATCATCCTCACTGTCCATATCCTCCTCCTTATCAGCATCATTCGTCTGCTTATCTTCGTTCCATAAATTAATATCAGCAGGAGTACAAACAATGTTGGGATTCACTGTTTTCAATAAATCAACAACATCCAATGACACACTAATAACATTATCATTATTGGATCGCAAACGTTCTCTAATTACGCTTAAGGGGACATCGTCTTCTTCATCATCTTCATTATTGGTACAAAAGAGATTGTTCCAACATTTTTGAATAGTTTGCTGGTTAAGTTTATTCCAGGCCATATGTAAATCTAAAACAGCTTCTCGTAATGTTACTTTTTTTAAAGCATCAGATAAGTTTTCAGGATTCTTTGATAAGACAGACGAAAGTAGAAACTTCCTATAGTATAGTTTGGTGAGTCTTATTATATTCTGGTCCATCGGTTGAATTAACGGTGTTACGTTGGGCGGCATGTACATGACGAAAATTGACCCATCCCTGCTCCTCAGTTGTTGCTCGGGAGGATGACTTGGTGCATTATCCAATAGTAACAACGCTTTTATTGGAAGCTGCTGTTGTTTTAGGAAACCTTTTACCCACAAATTGAAAACACATCTTCAAATTATGAATAGAGTATTTGTGATAAAACCTGAGGGACAAAGCACCTGTGGAACCATTTCAGGAATATACTGCTAGTCATCCAAGCGGTCATAATCAACAGGAATATTAACATTTTTAAATGAGAGCGGATTTTTTGCTTTCCCAATTACCAGTGGCTTTATTTTGTGTGAACCATTAGCATTAGTGCAGGCTAGAAACGTTATTCGTTGTTTCTGCGGCTTTCTTCCCGGGGCAGATTTTTCAAATGATGCAGCATAGGTTTTCTCTGGTAACATTTTCCAATAAAGGCCACTTTCGTCTGCGTTGTAAATTTGTTCCATTCTTAAATCTAGGTCGGTAATTGTTTTCATCAATTTTTCTTTGAATGGTTGCACTAATTGTGGTTGTGCTGATAATTTTTCACCAGATATAGACAGCAGTCGAATTCCATATCTTGTTTTGAATCGTTGTAGCCAGCCATCACTAGCTACGAAATTTTCAGTTTCTTTCAGTTTTTCATTTAACAGTCTCGCTCTCTGTTTAAGTACTTCGCCACTAACTGGGACATGATTTTCTCGTTGTTTTAAAAACCACTTATACAGGGAATTTTCCATTTTAGGTGCCTTCGCATTTTTTAAAGTTTTTCTTTTTCCCGGACCTCTAAATGTATTGCACGTTCTTTGTAAAATTTGAGTTTTCATACGCTTAATTTTACAGATTGTTGCTTTCGATACTCCATATTTTTTTGCGAACTGTGTCACTCCCGCACCTAGTGCAACTTCGTCTATGATTTTCACTTCCTCACTCAACTTTAAACACTTTCTTTTATAGGATGTGGATGCCATAGTCGTAAAATATATTAACGCGTGCAATGTATTCACTTAAGTTCAAAAATGAAATACATACGTACGTATAAACGTATCCTAAACGATCATACGACTGACCGAGTTTGTCGTATTTTATCGCAGAGGTGAATCCCCTACACTCTACATCATAATCGGGGACTCGCCGACGCCCGACATAAATCAGCGAGGCTTCAGCACCGAGAGTTGTTTACGTTATCGAGCGTACACATTGATTACGTTATCGCGCGTTCCGTTTGATCCTATAGAACGAACTTTGTGTTTACATTAGCGCAAGTTTTCATTATCCCGTGTTTACGTTATCGAGCGTCTGCTGTAGTTCAGTAAAACCCAACACAATTTCTTTCTTTTGTCACAGGAAAACCTAAAGATAACTGGAGGTACGCCCTAAATAAAGGTTCATCTAACCTCCACGTATTGGATAGATTCAGTATATTGCTGCAGATCGAGAGGAGAGTAGTCCATACATCTGACCCACTGTATCCAAGCCTGACACTGAATGCTAATCTTCCTAAACTGGTAGTCCATCTTAACGAAAACAAGATTACTTCTGCCAGAAATCTGGTTCATTACATCACTACTACAGGTTAGTGATTTTGATGTAGGCTTATTCTTCTATTTTTTTGAATCAACAAGATAACACACCAACCTGTTATTTCTATTAGGATTACCTTCGCCTTTCAAAAGCGCCCCCGAGACAATGGAAACATCCCCGGAACACCCTCAAGAAGAAGAATCGGAGAGCATAGACACGAGCGCAGAGATGTCCAAGCTTATCATGATGCAGTTCACAGTCGATCAGTTATCATTGGAGATCCAGAGCAGAGGCAGGAGCGTAGCAGAATTGCAAGTATCTGGAGTCAAAACGGCGTTCACGAAAAGATCCGTTGATATCGGCATAACCCTGACCGTGCATAGCTTGTTGTTGGTAGACGCTTTGCAAACGTTTGGAGCTGATTTCGAGCTGTTGGTTGCCAGTCACAAACATGTCGGAATGGATTCTATGTCGGGTAAGTTTTCACAAAGTTTCAGGATGTTTAGGAGTTTGCTGAATTGGGAAGCATTGTTTTTAACACGGAACACGGAATCTTTTAGCATAATTTTCTCCAGTTTCTAGAAGTTTGATTAATTTGAACCTTCGCACACATATCAAGGACCGAAGACAATGCAAAAATTTGATAACAGTTTTCAATTATCTTTATTACGACCGCCAGGATTGATACATTCTTTTATAGATCCTATGTAGGGAAGTAAGAGAGATAGAGGTAGTGCGCGATTTGCGCATGCGTGCATTTTGGGCTCTCGGCACAGGACAACGCAGGCAGATACTTTTTCAAGGTAGTGCATTCTCACCTTGTTCATTGCGAATGCAAGGTTCTACAGTTGATCATTTATCTAGGATCGCGACTATTTGCTGCTCGACAAGCTGATACAGCACTTAGTCGTGTAAGATCTTTAGACGGTATTCGGATTGCTCTAGGTCAGGGCTGTCCAACATACGGCCGGCGGGCCGCATGCGGTCCGCGAACTCCTTTCTTGCGGCCCACTTCACGTGTCGTGTATACATCATATGTATAAATTACTCTCAAATACCGAATATGCGCAATTCTTACATTAACGATAAAATACAATAACACTGGCGGCCGATAGCAGGCCGCAGCGAATTTGCTGGAAATTGGACCGATCTCTCGATCATCCCCGAATATTCCAGAAGCCACTGGCGCGTATACAGGGTGTTTCAGTTTATTGTTGCATAACTTTAAGATTCGATAGAACTTTTAAAATTAATGCATAAAGTCTATATAAACATGGGTCGAAAAATGCGTGGCTTCCGAAATACAGGGTGTTTAAATTTGCTTTCTAAAATAGTTTTTTTTAAATATTTCGAACAATATCTGATGTATAACAGTGAAAATTGGTATACAAGGGTTTTTTGGTACAACAAAACGAACCATGGGTTTTACTGTAGCCGCTAGAGGGCGCTCTCTACTGTACCTGTAGTGTATTAAAATTTTTTCTTAGTGCAATTTTTTGCTTTTTGAATAAAAAAAACTGATTCTTCGCACTTTTCAACATAAAAAAGCTCTCTTGTGAATTTTCGTTATAGTTAGCCGTTTTTGAGATATTTCGATTTTTAAGGTTCGATGCATTCTTAATTATTTATGATAAAATAACGTTAAAAAGTCAGTATCTCGATAATTTTTAGAAGTAGGCTCTGCCTGCAAATATTTTTGAAATTGAAAGCAGAATAAGGTTAAACGTCAATTAGTTGACAGTTAGTTTTGTTGTCTGTTGAAACCTGAAACGTTTTTTTGCAATTGTGAATGCACGAAATTTAGTTTCTTTTACCTGTTTTTTTTTTTGTAAGTTTTATAAAAATCCCATTTTTATTCTCCAATCAAGAGTTAGCGGATATTCATTTTGTGTATGGCTTTGTAAATGGAAACGCAGCAGAAGCAGAGAATACGCACGAAGATTTCCAAACAAACGACATCCAACTCGCTCAGTATTTGTAAGGGTGCATCGTCAAATAATTGAAAATGGTTTTGGCAATCTCCAAAGGGATCAAAACATAAATGTTCGTCAGCGCAGATTTACCCGTATGATTCTGCGTGAGTTTGATAGAGATCCGACCACAAGTGTAAGGAGAGTTTCTGGTGCCTTGGGAATTTCAGCAAGCCATGTTCACCGTGTTCTTAGAAATGACCATAGACGTCCTTACCATTTGCAACCTGTGCAAGGACTACAGCCAGGGGACGGAGAACAAAGAATCACATTTTGTCAGTGGATTCTTGATAGAACTGATAGTAATAGGGAGTTTTTAAGTAACGTTTTATGGACCGATGAGTCATGCTTCACTAGACGTCGAGTGGTAAATTTTCATAATCAACATATTTGGTCGCATGAAAATACGCATGCAGTTCGGGAAAGAAATTTTCAGCATGAATTTAGTGTGAACGTGTGGATTGGTATCTACCGTAATCGACTATTTGGACCCTACCCTTTGCCTGCAAGGTTAAATGCTGCAACCTTCTTGGAATTTTTAAAGGCTGAACATGCAAATATGTGGGATGATGTTATGTTAGATTTAAGAAGATTTGCCTGGTTCCAGCTTGATGGTTGTCCAGCTCATTATTCGAGAATAGTTAGAAACTGGCTGGACAAAAATTATCCAGAAAGATGGATCGGCCGTGGAGGACCAGTCGCCTGGCCTCCACGATCCCTTGACCTAAATCCATTAGATTTCTTTGTGTGGGGATTTCTAAAAGAAAAAGTGTACCAGACTCCCGTAACCACAAGAGATATGTTAATAGACAGAATCAGGAATGCATGTGATGAAATAAGGCCTGATTTGAATAATGCTATACCACGTTCGATCATTCGTAGATGTGAATTGTGTATTGAACTACTTTAGATTTTGTATGTTTGTCCTAACTATCCAATATCATTTTAGTTGTAAATAATTATTTAAATTTGTTAAAAATAATATTGGAAAATTAAACAAATTAATATTCTGTTTTTTTGTGTTTATTTGGAGTTAGGAATTATTGCTGTGTTTAAAAACACAATCTAAACGATCATCTTAATTACTTGTAATGCCCAAATCGAAAATGTAAAAAAAATATTAGTTTCCCATAAATAATTAAAAATGCATCGAACCTTAAAAATCGAAATATCTCAAAACGGCTAACTATAACGAAAACTCACAGGAGAGCTTTTTTATGTTGAAAAGTGCGAAGAATCAGTTTTTTTATTCAAAAAGCAAAAAATTGCACTAAGAAAAATTTTTCGCTCATTTTAATACACTACAGGTACAGTAGAGACCCCCCTCTTGGCTACAGTACAGTCTTGGCCATGGTTCGTTTTGTCGTACCAAAAAACCCTTGTATACCAATTTTCACTGTTATACATCAAATATTGTTCGAAATATTTAAAAAAACTATTTTAGAAAGTAAATTTAAACACCCTGTATGTCGGAAGCCACGTATTTTTCGACCCATGTTTATATAGACTTTATGCATTAATTTTAAAAGTTCTATCGAATCTTAAAGTTATGCAACAATAAACTGAAACACCCTGTATAGGAAGGTTGAATCAAGCGGGACAGGCAGTTTTGTTCTAGAGCTAGTGCGTTTCAGTACACAGCAACTCTAAAGTCTTATTAAGTGAAATACTCCGTGAAATATCACAGAAACGAAAAATAACGAACGAACATCGAGTTTATAATGACCGTTGAGAATCAGAATATTTAATCTCAAACAATAATAATAAACTTCAGTGCATTGTTTGTATGCAAGTACTATCGGTTCCTAAATAATATAATATGAAACGACATTACACTATGTTACACGAGAAAACGTTTCGGCAATATTCCGGGGACTCGAAGCAGGCTATCATAACGGAATACAAGAAAAAACTAAAACAACAAACAAGTTTTTTCAGAAAATCTGACTCTGATAACAAGTGCAGTATTGCCGCTGGAAATTGCCAAAGCAAAAAACCTTTTAGTGATGGAGCGCTTATCAAAAAGTGTGCAATATAAATGGCGAAACAATTCAATGAATTAAAAGTTGCCGAAAAATTTGAAACAGTCTCAGTTTCGCATCAAATAATTGCAAGATGGGTGGACCATATCAATGAAGATGTATCCAAAAAATTGCGTGACGTGGTTGAAAAATGTAAATATTTTTCGCTATGCCTGGATGAAAGCACTGATCTGTCTGACATTAGCCAGCTTGTAATTTTTATCCGAACTATTCAAGACGACTTCAGTGTAGCAGATGAGATGCTTAACTTATTCCTCTCCATGGTACAACTAAGGGTACAGATATTTTTGAAGCTGTGAATAAGTTGGTGTCAGACTACGGGGGATTTGATAAATGTTCCTGTATTGTCACTGAGCGCCAGAGCTATGACAGGGACTGAAATTGGATTTGCAGGACCAATGAAACAAAACAGCATCAACTGTCTTATGCTACATTGTATTATTCCCCAAGAGAGCTTATGTGGAAAACCTTTACGTCAAATAAATGTCATGAAAGTGGCTGTTAAAATAACTAATATTGTTAGAGGGGGCAGTCGTGCTTTGACTCACAGAAAGTTTCGTGATTTTTTGGCCGAAGTGGATGCTACATATGGGGACTTGTTACTTCACACCGATGTTCGTTGGTTAAGCGCCGGAAAGTGTTTGCAACGATTTTTCGCTCTACGCAAGGAAATTCCTATTTTCCTTAAAAAAAAAAAGTCCGACACTACGGAACTGGAAAATCAAATGGCAGATGCACAATTTTTAGCAGACCTTGCATTTTTAACAGACATGACATCTCACTTTAACGAATTGTATTTGAAGCTACAAGGAAAACAGCAGAATATTGCCAACTCTTATTTGGACACATAAATGGGTTTAAGAATAAAATTAAGCTTTCCAAAAAATGGTTTTTCATTTTTTCCAATTTGTAGAGAACATTTCGAAGAAATGACGGATTTTGAGGAAGTTTCATATTTACCTCATATAAAATACATTGACACAATTGCAGAAGAACTCAAAAATCGATTTAGTGACTTTAAAAAAACCGAAAGCGACATTTCAGTTTTTACTCAACCACTAACAATTTCTGTTGAGAACGTAAGCAGAGCAGACCTTCAACTGGAATTGTGTGATTTGCAATCAGATCCTTTTTACCAAGGAAGAACTGAAATTGGCTTAGACTTTTTTAAGTTACTGCTAGAACGATACCCCAACTTGCGAAACTTAGGACTTACAATGGGATCAATGATGACACACGGGATGATGACGTCAGTTACTCGAATCGCTTGAACGCGTTGGTTTTAACCGCGGTTTGTTGCAAGTTGTTTATTTTAGAAAAGCGCGTATATAATTTCTGATTATTTTTATTATCACTTAATAATCGGTGATTTTCGTCTACAACGTGGTTACTGATGGAGCCATGGCTTTGGAGCTACGATAACTTTCAATTCTCTAAACTTTTCCGCATGTCAAAGAAAATATTTATTGATGAAAAAGCGATGAAAAAAAGATATTAACAAAACCGTATACAGGTGGACATCATCCAGTGAGTTTATACGGCCATATTTTAATATTCTTGTGGTATATGGCTATACAGGATACTTTGTTAAGCGTAGGAACTAGATTTAAACTGTTCCCAACAACAGTAATGATTATAAATAATAAGGTGCTCTCTTATGCTAAAACTGAAGTCAGCCTGTATCAAGTTTCCCAAAAATGAAGCTGAACTACAATAAAAATATCCAATATCCGGCAAAATTCTAACTTGTGACATGTCAAATAATAACCAGAAATATAAAACTACTCCCGAGTTGGGTAAATACCACAATTTTGCGGTGATAACTATGACATATAACAGCTGATTCATGACGTCACGGATTTTATAACCAAACTGATAACCACACTCGCTTGAACGGATCGGTAAATACCAATCCAAAATGGTAAATACCATTTCCATTTGGTTATCCGCTTGAATTTGATTAATACCTTTATTAAACGATCATACGCGAATAAACATGCTTACTTCTATCTCCCTCTTCTGTCAACTGTCAGCGATCAAACGTCAGTGACCATGTCAATCGGCAAGCACAAGCGCGCGATGTCAACGACCACGTCATCCGGCAAGCACAAGCACGCGTATTTCAAATTTTCGTTAGTATACTATAACTATCTAAAACTGTAATGACTCATCGATGTTCACGTGAACATCACTTAACTACCAGTAGTCGGCTGTTCATAGGCGGGGTATGAATGTTTAACATGGGTGAACTAGATTTGTCACATGCTTAATAAAGAGTGGTTTGAAACATATTGTAAGTCAAAAATTTGGAAATTACCTTTGTCTATCCAGGTTTTTTTAACTGTGTGACCTGCATTTACCCATGTCTCATCCAAATAATAGATTTTTCTGCTTTGTCGCCTATATTCAATCATTTCGCGTAGGTATTTTCGACGCCAGGCGACTATTTCAGGTCTCTCTATCAATACTGACTTCCGATTACGCGTTTCGTAACGAAAATTAATTTCGTGCAGGGATTTCCTCATTACCTCGACGCTCATTTGGGGTATAATTTCATTTTCCTTGATCGCTGCATGTACAGCCTTGAGGGTTGGTATCTCATTCCTAAAGAAGAATGAATGTACGGTTCGCCTTAACGCCATTTTGCTATCGCCATCCAATTTAACGGCCTTTCGTCCCTTCAAATTAAACTTTGGATCAGTAGTAGCTCCAGTTTTCTTCTTTTCATGCACCACCCTGCGAATGGTCCACTCTGGAACGCCTGTCATACTTTCACAACGCGCGAGTGTATCTCCCTGCGACATAGTTCTGTTCAGATAATTGAACACGTTGAGCACGATTTCTTTCGCGTCCCTCTTCAGTGCTTTACGAAGCCGTCTACTTGTTCGCTGGCTTTCAGTACTCGTGCCATTTGTACTCTCCATGGTTAAGTATAACCAAAACAGTATCCACAGAAACCACAACAATAACAATCACACAACAATTCTTATAAAAACACACAATATGCGATCGCTCAACGAAACACGTTCCAATGCGTTGCCGACGCCTATGAGTCTCCCGGTCGAGGCGCGTCTTTGATTTCATCGGTTCTACCGGCGGAGAACAATCAGCCATTATTTCCATCTCTGTCTGTGCTGTTGACCACCGCAAAGCCACAGAAACGACATATGTCGTACGCTATACGGCTGTGCTGGAAGGAAGCCGGGATCGAGCTCTGATCACGTGTTGATCACGCGTATGAGTCATTACAGTTTTAAATAGTTGTAGTATACCATACCTTTTTTTTCTTCGCAGGCAGTCTGCGTGACAGCGAGCCGACGTCGCCCACTTCTCCGGGCAGCCCCGATCCGAACGTCACGCGCAACGGTGCCACGTCACCGGTGGCCTTGACGCAAGCCTTGAGCACTCTGGCAACGTCGCCGCCGTTAAGGTGGGCGTCCACTTCATCAACCACCAATGGCATGTCACGCAACGGCACCTTTGTCGGCATGGGACCGGCGACAGCCGATGCTGAGGCACTCATCTCGATCGAAGTGATGCTTATCACGGGACAGGAACCGATGCAGATTGCTAATGTCCAATTCAACAATTTGGACATCATCGGTAAGTAGTTTTCTAAAGAGGGGGGAAGTGGGTGGGTACTATTTAAGATTAAATTTAGGTTTATGTCCTTTTTTTAAAGCATTTCTTTCTGTTCTATTTGCGTATACCAACATATTTGTCTTTAAAGGGTCCAGATGAAGCTTATGACTACTACTAAACTTTTTAATTTGGGCAAGAATTGATCAATTAATTATAAGCTGTTTCCAAGTCATTACTCCTAACTCAATAAAAAATCTGAGTAACGTCGGCAAAAAATTGTATGCTGCATGAGTTTACCTCTGTTTCTAAATCAGGTATATATATATATATATAACAGGGGCCCTAACACAGATCCCTGTGGTACACCAAAACAAATTTTTTGTGCGGTATACTGTTTATTTAGACGAACACTAAGTCGCAACAAAATTGAAATTAATAATTGTAATCAAAATGAAAACAAAATATTAAATTAAACGTTCGAACAGACCTCAGATTTCCGCGTCACCGTTGCTAGGCAACGTGGTGATCACCTTCGCTCTTCTCTTTCTAACATATGTTGAAACACACTTATCGCGTTTCTCTCTCGTACACATTGAAATCAAGCTGTCAGACCAATTTGGTTTTTGTTTGCTTGTTGAAGATTTATTTAGCACTAATTCTACAAAGTCAATTTTGCATAATTATTCGCTTGCACATTTTTCTTCAATCCATTTTCTGTAATTTTACATTCTTGTCTATTACACAGTGAAAGGTCGACGAATAAAAAAAATATATTCGACGACTACGTGTTCCCTTCACTGTTTTTTTAAAACAACTTCAGCAACAATCTCGCCAACTTAGTAAGTAACTATTTTTCCTCCTAATTGTTAATTGTTGCTATTGTCAATAATTGTTTTCAGCTCCAGACGATGAAGACCTAGATCTTCGAAAGCTCGAGTTTAAGTTATAAGAATGTACTTTTGCAATACTTTGCTACTTACTACCCAAAGAAATTCAAGGGTATTTTTTCCTAACAGTTAAGACAATTAACTACACATACTATATATATATATATATATGTATCGTCCGCAAATATTTGAATTTTGCAGTGTTCTAAAATGTCAGAGATATCATTTATATAAATAATAAATAGTAACGGTCTTAATTTACTCCCCTGTGGCACCCTTACTGATATATTTTAAACGCTTGTCATAATATTTCCAACTTTAGTTTTTTGACTTCAAATGCCCTTTCAAAGTCTAAAAATACTGTTGCAATACATTATTTCTCATCTCTACTTCTTCTCTAGTCTTCCACCACTATTTGGATTGCTGTTTCTGTAGAACATTTTTTTCGAAATCCAGCTTGATTTTTAGTCAAAATTTTTGGTTTCTTCAATAAATTCAATGATTTGTTCGTATATTATCCCTTCGATCAGCTTCTTGACATCTGGCAAGACATTAATTAGTCTCATTTGTATACAGCTCAGGCGCAGGAGTAATAGTGGAACACTTTAATTCACCATGTACTAAATAATGATTCACCAATAATAATAATGTCTTTCCAATTAGATTGAAACATTCATTTAAAATCTTTTTTGAGAGATTGGATTCTTATTAGATTTCAATTCTGAGATAGCTTTTCTCAGATTGTTGATGTTTATTGTCCTTAGTTGATTCATTAATGAATTATGATATACTTGTAATGAACATATGTAAGTTTCGATCACCATTATAAATCGTATTCACTATTTGATTTACACTGTCTTTAAAATAAGTATTCATCCTTTCTGCTATAATTATTTTTTCTGCCACTACCCCATTTTCGTAAATTATGTCAGAATTATTTTTATTGCTATCTATCTTATTTTTTCCCTGCATAAAAAGCGCTATAGTTGTAGTCACTGTATATATCTCGAATCAATCTTCAATATAAAATTGTACAATGCCCGGAAATACGATCAATGGGGGAGACCGACAGCTCGTGCTAAATTTATTAGAGTAAAACAGCGATCCCCTGTTCATGCGTCCTGAAGAGAGTAGCAGATGCGCTGAAGACTAAGATCTGCCCATGGTGCGGAGACTCGATCTGTTTACTTAATTCATACGGCGTTGATGACGTAACCGTCAAGAACGGTTACTACAACCTTATCAATATCTAATCCTCCAACTCTTCTCTCCATTCCAGCTAATCAGGAAACCATCGTCGAACTGATGGGCTTCATCAGACGCGTATTTCCGAAATCGCGCAAACCGGCGATGACCACCCTTTCCAGTTACGTTTCGTCCAGCGTCCAACACTCAACGGAGTCGCTGCTAGACGAACCGGATTCGGCGGCGATAGGCACCACAAATACGCAGATCACGTTCGATTTTCACAGGTTGAACGTTTTGCTGTTGAGAGGCGTTGTTAAGGATGGCAGTCTGTACGGGAAGAAAATATGCACTGCAACGATGACCGAAGCGAAGATACAGGCCAATGTCAGTTCGAAGTTGGAAGTGGAAGGGTCTTTGGGAGGCTTGCAGGTATTTTTAAAATGTTAGTTGTGTAAGTTCAGCACAAGTTGAATACTCTGAGAAAAAAAATAGTTACGAACATTTACAAGTCAGTTAAATAGGTTCAGCAAAAGGAGTGGGTTTTTTAGCAAAATTTCCAAGATCGAAAATTGAGAATCTGACGTAGCCCCAAACTTTGCTAAAAAACATTACTCTCTTTGCTAACCCTGTATACGTGGATGGGTAAAAGAAATATACCGATCGAACCCTGTACATGTTCTCAAAGAGTTGGTCAAGAACCTTCCGAATAGCGCATCTCGATATCTCTTTCAGTTCCGAAAATATCTAGATCTGAATTCGGGTGAAATTTTCCATGTTGCAAAGCGACTGTCCACCAGTTTATTTTCCCCGAGGTCTGCCGTGGAAATAGTAATATGATAGATGTTTTATACAGGGTAAACGTTATGATAGTCATTATTTAAATGGGTGATAGAGAGTGTTAAAAGAAGCAAAAATTTTCATATAACATGGGGGTCAAAACGGCATTTTTTAGAGAAAATCGACTTTAAAGTAAAATAAAATCTGACAACGCCGCAATGCCAGACACAAATTACGACGGAACGCAGTGTAAATAAAGATGGAGCTTGTTATTTCATTATTTGATAATGTACTCGTAAAATGCAATCAATTAAAACAAACGGACGTACCACGAACTGTCTTAACGCTTCACCTGGTGTGTGAAAGTTTATTGAACGTATTAAAAAAACCACTTATAAACAGGGAACACGATTTTGATACATACATTGTTTTTCTTTTTAAAACTCATATTGCACTTTTTTTGTATTTAAAGAAGTTGTTCAAAATGTCGTCCTGCACTTTCCACACAAGCTTCATTGCGACGAACCCAGTTTCTTCTTACTCTAGGCCCTCGAAGTTGTCCATTTATTGTTTCAGCCGCATTAAAAATTGTTTCGCGAAGTTGTGCGTCAGTTGTTATTGGACCAGCCCCATAAACTATCCCTTTAAGTTCTCCCCAATACCATAAATCGATCGGATTGAGGTCAGGAGATCTTGCTGGCCATTTTCGAGGATCTGGAGTATTTCGACCGATCCAGCGATTTGGATAATGTTCATTCAAATACTGAATGACGCCTCTAAAAATGTGTGGTGGTGCCCCGTCATGAAGAAACCACAAATTCTGTCTCCGTTGTAATGGCATGTTGTCTAAGGTCTGTTCCAAAAGTTCTGGTAGGTTATTGGCTAGAAAGCTAAGGTATCCTTATCCTGACAACTTTAGGGGTAACTCGAACGGGCCAATTACACTGGTCAACAAAATTTTAACTTCGTCGTGTCACACGGACTTTTTTGATATTTTTTACTTTAATTGGTGATTGTAAGAAAAAATAAACAGTTAAAAAAATTGCTAAACAAGGATTTTATTCTATTGAGTAATTTAAAATATTAAGAAAAAACACAGATCTCGTAAATCAAAAGTTATTTTTTTTTATAAATGACTTAATAATCTAAGATTTTCTTGAATATTTAGCTTCTGGTTGGTCCCTTTTAATTGTCCAGCAGTAATCTGCTAACATATTTGGGCTCCATTTGCCCTGGTTCCGCTTTTCCATATTAGAAATGTCCTGATGGAACCTCTCACCGTGCTCGTCGCTGACATCCCCTAAATTGTCAGGAAAAAATCCAGGTGCGAGTCTAAAAAATGGATCTTAAGTGACATGTTGCAACCCAATGCTTGATATGACAATAATAGCTCGCTAACCAACTCTCTGTAGCTGTCACTCTTGTGGTTACCCAAAAAATTTGCAACAACATTTTTAAAAGCCTTCCATGCAGATGTTTCTAAATCGCTTAATTTTTCTTCAAATCTTGAACCTTTTATTAACTCCCTAATTTGAGGGCCAACAAAAATACCCTCTTTTATCTTTGCATCACTTATTTTAGGGAATTTTTCTTTTAGATACAAAAATCCACTCCCATTGCGATCCATTGCCTTCACAAAAATTTTTATTAATCCTAATTTGATATGCAATGGTGGTAGAAGCACATTATTTGGCTGTACAAGGGGTAAATACTTTACGTTTTTTGCCCAGGAACTAACGATGCACGCGTAGGCCATGTTTTTTTTATATAGTGATTAGTTCTGTCTCGGCTATCCGATTCACATAAAAAGCAGCAAAACTTTGTATAACCCAGCTGAAGTCCAAGTAATAGTGCAACAACTTTAAGATCACCGCAGATTTTGAAGGAATATGTACTGTAATTTATTTTTTCAAGTAAAAGTTTCATATTTTCATAGGTTTCTTTCATATTTGCAGCATGGGCTAGAGGTACAGACGGAAGCTTATTTCCATTATGCAATAACACTGCTTTTAGACTTGCTTTCGAAGAATCAATGAATAAACGCCACTGAGAGAGATCAAAATCTATGTCCAACATTTTCATAATCTCATTTATGTTACTGCAAAACACCAAATCTCCATCCTGATAAAAATACGTTCTGAAGTGTTGATCACGGTTTCGAAAATAGCTAACTTTTGTATTATGATGTAGCAAATTCCATTCTTTTAGACGTGATCCTAATAGTTCTGACTGCTTTTTTGACAAATTTAAATCCCGAACCAAATCATTTAGGTCTCCTTGAGTTATCAAATGTGGCTCGTTTACAATTCCTTTCAACTCAAACTCATGGTCCTCGTCAACACATTCACCTGAAGTGGACGGTTGTGAATTGTTCTCAACAGACGTAGTTGCAACTGGTATTAGTTCTGGCAATTTTTTACAATGAGAGACTGGTCTTATAGTCGAAGATAAGTTAGGGTAAATAACTGTGGTTTTTTTCTTGTATTTTATACCTTTTATGTCTGTGAGACAAAAATAGCAATCTGAAACGTGATCCCGCTGTTCAGTCCATATCATGGGCACAGCAAACGGCATAGGTCGTGCACCTTTCTTCCAGTCAGTTAAATTTTTCACACACGTTATGCAACAGACATGAGGGGCCCAGGATTTGGCTTGATGGGCGACAGAAAAACCAAAACATTGGTGATAACACTCCAACACAAGATTCGTAAAATTTCGTCGTTGTTTTTTTGAATGTTAGTTCTCCGCAGACATAACAAAAAGAGTTAGGATCATTATTACATTTCCTCGACATATTCACAGGGTTAATAAATCACAAAAAAGTGTTCAAATTCAACAACAAATATTTTTATAAGGATTTACTTGTAAGCGTTTCTGTTAATTTACTGCCGTAGTACTAGTTATGAGTATTACCGTATCACAACAAATATGAGGCTAATAGACATATGACAGCTGTCATGTAATAATGAGGGTAGACTGATAAAACAAAATTAGCTGTCAAAGTTCGTGTGGCAAAACCAGTGTTGACCAGTGTTACCTGATCGTCAAGGATACCCGCCAAAATATTTATTTTAAAACGTTGTTGGAAATGACCTTCACGAATTGTATGAGGATTTTCTTGGCCCCACGTGTGAGTATTATGGAAATTTAATATCCCGTCTCGCGTAAAAGTACATTCGTCCGTCGCTAGAATGTTTTTAAAAAAATCCGGATTTTCAATGTTCTTGAGCAAAAACCACTGACAGAATGTTGTCTGCGAGGATAGTCTTCTGGTAACAAGGCCTGCACTCGTTGTACATGGTAGGGATAAAGCAAATTTTTCCGTAGGATTCTATTGACTATGGTATGCGATAGTCCTACGCGGCGGCCTAATTCCCGAGTGCTGATATCTGCATTGATTTTCACGATATTTAAAATTTGTTCCTCCTGCTCGACAGTAACATGTCTTTCACGAGTGCGAATATTAGTGGGCTGAACACTTCCTGTATCTCGAAGTCTTTGGTACACTTGCACGAATGTCCCTGTGTCTGGGTGTACCCGTTCGAGAAATCTGTGGCGCTAAATTTGAGCTGCAAGATTTGAATTCCGACGAGCTTCACCGTAAACTAACAGCATATCGGCGATCTCTTGATTCGAGAACATTGTAAATAAACACGACGACGTACGCGAACAAAAACAAAACAACACGCCCGACGCAAAACGATAACTAACCACTGTTACCGTTTTCGATTGCCGGTTCGATAAGAGTGATGAAAGACTGACGCGCTGTTGTCATGTGTGTTTTAAATATCTAATTTAATGAAACTTACTAGAAATTTTGACTTAACTTAGAAAAACTTAATGCCATTTATTTGTTAGTTACCCAATTTAAAAAAGTTTTAGATTAGATTATAAAAATTAGTAAGATTGTGGTGATTGCGGTAGATATAAAGCACTAAAAGTTGTAAACTATAAAGCCATTTAGACAAAAATCTATTAAATTTTGGACCCTGGGTCATATGAACTTTTTGACTTGGTTTGACCCCCCTTTTCCCCATTTCAATAATGACTACCATACCGTTTACACCCTGTATAGTTTGATATCGAAGATTCATCGCACCTAAGTGAACCTATGTAATCACGATTCAATTTTGCCTTTTGAAGCGATTTGACTCATTCTTTTTCTTAGAAACCTCCAGCGAGGGCGTAGGAATTATAGAGTCAATCTACTTGACGCCATTTTGGCCGGTCTGCCGTAAAACCTTTGCCCATTAGTCGCTGTCTGATGTACGTTAGTCGAATCTGTCAGTCCTGGTTGCCCAGAAACCAGACAGTGTTAAGGAAAAAGAGAAAGGGAAAGATAAGAAAAAAGGATAAGAGCAAAGAAAAACAGAAGTGTATTAGTTTAAGAGAAAACTTACTGTTAATTACTGTGTTCTCAATACAGTGAATTTTTAAGTGTCACCAAGTCATTAGAAAAATGGAACTCAACCGAGAACATTTTCGCGCCATAATTTATTACAACTTTCAGACACAATTAACGCAACAAAAATGCCTTGCTGAGTTACTGTCTGTTTTCGGCAACGAAGCGCCACATCAGTCGACAATTTCCCGTTGGTATCGAGAATTCAAACGTGGTCGGGTGAGTCTTAGTGACGATCCCAGGGTGGGTGCACCAAAAACGGCAGTCACCCAGGAAAAAGTCGATGCTGTGCGCAAACTCATCATTGAAGATATATATATGACATATCGCGAGATTGAAGCGTCATTGAAGATCTCAAAGACCTCAATTCAAAAAAAATTACATCGTTGGATACCCCACCTGTTGACTGAAGATCAGAAAGCAGTCAGGGTTAATTGGTGTCAAAAAAACACTTGTTGGTTTCAATTCCGGAAACTCAAAAAATGTGTACAGCATTGTTAGTGGTGATGAATCGTGGATTTACTGTTATGAACCAGAAAATAAACGACAGTCGGCTGTTTGGGTGAAGAAAAGCCAACAAAAGTCATCCGTTCTCGAAGTGTTTCGAAAAAGATGGTCGCGACATTTATGTCAAAAGCGGGTCATATTGCAACCATTCCTCTCAATGAGCAAAGAACTGTTATTACGGATTGGTATACCACCATTTGTTTGCCAAAAGTCATCACCGAGCTTCGAAAAATCAACCCCGAAAGAAGAATCATCCTCCACCAAGACAATGCAAGCTCGCACACAGCCCAAAAAACAAGGCAGTATTTGGCGGAAGAAAACGTGGAACTATTGGACCATCCTCCATGTAGTCCCGATCTAAGTCCTAACGATTTCTTTACATTCCCGAAAATTAAAAACAGACTGCGTGGTCAAAGGTTCCAGTCGCCAGAAAAAGCAGTTGACGCATTCATAAATGCCATTTTGGATCTGCCAGCATACGAGTGGAATAAGTGCTTCGAAAATTGGTTCTAGCGCATGCAGATGTATATTAATCTTCGTGGAGAATACTTCGGAAATCAATAAAGTCATTTAAAACTACCTACCGTGTTGTTTTAGTTCCATATGCAAAACTTAAAAGACATCCCTCGTAATTTTGAAGTGAACTTAAAACATAATTTGATTCAGGTTTTGTTAGAGTGTAATTTTGAGTTAACTAAATGAGTATTTGCAGGTGTTGGACCTGACTCCAGAAGGTTACATGCACCAGCGAATCATCAGCGTTGGACGAGATCCGTTACAAGAAACGCCTCACCCGATGTACTTGATACCTCAACAGCAAGACGATCGAACCGCATTCAGTTTCAAGGTCCGTAGAAACCTGGAGGCGCCTTGCGGTAAAGATAAAGCTGACATCATCATCAGAATGGCGTCGTTGTGGTACACGCACTCGCCAGTATTCATAGCAGAATTGCAGTCGTGTGCCACCGAGTTCAAACAGTACCTCTCCAATCTGGCCAGGAGTATAAAGATCGCCGCGACTGATATGGCGCTAGGCCTGGTAAGTAGCAGGATTTAATAATAATAATGCTTTATTGCCCAACAGAAATTGATTCCATTTACAGGACATACTATGAACCCGCACAAAGAATATAACTACATATTTGAAGAAATTAAAAAAATGATATAATGGGTGATTTTTTTGCTTGTATCTTTTTGGCAACACTGTTTTTGACAGATGACGCGTGAATCGTGTCTTGTGTCATTGTCAGACTTGTTCAGTTTGGTCTATAATTTAACCATGAATCGACTTACGAACGAACAACGCTTGCAAATTATTGAATTTTACTATCAAAATTCATGCTCGGTTAAGAGAGTGCATCGAGCACTGCTTCCAATTTATGGGCAATTTGGTCGGCTTACTGAGCGAGCTATTCGGAAGCTTGTGACTAAATTTCGAACCTAGTTTACATTATTCGACATTAAACCACCAACACGCAGACGGAGAGTGAGGACTGAAGAAAATATTGCGGCTGTATCCGCCAGTGTTAGTGATGACCGTGAAATGTCGATTCGCCGCCGTTCGCAGCAATTGGGCCTCTGTTACTCCATTACGTGGAAAATTTTGCGACAGGATTTGGGTGTAAAACCTTATAAGCTTCAGCTGGTGCAAGAACTGAAGCCACACGACCTCCCACAACGTTTCCAATTTGGTGAATAGGCGCTGGCAAAGTTGGAGGAAGATCCACATTTTTATCGAAAAATTGTGTTCAGCGACGAAGCTCATTTCTGGTTGAATGGGTACGTTAACAAGCAAAATTGCCGCATCTGGAGTGAAGACCAGCCAGAAGCATTGCAAGAGCTACCAATGCATCGCGACAAAAATCACTGTTTTGGTGTGGATTATGGGCCGGTGGCATCATCGGGCCGTACTTCTTCAAAGACGACAATGGCCGGAACGTAACTGTGAATGTCGAGCGCTACCGTGCGATGATAACAAACTTTTTTTTGCCCAAAATGGAAGAGCTGGACTTGACTGACATGTGGTTTCAACAAAACGGTGCCACATGCCACACCGCACACGAAACAATTGCCCTATTGAGAGGCGAGTTCGGTGAACAGTTTATCTCACGTTTGGGGCCCGTCAATTGGCCGCCTAGATCGTGTGATTTAACGCCGTTGGACTATTTCTTGTGGGGCCATGTTAAGGCTAATGTCCACAGGGATAAACCAGCAACGATTGACGCACTGGAAGCCAATATTGAAGCATTTATTCGTGAGATACCGGCCGATATGTTGGAGAGAGTGTGCCAAAATTGGACCTTGCGCATGGGCCATCTAAAGCGGAGCCGCGGCCAACATTTACATGAAATAATCTTTAAACATTAAATTATATCGACCGTTTTATCGACTCAAATAAAGATTTAATCGTTTTTTCATTTTTTTTGTGTTTTTTTGTAAATCAAATCCTATACCTCTTAAAAAATCACCCGTTACATATTTTGTATTTTTTGCAATTTTGTGAAAAATACAGCATTATTCCTTAAAATCCGACATACAGCTCAGGTGTTGCATAGTACTCAATGAGTGCTTATTCTACGAGGGTGGTCTGAAAAGTCTAATCGGCGCCAAAACTCTGATTTATTGCGCCTAAACTGCTCCAACAGAGCGTTGGAAATGTTCATTCGGATAGGTTCTTGGTCTAACGTGAGCAGACGCGGCAGCTCACGCGCGGACAGCTTTCTCATGCCTAAATTTTGATTTAATATGTGACAAACACGTTCTTTTGTCATGTTCATAACCTCTGCTATCTCTCTCACTTTAATTCGGCGGTCGTCTAGCACCATTTACTGAACTTTGGCGATGTTTTCGTCGGTAGTTGCAGTTTTTGGACGTCCCGAACGTCCATCGTCTCCAAAGCTCTTACGGCTACGCGTATAAATTTAATTGCCCCAAATTTGACTGTGGTAAATGATGGTTCAGAGTTCCCATACACATAGTCCAACTCATCTTTGATTTGCATAGGCGTATTGCCTTTCAAAAATAAATATTTAATGACAGCTCGACATTTTCACAAAAACACTCACATCAACTCACTCAAACGACTTACATTACAACTGCGCCTCCAAGATGGCTGAAACTTTGATGACTAATTATCAACATATGAACAACGAAATTCACTAGCTTTTATTTACAAGTGCTGCCATCTTCACGTTGAGGTCTGAAACTATTCAGACCACCCCCGTACTTACCTTAGACCGTTCAAAAATCGGATTAACAAAATTTCTTTGGGATCCTCATAGCAGCCGCGGTGCCCTGGCTTCTGCCTGCTTCGTTGTAAAAAATCCTTGACTTTGATTATAATTGGCAGAAGATCGATTAAAGAATCCTTGGAACCACCCATTGTGTTTCAGGTTCACGCAAGAGCAGAAGCGCTAGCTCAATCGCTGAGCATGAACAAACGATTGCCGAGCTCCCTCTATGGCAGCGCGCTGTCCTTCACGGAATCTGCCTCGCCGAGTCGCAGAAGACGACGATCTAGTTCTGCGGACGCTTCCGGGTACGCTTCCGCCAGGGACACCGTACCTCAGACCCCGTACAGCCCCGCAGATGACGACGATTTCATCATAGATCTGATGTTGAACATAGAACTGGACAGTCCGGTTGTGGTGCTGCCGCGGAAGAGCAACAGTCCTGAAGTTTTTGTGGCTCATCTGGGTAAGACATGGATAAACACACAACTACTAGCTTGTTACACCTCACTCAGTATGTTTGTGAATCTACGGATAGACAATTTCAAACGAATGTAATATACACCAATTTCTCTAAAGCGTTTGACAGCTTGGAATTGGAAACCAGACATCGATCATCTCTTTCTGTCGATGCCTAGACATATACAGAAGTGTATTCAGCTGCGGGGTCGCCCAACACATTATTAATTGTTTTCTTATTCTTTCATGAGATTGTTATCGTTTCATTCTTGATATAAGACGTCCTCATTGCCAAAAAATCAATTTGAAGAAATTATTTTTTCTGGGTGTATTGTCACTGAGTATATTCAGTCCTGAAAATATGATGGTGTCTGTTTTATGTATAAATTCATGATTTAAATTTATAAAATCAAGGGAGCATTTAAATGTCATAAATAATGTCTTATTAACATTGAAAAATCACACCACTTTTTAATTGATTATATATCACTGTCAATGTTTGTCTTAAATTCATTTAAATCTATGACTTGTCAAAGTATTGTGGTATCATCAGCAAAAACTATGAATTTAAAAATTGAGTGAAGTTCCAGTACAACCATTCTTTTTATTTTAGTATATCATGATTTACAAAGTCAAAAAATTTGTTTATCGTTAAATTTGAATATAACTGTTGGAGTAATGTGATAATAGCATCGGTGGTATTTTTTGTTTTTGAAATCCAAATTGATCATTTTGTTGATTTTCAGAAAATCTATTTATTCTAATTTGCATTATTTTGTGTATTATTTTTGCTATAACTGTGATTAAACTTATGGGTCCGACATTTTCTTATACACTGTATATCACTGGAACCTTTATAAATGGAATAACTATTGATGCGAAATTCTATAAAAGTAATTTATACTCTTGGATATTTTTGAAATAATATATTCATAAGTCAAATTTTAATTTACTGTCTACGTATATGCCCAAATATTTAAATGATTCGATTGGCACAATTTTTTCATGATTAATTGTAAGATTTATCGTATTTTGATTAGACACATTTCCATGACAAATCAGATAAAAGAAAGCTCCGGTTATTTTTTGTAGGTAAAATAAGTGTCAGCAACTACTATATCGACGATTCCAAGACAAACGGTTACGATTACGATTGTTCAGACTTCAGGATAGAACATTACGATATCGAGGTGAAAGACATGAATATCTATTCTTTGGACACGAGCACAAGAAGAGTTCCGGGGCCTAGCATAAGTAAACCCGAGGTGCTTTATAGCTGTTCCAGTTTGGCGAAGCCGATCCTGTACGATACTATGTTGCATTTGAAGATAGACAGGGAAGTGTGCAAGGATATGACGCGGTATGTAACAATACTTTATGTTTTTTTGACTGCAGTACTGAGAACATGAAAAGCTTAGTCAGGTCTCATACAAGTACGTGGCCAAAGATGATTCTTTGAGTGATTTTAAGATAGATAAGTTTATATGAACATGCATCGTTTTCAACGAACTTTTTTTTAAAAATCCATTTTTCCTAAATATCTTGATAAACTTTCAGTCGATTTTGTTTAAATTTAGCAGTGCTATTAAGAACAGTAAGTGGCTAATTTAGCCCAAATTAGATTGTATTTATTAAGTCCAGTGGCGTCTAGGAAAATACCCTAACCAATATCTTTGACATACAATTTGTACGCCACCGACTTTTTTCAATTATTCTTGAATTAAGCAGTTAAAGATACAACCTTTTTTGTCTTCTAAGTTTCTTTGATAACTCTCTACGAGATAAAAAATAAAAAGGACTTTATTGCATGTCCCTGGGAATTTGTTCGCACATATTGTATGAAGTAGAGCGTATACGCAAAATTGCAGAACAGTTGAACAACTTTACTGTATGGCAGATTTTAAGGGAATATAAGCTGTATCCTTACCACATACAGCGTGATCAAGCGTTATTACCTTCCGATTTTCCCCAACGAGTCGTTTATTGCACTTGGCTTTTGCCAAGGTAGCGTTTCCAAGATTTCTATCCCGTATTTTATTTACCGATGAAGTGTGTTTTTCCCTAAATTCAATTATGTATGAACTTTCACAATAATCATAATTGGCCTGAAGAAAATCGCCATGCGGTTACAACAACAGTTTTCCGTGAACTTTTGCATTGGTGTTGTAAGTGATTATCTCATTGGACCTTATTCTTTACCCCCGATATTAAATGGTCAAGAGTATTGTAGCGTTTTTCTGGGTTCTTTTGGGTGTGGATTAAAACACTGGATTCCACAAAAAGAAATGCACTAATTTATTTAACTTGATAAAATATTTATATGCACTATTTATGTCTGACTAATTCTTATGTCACCATTGACTGCACTATACTTCTCTTCGCGCTGCTACTCCATCTTATTCCGTAATCTCTCTTCCATCTCCCGGCCGCCGAGTTTTATAGTCCGCATCGTTGAGTCTAGAAGAATCGGGAGCCACATAGCGGCCTTCCCGAATAGTCGCGGTTGCTTCACGTCGATCTAGATGGCGATCCGCCGCCAGGTGGCTGGTGCGGTCGTGATTCACGTAAAAGCAGAGATCGGCCATGAAGCTCTAGCGAGTAGGAGGCTCGCCCAACAGATGGCGCCGACAGTATGATTCGTCACAGTATATATCAAAGGCTGTTGCAAATTATATAAACACAATTTTTTAACCAAGTACTCAATCTGTTTAAAGATCCTATAGTTAATATTCAGATACGTTCTATATTTATACTTACAAAAATTAGAGAATTAGTTGATACATTGCGTAAAGAGCTCGAGCAAGATTTTGTGAAGACTTGCTTGAAGGCGTTAAGTGAAGAAAAGATGGAAGCGATATCTAAGGAGGTTGAAGAGGAGATACAAATCAAAACAGATGAAAGCACTAGAGAAGATTTTGTGGGAAGTGACGATAGTTTGAACGTACAAAGTAGGAGAGAAAGCGCAAAAGGTGCAGAACAACAAAGTGTGAACAACGAAGCAAGCCAATCTAAGATATCAGATATAGTTGTAGGTTCATACCACTGTACAGAAAAATTAGGTAAGCTGACCATAGAAGACAAAAAGGAAGACACGGAAGAGACTGAGTTGAAAGAATAATCAATACTGTGTGTTGGGTAAAATGATGTTTAATTTATAAATATAACTACTGTTTGTAAGATTTTGTTTTATTTTTATCTGCACCTGCGATTCTTACACTTTTAGTCAAGTATTACGGTATGAACTGGATTACCGAGCATATACCTTACTTCAATATGTTCAGCGAAGATGTGAATTATCTCTATCGCTATGTGCCTTTATTTGGTATAATGGAGCTGATATCGCCATCTTTAGATGCACATGATAAACAGTTTTTGAATTGATTTCAATCTTTAGTTCAAACTGGGAATAAGAACGTGGCAAGGATCTTGGCAAAGATAAATTTGATGGTGGACAAACTCCAATCAAAGTTAGAAGAACCTGCTTGTAAAGACATCGTTTCCTTAAAAGAAAGTATAATATTAGACTTCAAAGACGATAACGTGAGGCTATACGCTGAAGATACGTTAGACATTCTTCAAGAATACCATAATTGTGATATATTCAACGTAACAGAAAAGGTGTTGAGGAGAATAATGGTAGCGTTTTTCTGGGTTCTTTTGGGTGTGGGTTAAAACACTGGATTCCACAAAAAGAAATGCACTAATTTATTTAACTTGATGAAATATTTATATGCACCACTATTTATGTCTGACTAATTCTTATGTCACCATTTACTGTACTATACTTTCTCTCCGCTCTGCTACATTACCGTATTCAGTACCTCCTTCCATCTCCCGGCCGCCGAGTTATATAGTCCGCATCGTTGAGTCTAGAAGAATCGGGAGCCACATAGCGGCCTTCCCGAATAGTCGCGGTTGCTTCGCGTCGATCTAGATGGCGATTCGCCGCCAGGTGGCTGGTGCGGTCGTGATTCGCGTAAAAGCAGAGATCGGCCATGAAGCTCTAGCGAGTAGGAGGCTCGCCCAACAGATGGCGCCGACAGTATGATTTGTCACAGAATCGTCATTTTTTGGAATTTCTTTTACCTGAATTAGAAAATGTCCCGTTGGAAGTAAGAGGGGTTTATGCACGATGGGGCTCCCCGTCACTTCCGTATAGTAGCTCGCCAATTTTTAGATGCAACTTTAACTTAGACCAAAACGAGTGAAAATCTTGAATCTGAAATTTGTGGTATCTGATACGTTTTATTACCGATCCTGATAATTCAATTTGATAGCTAAGTCCTATATCAAAAACGCTATTTTAAAAATTCCCACCAGACCATCGATAGCTAATTTTCTTATTTTTCCTATAGGTACAGCAGCGAGTCTAACCTCCTGTTAGACGACGATGACACAACTCAAAGTAGCTACCTCAATCCCGGCGAGAATATCCAAGTATCAGGAAGCATTGTGACTGCTTTGAAAATTTCATTAACTCGTTCCCAATACGCCCAATTGTTAGATACGGTAGACTGGTTAACATCATCTCCAAAACTGAGTGAAACTCAGGGTATATCGAGATTGCACCTGAGGCCTCAAGCCTCGCTGTCTGACATCTGCGAAGAGGATACCGGTAAGGCTTCGAGAATTTGAGGTTATATGCGGTTTAACAGTTCTAAAGCAGCGTCCAAATGTTAAAGTAAAATGCTGTATATACTAGTAGTAGTAGTAGAAAGATTTATTTAGCACATTTGGCTACATAAACAGAATAATTGTAAACAATTTAGAACTAGTAAATTCAAGCCATATGGTGTATGATGTAAATGCTGGGCAACCTAAAATTGTAGATTTAACAAGTGATTTCTCAATTTTACTTTAAATTTTGTCAAAGTTTTCTGGTCTTTTATCTCTGAGTATAATTTATTATATTCAATCAACCCTTGATGGAATACAGATTTGTAGCATATGTTATACTTTTTGGTCATTAAATGGAAGTCATCTTTATTTCTGGTATTATCTAAATGATGGTCGACATTTGATGATGTTAAATTAGTTAGACTTGATGGAAATATATTATTTTTTACTTTATAAATGAATATCATTACAAGATATTTGATAAAAAATTTTACATTGAGCCATTTTAATTTGCTAAGCATTTGCCTAATTGGAGTATATTTATCTTTATTTAGTATTATTCTCATGCACTTATTTTGTAAAATTTGCAGTCTTTCAAAAATGGAATTATTTGCTAAATATAGAATAATCGAACAGTACAAGAAATTTGGAAGAATGATGGTATTATAGATAATTTTTCTGCTATATGAACTCAGACATCCAGAAACTCTCGATAAATATCCGACTTTACTACTAATCTTATTTATATTTTTTCCATAATGAAATATAAATAAAAAAAAATTAATCGAGAGTCAACAAAAACCCCCAGGTATTTAAAATTTTCTACGAATTCAATATATTCACCATCAATATTCAGTTGAACATTTGTACATTGTTTTTTTTTTTCGATTAACAAGGCTTTCGTTTTACTTGCATTTAATTTTAGTCTGTTAGATGCTAACCATTTTGAGACAAGCTTCAAGTCTTCATTTATATAAGAGATACCAGACTGAATATTTTTAGTTCTTATATAAATCATAGTGTCATCGGCGAAAATCTGAATTTTGCATTTTTTGACTATGGCAGGTAAATCATTTATGTATAAAATAAAAAGAAGTGGTCCCAGGATACTGCCCTGTGGAACACCCAACGTATTTTCAATTTTTGATGAAATAGTGTCATTAACTTTTGTAACTTGCATCCTTTTAGACAAATAATTTCTAAATCAATCTAAAACACTTCCTGTTATACCATATGCCTTCAATTTACCTAACAAAATATCTCTATCAATCGTTTCAAATGCCCTCTTCAAATCCAAAAATACTGCTATGACAACTTCTTCTGAGTCTATGGCTCTTCTCCAATTCTCAGTTACCAACTGGAAAGCTGTTTCTGTGGAATATTTTTTTCGAAAGCCTGCTTCCGCCTCCACTAAAATTTTGTTTTCTTCTATAAACTGCATTAATTGGTCATGCGCTATGGATTCTAATAATTTTTCAATGTCTGGTAATACATTTACTGGTCTCATATCGCTGCATCTTTTAAAATTTTTTATTTTGGGAACTGGTGTTATTGTAGAGCATTTCAAATTTTCAGGAAAAGAACTGCTTCTCAGTGAACAATTGATCCAATTTAATACAGGATATCCCAAAATTTCGAAACAGTTTTTCAGCACGTTTTTAGTACTGATTTCGGCACAGTTGTTATTTGATATTTAAACTGTTTACTTTTTTGTAGATAATTCAATGATACGCTGTGAAATTTTGAAAGTGTATGCAACATTTCCCCCTGGAAACTGATTTTCATATAGTCAGGCATTGGCAGTACCCACAATATCAACAATACTTTGCACAAAATATTCATTTAGTTTGTTTGCAATCAGCAAAGAATTTGTTTCGGTACCGTTTTCGAATTGAACTTGATTTACACAATCATGCGGCTTCGAATTGATCAGTCTTTTTAAAGTCTTCCACATCTTTACACTGTCGCACTTGTTATTATCGATTTGTTTATCGTAGAATTTCCTTTTTTCTTCTCTAATTACATACACACATTTATTCCTAAGAGTTTTATATACCTCCCAATCATCATTTGATTTTGTGAATATACATTTATTGTATTGTTTGTCTCTCAAATTTTGAGCTGCCTTAATATTCTTGTTATACCAGGGTGTATTTTTTGTCGAGCAAATCACTTTTTTATCAGTTGCAAGATCTAAACAAGTTTTTATATTTCTTATTATGTTGTCATATATTTTTTCCATATTCTCACCAAAATTCCAATAGCAGCCAGCAAGTTCTCGTTCAAGTTTTTCGTACTTAATAGTATTTACGATTTTCTTAATTTTTGTATCAGAAAAATGCGCTACCAAGGGCAGCATTGTCCAACTGTGATCGCTAACTTTAGGTGTATGTACAGCTTTAATCCCTGCACATTCGAAATTTACAATAACAAGATCTAACAAAGTCTCTGATAATGATGTTATTCTGGTACTCTCTTCAATTTTTTGCTTGAACCCATAGTTGTTTATGGTTTCTTTCAATTTTCTTGTGTTCATCCTTTTACCATAATAATTTAAATTAAAATTACCTAAAAGTATTATATTGTTTCTAAAATTCCACATTTCTTCGCATTTTTCTTCAAAAAACGTTAAAAATGTATCCGCATCACTGTTTGGTGAACGGTAAAAAGTACAAAGATCATAACGTTTCCCAAATAATTTGAACTGTATATGTGCATACCAGTATGCATAGTAGAGTTGCATCTGTAGGTTTTATAATTAGTAATTTGTAATTCACCATCAGTGATGTCTTCTGTAGCATGTGTTTCGGTAAGACATAATACAAGTGGTTTTCTCCATCTTAAAAACTGTTGAACTTCATCTATATTATTCAGGACTCCTTGTATGTTTAAATGGCATATTGAGTTATATTCATTACTTACATATAAAACATATTTGCTATCATGGAAGCGTATACCGCTGATAAAATGCTGAAGGCAGTCCTGAATTGACTCATTGATTATGATATACTTGTAATGAACATATTTTGGTTCACCGTCTTCAAACAATATGTGCTGCACAGTTATAAGTCGAATTTTTTGTATGATATTTTTTTGACAGGTGTAACGACGTTGAATATGGATCCTCACGTCAGAGCGAAGCTGTTTCCTGTATCAAATCTCGGAAAGGCTAAAAAACAAACGCAACCCGCTGTAGCGATCAAAGTCAACTTTGATGTGCCTGTCTTTACTGTGGAACTACGGGGCGAAACGCCAATCGGAGAGCAAGGATTAGTCGATCTGTCGTTCAGAGATTTCGCTTTCAACTACGAAAAGTGTCATAGGTAATCCATATGAATCATTTTTTGAAGTTTGAAGAACTCGTTTAACGTTTTGTTTCGTTTTAGATACGATACAAACATCCAAATTTCGTTGCGGTCAATTTTCATGGAGGACCTGTTGCAGCCGGAAGGCAGCAAACAAAGAGCGATGGTACTGTCCTCGTCTGGTGATGACCAAGTACCGAACGCTGCATGCATTTCAAGGTCATGCCCTGACGTCACATATCACAGATACAGAACCAGCTCTTCTCACGGTTCCTTGCCGGATCATCTGGAGACTGCCAAGGTGTTCGGTACGGTTGCTTGATCATTGATTAATGTACGAGGGTCATTTTTTAAGTAAGAACTGTTATTTAATGGAGTCGGAGAAACATGAATTGTATCAGAAGTTAAAATACGAACATTTAATCATTTTTAACAAATATTTTTTTTATTATTAGCTTAACCTGTATCTATATTTCTACCTAATTTTCACCAATTTCAAAAAGTCTGATTACCTTGACAAGTTGCAGTCTCAAGGGCCGATGACAATACAATAATCATGGAAAAAATGTAAAAAAAATCGAATTTGAAAATTAAAAATATGAGTTTTTAAATTTGGAAAAAATTGGATTTAAAAATTTGGAAAATAATTAGAAAATTTGTAAAATCATTTGAAAATATGAGAAATTTTTAAATTTTAATTAAAAATTTGCTATTTTCGAAATTTAAAAACATACCAAAAATCGAAGCTCATGATTATAGGTATATTTTTTGACACTATAAATTCATTTTAGTTATAATAATAATAATAATAAATGGGCTTTATTTCGTACTTAAGTAAAAGTACAAAAAAGGCGAAGTGTCGCTAAGATTAGCGTTTTTCAACTTAGTTAAAACACGCTTTAATAGCAAATCGAACTAAAAAGTAGAAAACAAATTTCAAGTATCAACTCTCACATTAAAAATGACCCTCGTATACAAGATCGGTAGAGAATCAGATTTGGAAATTTGGAAAATTTTAAAATTCGGAAAATCATCTGGATATTTGGAAATTTAGAAAAAATGAAAATTTTGAAAAAGTGTGATTTTCAAAATTTAAAAAATATACAAAAAATCGTGCTTTTGATTATAAATACATTTTTGAGACTAGAAATTCACAAAATAAATTATAACTTGAAAAAAAAATAAAAACACCCTTTAATAGCAAATCGAACTAAAACGTAGAAAATAATTTTTAAGTATCGCCACTTACATTAAAAATGATCCTCGTATACAAGATCGGCAGAGAATCTGATTTGAAAATTTTGATAATGATAAAATTCAAAAAATCATTTGGATATTTGAAAATTTAGAAAAAATGAGAATTTTGAGAAAATGCAATTTTCGAAATTTAAAAAATATATCAAAAATCGTGTTTTTGATTATATGTACATTTTTTGAGACTAAAAATTCAGAAAAAAATTATAACTTGAAAAAAATTAAAAAACACGATTTAATAGCAAATCGAACTAAAAAATAGAAAATAATTTTCAAGTATCAACTCTCACATTAAAAATGACCCTCGTATACAAGATCGGTAGATAATCAGATTTGGAAATTTAGATAATTATTAAATTCGGACAATCATCTGGATATTTGAAAATTTAGAAAAAAATGAAAATTTTGAAAAAATGTAATTTTTCAAATTTAAAAAATATACCAAAAACCGTGCTTTTGATTATAAGTAAATTTTTTTGAGACTATAAATCCAGAAAATAAATTATAACTTGAAAAAAATTAAAAACACGCTTTAATAACAAATCGAACCAAAAAGTAAAAAATAATTTTTAAGTATCGGCTCTTACATTAAAAATGATCCTCGTATACAAGATCGGCAGAGAATCAGATTTGAAAATTTTGAAAATGATGAAATTCAAAAAATCATTTGGATATTTGAAAATTTAGAAAAAATGAGAATTTTGAGAAAGTGCAATTTTCGAAATTTAAAAAATATATCAAAAATCGTGTTTTTGATTATATGTACATTTTTTGAGACTAAAAATTCAGAAAAAAATTATAACTTGAAAAAAATTTAAAAACACGCTTTAATAGCAAATCGAACTAAAAAATAGAAAATAATTTTCAAGTATCAACTCTCACATTAAAAATGACCCTCGTATACAAGATCGGTAGATAATCAGATTTGGAAATTTAGATAATTATTAAATTCGGACAATCATCTGGATATTTGGAAATTTAGAAAAAAATTAAAATTTTGAAAAAATGTAATTTTTCAAATTTAAAAAATATACCAAAAACCGTGCTTTTGATTATAAGTAAATTTTTTTGAGACTATAAATCCAGAAAATAAATTATAACTTGAAAAAAATTAAAAACACGCTTTAATAACAAATCGAACCAAAAAGTAAAAAATAATTTTTAAGTATCGGCTCTTACATTAAAAATGATCCTCGTATACAAGATCGGCAGAGAATCAGATTTGAAAATTTTGAAAATGATAAAATTCAAAAAATCATTTGGATATTTGAAAATTTAGAAAAAATGAGAATTTTGAGAAAGTGCAATTTTCAAAATTTAAAAAAAATTATCAAAAATCGTGTTTTTGATTATATGTACATTTTTTGAGACTAAATATTCAGAAAAAAATTAAAAACACGCTTTAATAGCAAATCGAACTAAAAAGTAGAAAATAATTTTCAAGTATCAACTCTCACATTAAAAATGACCCTCGTATACAAGATCGGTAGAGAATCAAATTTGGAAATTTGGAAAATTATAAAATTCGGAAAATCATCCGGATATTTGTAAATTTAGAAAAAAATGAAAATTTTGAAAAAATGTAATTTTTAAAATTTAAAAAATATACCAAAAGCCGTGCTTTTGATTATAAGTAAATTTTTTTGAGACTATAAATCCAGAAAATAAGTTATAACTTGAAAAAAATTAAAAACACGCTTTAATATCAAATCGAACCAAAAAGTAGAAAATAATTTTCAAGTATCGGCTCTTACATTAAAAATGATCCTCGTATACAAGATCGGCAGAGAATCATTGAGGTCAAGTATTTAATCTTTGTGCACGTTTCATTCTCGCTCTAACATACGCGTTTCTCTATCTCGCTCGTACATGTGAAATACGGAACCTTAGTAATTCACTGACGATCCTTTGTAGCAATAGTAGTAGAAATATTTATTTAGCACAATTAGCTACATAAACAATTGGAAGAAATATATAACAATAATAATAAATTCAAACCATATAGGGTGCATCGTCATATTTGTAATTGTGACATCGAGTTTCTCAGGTTTAATTTAATTTTTAATTTAATTATCAAAAATTTAATAACCCACTTGGTTTTTATATCCATATTCCAGTTAAAAAATCATCCTTTACCATTTAGAAGATTTTATTGAAATTAACAATGAGCACCATAGGTTTTACCGGAAAATACGTATAAAATTGGAATAATAACTTTATATAGTGGATACCAAATAAAACCCGATGCACGTCATCGATCTGGAGCTGTGCGCTGTTGCCAGAATTTGCACATTTTCTTTTAAGCAAATAAATTTAATAAAATAAATTGTTTATATATACCTACCATTTACTATAATACCATTATATTAAAAATAAATAAACTTGTTGTAAAATTAAATTCCTTTCTGAATAAAAACAGCTGATTTCGGTAGATATTCAATGATATGAGCTCTTTATACCGATTGTTAAGTTGTTTTGGCATTTTGGATACTTTACACCACTTCACAGTAACTGTTGTTCTGAAAAGAACAATTTTTAATTGGCAAGGCAACGATTCAAAGCTCAAATAGCGCAAAACTCGCAAACTAAACAATAAAGAACTAATAGTAGACAGTCTACGACAAAAGGACAATGGCAACTGATGTCAACAAATGAGAAGTGGCAACCTCACATTTCTCTACACGGCACTACCAACCGAATCGAGACGGGGAAATTTAAACTTCAAGTAGAAATGTCACATTGAATGTAGTCAACTGTTGGTAACCATGATTTTTATGAATGACATCACCTATGACGTGCATCGGATTTTATTTGGTATCCACTATATTACAATTGTTCAGGTATTTCAATATGATCTCCTTTGATTGATACATTTGTGAGAAAGGGAACCACCGGGCCACTCCTCCACCAATTTGAAAATGTTTAAAGGGATATTGAAAAAATATTTCAAGGAAAACCAGTATTCATAGTAGTGAAATTTTGTGAAAGACATAAAATATTATCCTATATACTGTTTAACATTGATATTGTAGCATTAATGCTAAATACGTCTACAACAAACAAAACATTCTGATACAAGTTTTAAATCACTATCAATGAAATGGAATTAATACTTATTTTTGGCACTTCAACCGGCATTTCGGGCTGTAACTACTTAGAGTATCTTATTTTATCACTTCAGGTATGGATTCCATGACCACTTCTATGCACAGAACCGAAGAATATCCTTGCACACCTCCACCTAGTCCTTCCCGAAGGAACAGACGGAGGGCCAGACCGGAAAAGAATTTGGTCATCATCAGTACCTTGCTCGTCGACCCTTCAGCGCCAAACTTCGAAGAACAGTACAAGGGCATACAGAAATCTACCTCGATAGATTTTAATTGTTTAGATCTGGTGATAAGCGTAAAATCGTGGGTGGTGGTTTTGGATTTTTTCAATATATCTTCGGAACCGGAGGCGAACCCTGGAAGGAATTTGAGTACGTCAACGGGAGGATCGCAACAGGTAAATTGAAAATACAAACATGATCTTGCTTTAACAAATCCTGTATGTTCTATGTATTTCATTGGTTTCCGTATCGTACGAGAAGTATGGCAGAAACGTGTTGAGATTGTTGACCTCCATAAGACACAGCGTTTCAACACTGTTTCGTAACCATGTGATTTTTGGGACTGCTATTAGTGAAGTTGTGTTTTGGGTCACGCAAAGTGAAACAGCGGCATTAGGCGCAACGTAGTGCGATTAGATTTTTCTTAGGATTGGAGAATCACCTGGTGTCCATGAATTAAATCACAAGCATTTTCAGTGCGCTGTTGAACTTCTTCCAGAGCATTTACTGCTCTATCATGATACATCAACTCTTTCAAATAACCCCACAGGAAAAAATTGCAAGGCGTTAAATCCGGGGAGCGAGCAGGCCAAGAAATGGGCCCATTGCGCCCTATCCATCTATTCGGAAACTCATTTAGATGTTCATGAACTTCTCGACTAAAATGAGGTGGAGTTTCATCATGTAGGAACTAGATTTTCTGTCTCACATTTAGAGAAACATCTAATAATTGTGGCCCCATAGGAAAAAATTGCAAGGCGTTCAATCCGGTGAGCGAGCAGCCCAAGAAATGGGTTCATTACGCCCTATCCATGAATTCGGAAACTCATTTAGATGTTCATGAACTTCTCGACTAAAATGTGGTGGAGTTTCATCATGTAGGAACCACATTTTCTGTCTCACATTTAGAGAAACATCTAATAATTGTGGCCCCACGGGAAACAATTGCAAGGCGTTAAATCCGGGGAGCGAGCAGGCCAAGAAATGGGTCCATTGCGCCCTATCCATCTATTCGGAAACTCATTTAGATGTTCATGAACTTCTCGACTAAAATGTGGTGGAGTTTCATCATGTAGGAACCACATCTTCTGTCTCACATTTAGAGAAACATCTAATAATTGTGGCCCCACGGGAAACAATTGCAAGGCGTTCAATCCGGGGAGCGAGCAGGCCAAGAAATGGGTCCATTGCGCCCTATCCATGAATTCGGAAACTCATTTAGATGTTCATGAACTTCTCGACTAAAATGTGGTGGAGTTTCATCATCTAGGAACCACATTTTCTGTCTCACATTTAGAGGAACATCTAATAATTGTGGCAGATTGTATCGAAAGAAATCTAAATAAGTTTCACCGCTGAAAAGTGGTGGAAAAAACTAGGGTCTAATAAGCCTTATCTCAGTCCCTGTGACTTTTTCTTTTTTTCGAAACTGAAAAATGTCCTGAAAGGACATCATTTGTAGATTTTAGGAAACATCTAAAAAAATGTGACGAACGTGCTGAAGGCCTACAGGTGGAGGACTTCCAGTGCTGCTACCAAAACTGGAAACAACATCTGCATCAGTGTGTTGCTGCCCAATGGGATAATATTGATGTCTGAAAAAAAATCAATCTCATTACTTTTTACCACATCTGGTATGAACTTATTTCAAGAAATTTTTTTGTATATGATAGGTCGTCTCCAGTACCAAACAAGTGACCAACATCACCGTCAAGTCCCTAACAGTGACCCTAGTGACGCCTGATAGAGATATCGCCAAAGCCAATATTTCCAACGTAGAAGTCGAAGTTCGAACAGCTGGCTTGCTGAAAGAAGTCGACGGGAAACTAGGATCTATGAGCTTACAGGATCTAACGTTACACGGTCAGTTGTATCGAGAAAGGTTCGTTACATCTGGAGAACAGGTGTTGCAGTTCAAGTATATGAGGTAAGGTTCTTAAAAAATGTCTTGAGTTGCCAGAAAAATGTTTGTAATTTAATATAAGGAGATATCGACCTAAAAAATGCAGCAGGTCAGCTGCTAGTGTTCTTTTTTCATCTCACCGGCTTGTCGCTCTGAAGTCCTGCATGTAGAGTGCTGTCACCAGCAAAGCTGTGTATCGGACTGTTCGTACAAGAAAAGAGATCGTTGATAAATGAATACAAAAAAATCGTATTTGTTCTTATGACCTTGACCCTCGAAAATATTAGTTTTCGTATTTTTTCCGACTAGCATCAATTTTTGTTTTAATTTATATTTTTCAGACATATTCCGGATGTAGAAAAAAACTACGACGCCCAGTTGACCCTGAACATGGCATCGGTCACTTATGTCCACACTAGAAGATTCATAGCGGAAATATACGCATTTTTCAATAAGTTTACTGAACGAAGACAAATGGTTATGCGGGGGATTCAGGCTGCGACTAGTGGACAATCGGTTAGTAGCCATAGTACTAAGTATGAACACTTTGTCAACATTTCAGAAATACTCATGAAAATATGCACTGCTCAAAAAAAATTAAGGAAGCAAGAAAATAATCCAAATTTTTCGGTGATTTTTGAGAGGCTGTATTTCGATGAAAAATAGTCTTATCTAGACTTTGAAAAAAGCATTTTGAAGCTTTAAGCTTCCAGTTTTCAAGCTTTTTCGCCGAAAAATTTTAGGAGCAACGATTCTCATGCAATTGTTACAGATGAAACAAGAAAATATTTTTGCAAAATGTTTGCCTTCCTTTCACTCCACGGGCTTCAAAAAAATATACAAAAATAATACAAAATTGCATCACTCTGGATTTAAAGAATCTGTATTCAAAATTCTATAAAACTGCTTAATTGATAGAAGTCATAAAATCAAAACTGGATCTACATTGTCAAGCTCAAAAAATATTTCTGTTGTTGTACCACAAGGTAGTAAACTAGGTCTACTACTATTTATTTTATATATTGACATTTCTGATATTTTACATTATTGTAAAATTCAGATATTTGCAGATAACACATTAATATACATATGAGATGAAAATATAGACACTGCTTTAAAGATGCTAAATTCTGACAAAAGCATAAACTGGTTAAATGTAAATAAACTAAAATTGAATGCTTCTAAAAAAAATGTATGCTAATAGAGGAATACTTAAATGAAAATACGATCACAGTTAGGATACATGATGAAATAATTGAAAAAGTTGAATCAATTAAATATATTGATAGTAAACTAAAGTTTGAGGATTACTATGAATACATTATTTTAAAAATTGAAAAAAAATAATAATTGTATAGGGCTTCTCATAGCCACATATTCCGAAACATGTTTAAAAAAATTAAAGGAACGTTCCATGAACAGTGAAAATTCTTAGAGATGCACATTTTGTTTTTCTGTATATTTGAATGTTATGTAACTGTTGTAGTTTTTTAAAAGAATATAATTGTAAACAAATAAACAAAAAGGTATAGTTTGGAAAAATTGCTGTATATCGGTTTCGATAAATCTTAAAGGAACAACATCTTCTTTCAGATCAGGGACGAGCCATCAAGGCTATCTCTCATCCTAGAAGCCAAATCCCCCATAATCCTCCTTCCAGTCAGTTCAAAATCCTCCGATGTTCTTGTGGTAGACTTGGGACAACTTCTGGTAACCAACGACTTCAAATACTCCGGAGATCCTGGTACCATCAGCGTCCAAACCGACAACAACAACAAAAAGTGCCTGTTGAACGTGATGTTCCTCAAGCTGGAACACATGGACCTGTACGCCGGCATGAAAGAAAGCGAACTGAGTCCTTCCAAAAGATCGTTGAACAAGAACTGCTTCAAACTTGGAAGTAGTTTGGTCACGAAGAAGGGACCGTCGTTGCTGACGAAGAAGTTTCAGTTGAAATTGCAAGTGGAACAGAATCTGTACAGGCATTTGTACCACATCGTGCCGGATATGAGCATATACGGACAACTGTCAACGTTGGATGGTACTTTGGATTTAAGTCAGTACCGTTTAATCAGAGGATTGCTGGCGTATAACTTGGGAGAAGATACTGAAAGAATCAATCCTTCTGTTCCTACTAAAAATATAAGTGCAGAGGTGAGTTTATGTTATAATAATAATAATTTATTTTTCAACTTCTTGTTTTAATGTTGTCCAAGTTCTAGCTTATGGATGGTGGTGGTGTCATCTGCAAATCCTATTTTTTCACTTCTTGTTGATTATACAACCGATGATATATATATATATATACTTCGAAGTTGAGTCATTTATTTTAACAGTGAGTAGATCTGATCAAAAGAAATGTTTTTTCCTTTAACATTTTTCTGGTAAAATTAAAGTAACAAAGTTATAGCCCTTTAGAAGTTTGAGTACCGCCCTGTCTCAATAATAATATTATGTGCTCGTGTTTGGCAACAACGGATATAATCCGCCTTATCGGTTCATCGCATCGGAAACAAAAAAGCGAAAGAATTTGGAACGATGTTTTTACAATTATTTTATTCAGTTCAGTTATACATACAGTCGGTAACGCGTGAGTGAATAGTGGTGTTTGCTGCGTGGATCAAACGAAATAAAAAATGGCACATGTTTATGCGGATCGGTTTCCCAATCGAGTGCAACCAAACCCTCGTGCCTTTGTTAATGTAGTACAAAGGGCTTGTGAATCAGGTGACTTAAGACCTCACAGGGGAGGGCATGCCGGTGCTCCAAGGCCTCACGATCAAATACAGGTCCGCACTGAAATACTTGTCGGGAGGATACTTTATAAAACAAGGTAAAAAAATTTTTTATTTTTTTTTTATTTTTACACACATATTTTGGTTTATCTTCCTTCTATATAATAATATAAATATATATATATATACAGGGTGACTTTGAAGTTGAGTCATTAATGATTGTAGAAGGAAGATAAACCAAAATATGTGTGTAAAAATAAAAAAAAATTAAAAAAAAATTTTTACCTTGTTTTATAAAGTATCCTCCCGACAAGTATTTCAGTGCGGACCTGTATTTGATCGTGAGGTTTTGGAGCACCGGCATGCCGTCCATATGTGAGGTCTTAAGTCAAATGATTCACCAACCCGTTGTACTACATTAACAAAGGCACGAGAGGTTGGTTGCACTCGATTGGGAAACCGATCCGCATAAACATGTGCTATTTTTTATTTCGTTTGAGCCACGCAACAGACACCACTATCCTCTACCAACTGACACTGACTGTATACAACTGGATGAAATAATTGTAAAAACATCGTTCCAAATTCTTTCGCTTTTTTGTTTCCGATGCGATGAACCGATAAGGCGAATTATATCCGTTGTCGCCAAACACGAGCACATAATATTATTATTGAGACAGGGCGGTACTCAAACTTCCAAAGGGCTATAACTTTGTTACTTTAATTTTACCAGAAAAATGGTAAAGGAAAAAACATTTCTTTTGATCAGATCTACTCACTGTTAAAATAAATGACTCAACTTCGAAGTTATATATATATATATATATATATATATATATATATATATATATATTAAAAAGAAGAGGCGCAAGTATTGTTCCTTGTGGATCTCCAAATATTACAGTCATTTCTTCACTAGTTATATTTTAAATTTCAACCTTATGTTTTCTGTTAAGCAAATAATTTTGAAATAATGTATGTGGCGTACCTCTAATTCCAATGTTATTGGAAAAAAAACGTGGAAAATGGATCCCATTTGTCTAAAAATTGAATATGATGTATTTACCGCTTTCCTGAGCAAAAGTTTTCATGGGGCCAAGGAAGTTTAGGAAGTTGTTGGGAGACGTCATATTGATCTTGGTGATGATCCTTAACAGGTAGATTCAAGAATAATCTTATGATTAGTATTATACTGAAATGGCTCTGGCAATTCAAAAGAAATTTGCTAACCAAGGCACGAAAACGCTGTGAATATTTAATAAATACATTATTTCAAAGATATCAAAGAAGACAAATTACTTCTATAGAGTTTCGTATAACCTCAGTATGTATTCCAAAAAAATTGCGAACATCATAATGCTTCTGCATGTTTTATATTTATCAACTATTTTGTTTACAGCAAATGAAAATGTTTTCAAATTTACAAATTCTACAAAATGCAAGTAATTTTAAATAAAAGAAATACGCTTGAGCTGCAGTGGTTGAATGTAAAAAATATTAATGACGAATGCCTTTTAGTTTTCATTTTCATATTTAAATTAACAAATCGTTTATTACAACCACATTTAGAAAACGTCACAAAATTATCATAACTATAACTTTGAAACTAGAGGCAGTATAGACTTTCATCCGCAAAGTGTAATGGAAGCATAACTAGCAAGTCTGTATTTCAAAAGGGAGTATTTGAATTTAAAAATGTTTAAGGTAAAATTAAAAAATCACTTCTGAATACCCAAAACGCATAACGATGTAATTTTAATAGACAAGAAGGTAAAATTACAGAAAATTGATTAAAAATGTGTAAAAAAAATAATTATATAAAATTGACATGTATCATTAATGCTAAATAAAACTTCAACAAACAAAAAAAATCTTCGGTTATAACCCTTTCAAGCTAAATTCAAGGTCATGTTAATTTTGAAGATGGAAGAGAAAGAAATTATTGTAATTTATTGACTATTAATTTGAGTTTTCTTGTTTTGGTCTGCTTCCGGCATATAGAACGGTTTGGATCAATTTTTTCGAAAGATAACGAACTCCAATCTTGTGGAGAACATATAAAAAACACATGTGCTCAGGGTTTGCCCATTCATTTTATTCATAAAGTAAGTCGTCGTTATATAAGATAAGATATTTGTAGTCGGTAGTTTCTAAAACGTGAGCAAATTCCTTGTATGGAAACCTCCTACCTCATCTAACATTAGACCGATGTTTAAGAGCACCAGCTATTTCATAAATGTCTTCTAGATTCGGTACATGCTGGAGTTGAATGGTTTTCTCAAGAAAATTAAAATGTGATTTTATGTGCGCGTTCACCATTTTTGCAAATAGGCAAACTTCGTCTCCCTATTTCTCACAATCTCACAATCATAAGATTGCTTTGGTCTCTTGACAACTTTTGTTCAGGAAGGCGAGAAATATAACATACTGAATTTTTAGACAAATCTGCTGGGATCCATTTTTGTTTTGTTTTGAGCGGCGCCCTTTATTAAAAATAAATACTTCCATTGCATGTTCCATAATGTATATATAATTTTAGGCGGATCATACAGAAGAATGGAAACTATCCTCCGTCAAACTGGACATGCAAAACGTCACTTTGCGTCTCGTCCAATCCCACGAAACCAACTCTCCGCTAACATGCATCAACTTCATCAAATCTCACCTGACCGTCGAGAATTTCAGCAACTTTTGCCAAGACGTGGATCTGGTGTCGCAAGAGATCCTGATAATGGATACTAGGTTCAATGGGGTCGAACCCAATGACAGGTACAATGTTTTCACCAACATTCTACAGCCGATTAGGAGCTCCAAGAACCCGAATGGCCTGGTGCAAGCTGAGGTGCACAGTCGCAAAAGACAGGACTACACCAAGGTAAGAGAAACATGTAATTTTTTTTTCGATGATGCGAAATGTTTGTTTGCCGAACTCCAATCCCTCTTGACTAAGTTATTTTAAATAGGCTTAATTAGCTATATTCATGATGAGTACGGAGTAAATGTTATCTGATAATATATCTATAGGGTGCGGCAGCACAACTTCAGCTCCTAATTTGGATACCGACTCACATAGTACCTTTTCACGGATTTAGAGTTTACAAGGGCATTTTTCTGATACAAAAATTAAGAAAATCGTGAATACTATTAACTACAAAAAACTTGAATGAGAACTTGCTGGCTGCTATTGGAATTTTGGTGAGAATATGGAAAGAATATATGACAACATAATAGGAAATATAAAAACTTGTTTAGATCTTGCAACTGATAAAAAAGTGATTTGCTCGACAAAATACACCCTGGTATAAGAAAAATATTAAGGTAGCTCAAAATTTGAGAGACAAACAATACAAAAAATGTATATTCACAAAATCAAATGATGATTGGGAGGTATATAAAACTCTTAGGAATAAATGTTTGTATGTAATTAGAGAAGAAAAAAGGGATAAACAAATTGATTATAGCAAGTGCGACAGTGTAAAGATGTGGAAAACTTTAAAAAGACTGATCAATTCGAAAACTGTACCGAAACAAATTCTTTGGTGATTGCAAACAAACTAAATGAATATTTTGTGGAAAGTATTGTTGATATTGTGGGTACTGCCAATGCTGCACCTGACTATATGAAAATCAGTTTAAAGGGGGAAATGTTGCATACACTTTCAAAATTTCACAGCGTATCATTGAATTATCTAAGAAAAAAAGTAAACACTTTAAAATCAAATAACAACTGTGCCGAAATGACTACTAAAATCGTGCTGAAAAACTGTTTCGAAATTTTGGGATATCCTGTATTAAATTGGATCAATTGTTCACTGAGAAGCAGTTCTTTTCCTGAAAATTTGAAATGCTCTACAATAACACCAGTTCCCAAAATAAAAAATTCTAAAACATGCAGCGATATGAGACCAGTAAATGTATTACCAGACATTGAAAAATCATTAGAGTCCATAGTGCATGACCAGTTAATGCAGTTTATAGAAGAAAACAAAATTTTAGTGGAGGCGCAAGCAGGCTTTCGAAAAAAATATTCCACAGAAACAGCTTTCCAGTTGGTAACTGAGAATTGGAGAAGAGCCATAGACTCGGAAGAAGTTGTCATAGCAGTATTTTTGGATTTGAAGAGGGCATTTGAAACGATTGATAGAGATATTTTGTTAGGTAAATTGATGGCATATGGTATAACAGGAAGTGTTTTAGGTTGGTTTAGAAATTATTTCTCTAAAAGGATGCAAGTTACAAAAGTTAATGACACTATTTCATCAAAAATTAAAAATACGTTGGGTGTTCCACAGGGCAGTATCCTGGGACCACTTCTTTTTATTTTATACATAAATGATTCACCTGCCATAGTAAAAAAATGCAAAATTCAGATTTTCGCCGATGACACTATGATTTATATAAGTACTAAAAATATTCAGTCTGGTATCTCTTATATAAATGAAGACTTGAAACTTGTCTCAAAAAGGTTCGCATCTAACAGACTAAAATTAAATACAAGTAAAACGAAAGCCTTGTTAATCGGAAAAAACAATGTACAAATGTTCAACTGAATATTGATGGTGAAGATATTGAATTCGTAGAAAATTTTAAATCCCTGGGGGTTTTTGTTGACTCTCGATTAATTTTTGATATTCATTAGGAAAAAGTTATAAATAAGATTAGTAGTAAAGCGGGATATTTATCGAGAGTTTCTGGATGTCTGAGTTCATATAGCAGAAAAATTATCTATAATACCATAATTCTTCCAAATTTCTTGTACTGTTCGACTATTCAATATTTAGCAAATAATTCCAGTTTTGAAAGACAGCAAATTTTACAAAACAAATGCATGAGAATAATACTGAGTAAAGATAAATATACTCCAATTAGACAAATGCATAGCAAATTAAAATGGCTCAAGGAAAAAAAATTATCAAATATCTCGTAATGATATTTATAAAGTAAAAATAATATATTTCCATCAAGTCTAACTAATTAAATTCTGTATTCCATCAAAGGTTGATTGAATATAATAAATTATACACAGAGATAAAAGACCAGAAAACGTTAACAAAACTTAAAGTAAAATTGAGTATCACTTGCCCAGCATTTACATCATACATCATATGGCTTGAATTTACTAATTCTAAGTTGTTTACAATTATTCTGTTTATGTAGCCAAATGTGCTGAATAAATTTTTCTACTACTAAGTTTTCAACAAAAATTCATTAAATAATTCTGGGTGTTGCATTTAATATGACACTTAGTACATTTAACAAAATGATTTACTTTTCTCAACAAGGTCACAATTTTGCTGAACGACATGAGATTGATGGCGATTTTCGATTGGTGGGAGGCTTTGCAACAGTATATCTTCCAAGAAATCGAAAATGTATCTTCCAGTCCAGAGCATCATTCGACTATGGCGACGCTTGAAGTTCAGGAAGAAGTCCAGTTCGATTTGAAGTTGAACATCACCGACTCCGAGATAGTTTTGGTCGAGAATACCGCTCAGTGGGATACGAATGCTGTGATATTAAAAGTGAGCATTACCATATAATAATTAACGCATAGCCTACTTTGCAGACCTCCAGGAAACATATTTTTCAGACCGGTTTTTCTGTTGTAGGCTAAGTACTTATCGCACCGCCCTCGTACCTCAGATCGCCCGTATTTTCCGAAATATCTTTTATACAGAATCATGCATCTTCAGTTTCATAAAAATGATTCATATGATGACTTTTAGAAGCTAGCTTCAGCAGTGATATTTTCTTGTTGTAATTCTACTTCTGTAATGTCTTTTAGAGCACAACCGTGTTGAAATACAGGCCTTACAACCAAGAGAAGCCTCTATACTGCAGCTTGAACAACTGTGAGATGTTTTCTTGTGTTTTGGGAATGGAAGAAGAAACTGCATTGTCCATCATAGATCCTGTTACTTTGAACATCGAAATTAACAAAGACAACGTTCTAGAAGTATGTGTTAGATAGATTCTTTTTTATAGTTTTTTACACGGTCGATATTTTTTTTAGGTACAGATGCAGTTTTTGATTGTGCGGCTGTCATACCATGATATGTGCATGTTCAAGAAAATGCTCAACTCCCTGCCTAAGCAGATCATTTTTGAAAAAAGCGCTGACGTCACTTCCAAGGCAATAAAACGTAAGTAAATTCAGTTTCTATAAAAGTACTATCAGTACCCCAATAGTCAGATTTAAGCCGCGACCTCTTTCAACTTGATTTATGATAAACATAGTTCAATTTTGATTGCAGAACAAATAGCTAGTTTGACAGGTCTAGGCTTTAAAGTAGACGACTGTCTGGTAGCTTTAGAGAAGTGCAAAAACAGACTCGACGACTCTGCAATTTGGCTTACACACAATGCTACGCCCGAACCATCTGCCAAACGGTCATGTAACAAGGGTCTCAATATTAGTGCTGTAGAAGTAAGTAAATTTTTTATATCTATACGTAAAGTTAGAGTTCTTATACTGTTGCATTTTCTTCTCTTTCATACATAAAGAATACAAGGTGTTTTCAAAGTTGAGTCATTTATTTTAACTGCCTGTTGGAGTCGTCCAAAGGATTTGGATATATCAAAAATCGTTTATATAAAAGTTGCATAATAAAATAAATTGGAAAAGTTGGAAAATTAAAAAAAAAAGAATGTTGGTACACATTTTTTTTTATATTCTTGACCACTGCCGTGTAAAATATAAGCATACGATAAGGTAAATCGTAAAAAAATGATCGAGGCCTTAGATTACTGGGAATCGAAGAAAAGCTTATTAGACTAATGAAGATAGAGAAGGAGTCAGACAAAGAGACCCACTTTCATCGGTCCTGTTCAGCTTATGTCCTGAAAAGATTATAAGAGATGCGAAAATGAATAGAGAAGGATAAGAAACACCAATGCTTAGCATTCGCTGACGATTTAGTGAGAACCAGAAGTAAGGAGGAATTATGCGAAGTGACGAAGAGGCTGGAAGAGAAAGCATTGTTAATGGGTTTGAAGGTTGATGAAGAAAAAACTAAGCATATGAAATGGACAGAGGAAGAATTTAAAAATGAGAGGTTAACAGTGAAAGCAGTTAGTGGCAAAACTTACCAATTTGAAGAGGTAGAAACTTACACATATTTAGGAATTGTTTTTAAAAGAAGACCAGATATTGCGGAAGAAACTCAAAATAGGCTGATGATGGGTAACCGGTGTATTTACTCACTGAATCGACTGCTAAAGAGTAAAATCGTGTCCAGAACGGCTAAGGTTGTATAAAACTATTATAAGACCTATTGTCATCTATGGCAGGGAAGTATGGATGACCAGACCAGAATACAAAAAAGAGTACTAACAAGCAATATTGGTGGAAAAAAGAGACGAGGAAGACCGAAAACCAGATGAAAATTGATATTCAAGAGTTGAGAATTAATAGCTGGAAGAAGGCAGAAAACACGAAAACCTGATAAGTTACCCCTCTTATATATATATACAGGGTGACTTTGAAGTCGAGTCATTAATTTTCAGATAATGATTGTAGAAGGAAGATAAACCAAAATATGTGTGTAAAAATTAAAAAAAAAAATAAAAAAAAATTACCTTGTTTTATAAAGTATCCTCCCGACAAGTATTTCAGTGCGGACCTGTATTTGATCGTGAGGTCTTGGAGCACCGGCATGCCGTCCCCTGTGAGGTCTTAAGTCACCTGATTCACGAGCCCGTTGTACTACATTAACAAAGGCACGAGGGGTTGGTTGCACTCGATTGGGAAACCGATCCGCATAAACATGTGCCATTTTTTATTTCGTTTGAGCCACGCAACAGACACCACTATTCACTCACGCGTTACCGACTGACACTGACTGTATACAACTGAATAAAATAATTGTAAAAACATCGTTCCAAATTCTTTCGCTTTTTTGTTTCCGATGCGATGAACCGATAAGGCGGATTATATCCGTTGTTGCCAAACACGAGCACATAATATTATTATTGAGATAAGGCGGTACTCAAACTTCCAAAGGGCTATAACTTTGTTACTTTAATTTTACCAGAAAAGTGGTAAAGGAAAAAAACATTTCTTTTGATCAGATCTACTCACTGTTAAAATAAATGACTCAACTTCGAAGTCACCCTGTATATATATATATGAATACTATTTATAAAATATCCTTGAATTTCTTTGGGTAGAAGGCAAACTATTGCAAAAGTACACTCTTTTAACTTAAACTCGAGCTTTCGAAGATCTATGTGTTCATCGTCTGGAGCTGGAAACAATTATTGACAATAGCAACAATTAACAATTAGGAGGAAAAATAGTTACTTACTAAGCCGGCGAGATTGATGCTGAAATTGTTTTTAAAAATTTGAAAAGCAACTCTCCCCCAACATCGATCTCCCAATAATCGCTCAATCTACATAATAATAACTTTTCACCATCTTAATAAAATCAAAATTGCTCAAAGTCTTTTGTCCTCAAATGTGAATATTCCCTATAGATTTCCTAGTTGTTTGGTAGGATAACATCCAAATCACACTCCTTCCAAAGCAACATCTATCAAGTTTTGAAAATAACTTTATACTTCATCGGTCAATGATAGCACAACTTCTTGCACCATATTACAAAACACACTACATAGTAGGCAACACACGTCACAGTGACGACATAACGAATGACCTTCCAAGAACTTCAATGTCACACTTCATACGCCACTGTAGAATGTCAGTCGGCCGGCACGTGTTGGATAATGTGGAGGTTATAGGTGAAAAAAAGATGAAATCTCGAAGGAATTTTCAATAGTTGATAGTTTTCAACATTCCAAATTTCTTTCAAAATCAATCAACGTTTAAGCAAAAAAAACCTTTCAAAATCATTTGCCATTTAATAATAAAATAATTCCATCCTAATCGAACCTCATCAGTCCAGTTTTTTATCGTCGACTATGTGTTCCCTTCACTGTTGTTAAAAAGAATCTCGCCGACAATAATTTCCAGCTCCAGACGATGAAGGCATAGATCTTCGAAAGCTCGAGTTTAAGTTATAAGAGTGTACTTTCGCAATAATTTGCCTTGTACCCAAAGAAATTCAAGGATATATATACAGTGAAAGCTCTCCTTGCGGACAGCTCCTATAAGCGGACATCTCTTTTAACCGGACAAAGTTCCTGGAACCGAATTTCAGCCAACAATTTACAATGTTAAATGCATTCCGATAAACGGACGCTCTTATAAACGGACGCGGACACTAGATTTTCCTGTATGTGATCAAAAAATCTTCCATAAGCGGACGCGAAACTCTAATACCCGGACGATTTTTTAGTTCCGCTTATTGCAATGCACATATCTACATACATAAAATTCGGTAATTCCCCGATTTATATTAGGTGATTCCCCATTTACGCATTTCGTTGGGTAGCCTGTATGTAATCTTGTGGCTTGTCTTCAGTTCAGGCAAATTCGTAGTTGATTGAGTTACGTATTTTATTATTGTAACTGTAAAATGGCACCAAAAAAAAAAGGATGCTCTCGTTAAAAGATGGAAGTTGTTAACGTATTAGACAGAGAAAGTGTTTCAGTTCGTCATTTGGCAAAGAGGTTTAATATTGGGAAAACGCAAGCAGCTGAAATTGCCAAAAATAAGGAAGATATCAGGAGTAAATGGCAATCAGGAACTAATATAAATCAAAAGAAGGATTTTTTAAAAAAGGAAGGTTTTGCAATAGACAAAACATGTTTTGAGTGGTTTGTGAAAGCTAGAAGTCAGAACATTCCAATCTCAGGGCCGTTAGTGAAAATGAAAGCTAAAGAAATCGCCACTACTTTGGGCTATAAATTTCAGTGCGTCCGACGGGTGGCTGCAAAAGTGGCGCAAGAGACATAGTGTGAGTTTCAAATGCATATCTGGCGAAGCTGCTGCAGTAGATCAAGTTGATGTGTCACAATTTTTGGAGAAACTTCCGTCCATGTTGCTTGGCTACAAACCAGAAGATGTGTACAACGCAGATGAGAGTGGACTTTTTTTTCGCGCATTGCCCGACAAAACTCTGTCCTTTAAAGGAGAAACATGTGTGGGTGGAAAGTTGTCTAAAGATAGACTAACCATTTTATTCTGTGCAAATATGGCCGGTGAAAAATGCGATTTGATTGTGATCGGGAAAGCGGCTCGTCCCCGTGCTTTAAAAAACGTTGCTATTAAGGATCTACCAGCGACTTGGAAATCCAACAAAAAGGCATGGATGACCCGAGAAATCATGTCTGAGTGGTTAGTCGAATTCGACCGGAAAATGAGAATCCAAGGCAAGTTTTTTTATTTTTAGACAATGCATGCTCTCATCCTCGTGATATGAAAATGAAAAATGTGAAAATTATATTTTTACCGCCAAACACAATTTCTGTTTGTCAGCCCATGGATCAAGGTGTCATACAGAACTTTAAATTTTATTATCGGCACTTGATTTTAAAACATATTTTAACAAAAATTGACGATGGTCAAAGCTTATCTGAGCTTACAAAGTCTATCAATGTGTTAGAAGCTTTGTATTTTATAAAAACAGCATGGAATAAAGTAAATTCCTCTACAATTAAAAACTGTTTTGGCAAAGCTGGATTCAGAAAAAGTGAATGTAGCTCAGAATTTGCTGAGCAAAATTATTGCGATGCTGAAGACGATCTGCCCTTAGCGACACTTGCTCAGTTACTGCGACATGCCAAACATTTAGGAGTAGCAGATCCCCAGAAAGTAGATGATTTCCTGGCCATAGACAATAACATAACCACAGAAGAAAATGCCATTGGCAACTTTTCGAATTTGGATGTAGAAAGCCCAGGCCAACTTGAATATGGTAGTCCAAACGACTCAGAAGAAGAAGTGGAACTGGTGGACTCACTAAGCGGTTCAAAAACGATAAATTCATATGGGGAAGCTCTAAATCATATTTCTATATTGAAAAAATTTGCTAAAGATGATTTCACTGCATTTCAACATTTGAAAAATTTAGAAAGTTATTACGAAAATTGTCTCCTTCAGCAAAAGATGGTGAAATTTCGTCAGACAAACATTTTAAACTTTTTTCAACAAGCTAAAGAATAATGTTTTTTTTAAATTCTCGTACCATGTATTGAAGCATTTATGTTTTTGTATGCGTATATGTACATATATTATATAAATATATAGCATAAATACATACTTTAAAAATGTGGCGAGTTTCTGTTTCATTTTTCTCATGATTATAATACCTCATTTCCTCATGATTATATACCCCGTTATTTATACTCTATACTTACATACTCTCTTTTAAACGGACACCTCCCATAAGCGGACAAAAGTTACGAAACCGTGAGTGTCCGCTTATGGGAGCTTTCACTGTATATGATGGGGGCTCCACCACATTTTAGACGAGAAGTCCATGAACATATAAGTCTAAGTACTGAGTTTTTGATTAGATGGATAGGGCGCAATGGACTGATTTCTTGGCCTGCTCGCTTCCCGAATTTAACACTTTGCGATTTTTTTCTGTGGGGCTATTTGAAAGAGTTGGTGTATCATGATGGAGCAATCAATTCTCTGGAAGAACTTCAACAGCGCACTGAAAATGCTTGTGATTTAATTCGTGGATTTTGTTTTCGAAGCTTTTATGGAGTCGTGAATACGCCGAGCAACATTTTGCGATTATCGAAAAAATGGGGACAATTTTGAACAGTTGTCTGAAAACGGTATCCATTTAACTTGACAATGATTTTTTTAAATAATTTTAATAAGTCAAACTTACTCTCTTATTATGCAACTTCTATTTTTGGTATATCAACCTCTTTTGACAAGTTCTACAAGCTGTTAAAATAAATGACTTTGATTTTGTAAAATTTTAAGGTAAAAGCAAACCGTTTATCAATCTGCATCATCGATGATTGCGGCGATTCTGACGTTCCTCTGCTAGAACTGTCATTCTCGGACCTCCAGTTATATCAGCTGCTGCCTGAACTGAATGTCAACGACCCGGTCAGTCCTCAGGGTTACCTCGATTGCAGTCTGGCCAGTGATTACTATAACAGGGTGTTGTCAGGGTGGGAACCCATCATAGAACCATGGAGGTGCAAAATACTTTGGGAAAAGATTCTCTCTCAGGCGATACTGAAAAACAGGCTAGCCGTTAAAGTGGAATCTGAAGAAACGCTGGATTTTGATGTAACGTCTACATTGATCGAGCTGTACCAGCAGGTTAAGGAGACGTGGACCAAGGACTATTCTAAACAGCTTCCGAATGGTGCGTTGACAAAAATTATACAATCTTAAGAGCGAAAGGACAGTTTTATATGAATTACGTGCCACTTATTATGAGTATTTTTAAATTCAGGATAGGGGAATTATACTCCAAAGCTAGCGATCATAGTTTTTTCATTGACAAAAAAATAATTAAGCCTGGTACACATATTAAAAAACCATATAGCTTATGTTGTAAGATGTAAAAAACGGTGCACATTTTCAGGTAGTACCGATTCGTCAAAACCGTCAAGTGCGATAGAGTGCTTCAGAAGGAGATCACCGTTCATACCCTTTGCTTTGAAAAATGATACTGGATCGCCTTTGATTTTTACGACGCATATATCAGACGTCAACAGTGCTAGTACGCCGGTTGTGTACAAGTCGTACGAAAGTTGGACAAGTGTCGATTCCGGGGAGACTGTGCCTTTTTCTTTCAAAACTAGAGGTAAGTTTCCAGTCTTCATCATACCAATTCAAAAAGCCCCCTCTACATGATATTGTCTTAATACTAGGTTTTAGCGTAAAAGAGGCAATTAGAAGTGCCAAAATAGTGGCTGGGTATTATTTTTTTTAATGGAATGGGGACTGTGTAGTATCTCATTTTGAAACCGCTTATGAGTAGTTCATAACGTAAAACATAAAATAATAGCTTCTTGGAATGGCGGACTGGTGGGATGTCACGTAGACATCGAATCGAATATAACTCGACAATTTATTAACAAAACGATATGTATTCTTCCCCTGGAAGGATTTATCCGAATATTTGTAATAAAATATGGAAGATACCATTAAAAAAAATTTTAAAATATGTCGTTTATTGCAAATTGAATGTCCCATATCTTAGTGGATATACAGATAGATCCTTCCGAAAGAAGAATATTGATATAATGTACTATAATGTTTTGATGATTAGTTTTTGAACTATGACATGAACTATAACTAACAAGATGTTTCCTAATTCAATCTCAATATTTAATGGGGCGATTTTTGGTCCCATTTGAAAAAGATAACTTCATATGAACGTACAACCTAGACGTCTTAACTTTTGAGATAGATGGTGGTAAAGTTTTCAAAAATAAGTCAGTGGAACGCCGATGTCTTTTTAAAATATAAAAAAATATGTGTCTATTCATGAGCAGATTTGATCTCTTTTTTAGTCCGTCGCACGATTTAGACCTTTGTTTTTGTTTTGTTGAAGATGTATTTAGTATTAATGCTACAATGTCAATTTTACATATTTTTTTTTTAATCTATTCTCTGTAATTTTACATTTTGTCTATTAAAATTATATAACTATTCGCCTTAAACATTTTTAAATTCGAACACAGTTTAATATCATTATTTTGCAATTTTGCATATGAAAATCTATACTCCCTCTAGTTTCGTAGTTATGATAAATAATAACAATTTTGTGAAGTGTTCTAAATGAATTGATAAAAAATGATTTTCTAATTTGAATACGAAAATGAGAGCTAAATAACATGATTTTTTTTTTACATTCAACCACTGTAGTTGTTCTTATAGACTTAATCCTAGCATATATTTGCTTTTATTTAAAATGATTATCATAGCTGTATTTTGTAGAATTTGTAATTTTGAAAATATGTTTTCATTTGCTGTAAACAAGATGGTTGAACAATATAAAAAATGGCGAAGAGTTATAGTGTTATACCCAATTTTTTTATAATACATACTAAGATTATGGGAAACTCTATAGAAATAATTTATCTTTTTTGATATTTTTGGAATAATGTATTCATGATGGACTTGAAAGAATAGTTTACTATCCGCATGTATACCCAGATATTTGAATGATTCGACTACAATTTTTTCATGAGCCTAGTCATATTATCAACATCCCTTTTGACATTTTGCTTTATTAGTGTTTAGTTTTAGTTTACTAACATTCAACCAATCCATATATACAGGGTGTCCGCAAAGTTGGGGTTTTCCTTTACACGACGTGTAGATCTTGAAAACATAAGCAATTTTTCGGGCTCTGCAACATCAAAAATATCTGAATACCGTCCAGTAGCCGCGACCCGCGATATCACCGACTGGTACAAATGGGTCGGGGTCAGTGTGTCAGCTCAGTATGCAACCTTCAACCGACGGTTACGGTCACGCGTGTATTATTCGTTTCACGTCCAACGTGTACAAGCCCTTCAACCTGACGATTTTCCAGCAAGAGTGCGGTTTTGTGAGTGGTTGTTGCATCAACATGACAATAATCCGGACTTTTTTAAGTTCATATTGGTGACAGACGAATCTACGTTTGGTCAGTAGAAAATTCGCACGCTGTCCGTCGGGCACATTTTCAACAAACATTTTCGGTAAATGTTTGGGCTGGCATGGTGAACGGTATGCTCATTGGACCATTTATTCTCTCAAATCGATTGGACGGGATGCAATACCTAGACTTGTTACGCAATATTTTGCCTTCCTTGTTTGCCTGCGTCTGCTCGGTAGCGCATCAGCTGATTTCATTTTCTGTTGGAGCGGTATGATTTCGGGCAGAGACGTACTTAGCCCTTCTCGTCAACTGGAGAGTGAGTACTTTTTCCTTTATTTTTTTTACTTGGTCGCTCTCGTTTCACTACACATTACCTTTGTTATTTCAAGGGTAGTTGTTTCTGAAAAGGAAAACCCCAACTTTGCGGACACCCTGTATTTAATATCAATATTTAACAGTTTTGGACCAGTACCCAAATATGTATGTGCTATATATATATATATATATATATATATATATATATATATATATATATATGTATATATGTATCGTCAGAAATATTTGAATTTTCCAGTGTTCTACAATGTCAGAAATATCATTTATACATATAATAAATAACGCCCCTAATTTACTCCCATACGGATAGACTTTGGAACGCTTGACATAATATTTCCAACTTTAGTTTTTTGACTTCTATTATCTAAATAATTTTGTAAAATGTTTAATACTGATCATTTAAAACCATAGTGTCGTAATTTCATTGACAATTTTTCCCTATCTATAGTCTCAAATGCCCTTTTCAAGTCTAAAAATAATGTTACAATTCATTCTTATCTATACTTCTCCAGTCTTTCACCATCATTTTCGTTGGTGTTTCTGTAGAATAATTTTTCTAAATCCAGCTTGAATTTTTGTTAAAATTTTGTTTTCTTCAATGAATTGAATGATTTGTTCCTGAAAGAATTAAATATATTTCTTTGCATGGTAGTATTGTCATATTGACGATAGTGTTATGGTCAGGCAGAGAGGCGATTTTTATCAAATTTGCTTATATGTATATGATTTCGAGAATAATTTTTACTTTATTATGCCTTTTAATGTACATGTATATCAAATTTCATTAAAATATCTAAAGTGGGTTTTACAGATATAAATAAATTTGAAAACTTTACCACCATGTATCTCAAGAAACGTTTAGGACATACTTTAATCTGAAGTTTTCTTCTTCAAATGGGTCAAAAAATCGTACATACTGATATTCAATCAGGAAACACCCTGTATACTGTATTCCGGCGTCCAGAAAGGGATTTTATTTAATAAACGATTTTAATATGTATAAAGGGCTTTTTGAACATTACTGTATATTTAAATTTATATTTATAACGCAATGTGTGACATGTACAGATAAAATAAGACATCAAGATTCTCACATGATGAGGCTGCATCAGTTGGGCGTGAAAATTGACGGATGGCAATGTATCGATCCTGTTACCGTCGACAAAGTAGGAATTTACTTTAGAGATGCCCCGGCGGACGTTCAAAGTCGTGTAAGTAATATTCATGCTTTATTAGAAGGTTGATCCAGATTCAGAAATATCGTTTCCAGTAAACTCCAGCCACATACCGACCATACTCATTCTTGGCTCAGAAGCCGTCCAGTATGGATCTTCCCGTTTTATTTCCCACGCCTACTGGCGGGAAAGTATTGTAACAGCGAAAATTCAACTTCTAATTTTGTGAAGAAGTCCACTAAGATCATGGATTTATTTGTCGTCAAATTCCTGCTTTACACTTTTGAAATTTGGCCATGAACTTAATTCATGAAGAAATCTGTGGCTTTATTGTCATTGTATTTTGGAACCTTATTTCTGGAGCAACCGTCCCATTTTTCGATACCTCATAAAATTTACCAGCATATTTGAATCACTGCATCTTCTTTCAGTCGTTGGACGTTCCTCCAGTGAGAATAGTCTTCGACGTAACCTTAGAAGGCTCCGCAAGGAAGCTAGTGACAGTACGATCGGCCTTGTTGCTAATCAACAATCTGCCGCAACCGGTCGAGATTAAATTGGAACCGCGCTTACCGCAAGAAGCGAATTATATTTGGGTTCCGACCAAAACGTACAACGTGGACAAGAAGGCTACGTTGGCCGTACCTTTAGCACACGCGAGGTCCCAGATCAGCATGAAACCTTCAGGATTAGCGCAGAAGTATACCTATTGCACGCCGACTTCGAATTGGATGGACATGCCTCCGAATGTTGACAGGGCGTACGAATTGGAGACTTGTCATACGCACAAGGGGCACAATTATAGGTATAGTGCGGCTTTTCATTATCTTGACCAAATCAGTGTTCGCTGTCACCAAAGGATTCGAATAGATTAGAAGCTCAGCCTGTATGTCTACATTGCATTGTTTGTCGTCAGAATAGTTTCAGTTCATTTTTCTGGATAATCTGCCTACATGTGACAAACCAATACATCAGCGTACATTCTTTTTTCTGGAAATGATATTCAAATAGCTATTTGTATTAAGTGTAGGAACACAGAGCAAAGCGATATGAATATCCCAGTTATTGTTCGTAAACAGGGATAAATTAAATAAGGCAAAGACAGGAAAGTAAATATTGTTTAACAGTACAGTATATAAACAATTCTGCCTTAATGCGTGATTTTGGAAAGTGAATAATAGAAAACCTTAACGCCACCAAACAGCAACAATAGCTGAATACCTTATATTGGAAATAGTTTGAGAACTTGCAAGAATTATATTCAGTTTTTCGAACTACTTTTTCAAGAGCATTATGAATGCATTATTTCAAAAATATCAAAAAGATGAATTACTTCTATAACAGTCTCTATAATCTCAGTACGTGTTCCAAAAAAATGATGTATAACACCATCATTCTTTCCCATTTTTTATATTGCTCAACTATTTCGTTTACATATACTAAGTGACATATAAATCCGAACACGCAGTTTAAATGGTTTTATTTTAATAAAAGTTGGTGAATGTATTTATCTTACTGTAAATAACAAGTGAAAAAATTTCAGCCTTATCTGTTGGACATTCCGGTTTTTATGCTGCTTTTTTTAATTCACTAACGCTCTAAAAATGAATATTTCAGCCGCAGTAAAGAATCAACGTTGGCGGATTTTAGTTCTTGACATCCTTTACGATCGGTTACGATGCCTAGAGTACGGAGACCTGTACGATTTCGTCAACTTAGTGAGTTTGATAGGGGCCGTATAGTGGGACTTCGGGAAGCTGGACTTTCTTTTCGGGCAATTGCAGTTAGAGTGCAAAGAAGTGTAGACACTGTGGTTAGGCGTTGTCAGGCATGGCTTCGAGAAGGCCGTACGCAAAGAGCAAGGGGCACTGGACGCCGCCGTAGAACAACAGACCGTGAAGATCGCCGCCTAAGATTATTGGCCTTAGGGGACCGTTTCTCCACTACCAGGTCCATTGCAAATGAATGGTTTGCAGAACACGGAAGACCTATTGGCATGCGAAGTGTTTACCAACGTTTGTTTTCGTACCGGCCACACTGGGTCCTCCCTTTAACTCGAGAACACCGACGTAATCGCCTTGAGTGGTGCAGACAACGGTCACTCTGGGATTAGGAATGGAACAGTATTGTCTTTAGTGACGAGTCTCGATTTTGTTTAGGCATGCACGATGGTCGTGCCAGGGTTAGAAGGCGACGTGGTGAAAGGAGGAATCCACAGTTTTTTGTTGAAAGACATGTTCATCACACTGTTGGAGTTATGGTTTGGGGTGCTATAGCTCATGGTTCCAGGTCACCTTTAATCTTCATCAGAGGTAACATGAACGCGCAGCGTTATATCCACGAAGTTCTAGAACCCCATCTTTTACCCTATCTTGACACCCTGGCAGATCCAACTTTCCAACAAGATAATGCCCGACCACATGTTGCAAGAGTCACAATAGACTTCTTTCAACATAATGATGTCACATTGTTACCATGGCCACCAAGATCTCCCGACTTATCCCCAATTGAGCACGTGTGGGATATGATGGGTAGGAGATTGCTCAATTTGCAACGTCCTCCTCAGACTCTAGAAGCACTTCGAGAGGAGTTGGTGGTTGCCAGGAATGAGATACCACAGGAGGACATTGACCACCTGATCAGAAGCATGCCTAGGCGCGTTGGAGAATGCGTAGCACATCAGGGTGCATCCACACATTATTAAAGGTCAAAGGGCTTTAAAGCAGTGCAATCATTTTGAAATTTTTATCATTTACTTATTATGCTTCATTAAGTACTTATACAAAATTTTATTAAAATAAAACCATTTAAACTGGGTGTTCGGATTTATATGTCACTTAGTATATTTTCAAAATCACAAATTCTACAAAATAAAGCTATGAGAATCATTTTAAGGTGGCACGTCCCTTTTTTATATTTCTTTCCAACTTCCTGTTTGCAGCAGTATTCTAAATTCTTTTCATCTGATAATTTCATGGTGTGCATAGAGATGACTAAACAAAAATTATTGTGCATTCCTTCTTCAATCGGAACTTGTTAACAAATTTAAGTACAGCTCTAAAATTGTGTGTGAATATTCCTCTTTTATAGAAGATTGAAACAAGTGATTACTTTTGTTCTTATCACTTCTCCTTTTCGAAAAAACTTTGATTTTCTTGAAGCCTCGTTTCGCAGCAAGTAGGGTCTTCAAGAAAAGCAAAGATGTACATGACCTTTTGCAACACCGATGACTATAATATAAAACACTTATCGATAGAAAGATTGGCGCTTTTTAGTTTAAACTGCATTTTGCAATCCACAGAATCATTCACCATTTTCAACTGCTGTCAACTGACGGCTTAAGCCAGATCGACTGCCATATGCAATGTTTTACCTGTTCTTTACTTGTTTGTACTTTTCAGGTTTTGTCAAGAGATAGTAAAGGAAAATGTTTTGGTACCAACAAGTAATAGATACGAGCAACCTGCACACAGAATCTTCCTTTGGCCAACAATCAAATTGGAAAATTTATTACCAGTAGATATCGATTATGTATTATCAGGAGAAAAAGGGCGCATCAAAGCAGGGGCCACAGCTTCAATAACTACAGTAAGCTGTTAATTTTTTTATTTCTTAAGCTTTTTGAACATCTTAGTTTCATTGAGATAAGGCCGAAAGATACAGCTATATATTTTCCATGGTAATACAATTAACGCGTATATAGGTGTATTTTCAGTTGGTTTTCATTAATAACAAAAATCGTGATTAGGTTCAATATATCCTATGTTTCGATTCAGATTACGTCAAGAAAAGGCAATCCTTCTGTTAGATGATTTTTTCAGGTGAACCGTTGAAATACTGGGTGCGCCATCTATTACTTTTTTTTATCTATAAGTTTATATGTTACCATGTGAGTCAAAAGTCATGTGGTATGCTTAAATGAACTGTCAAAGGTATGCCATTTACAGTCATGGAGTCGTTTACAACACAACAACGCATTTTGGTTATCCAAACTTATTACGAAAACGGTCGAAATATAAAAAATACTTTTCGCAAACTTCGCACTAGTTTTGGCCGACATGGACGCCCTACAGAGCCTGGAATTCGTTGGATTGTTAATCGTTCAGCTGAAGGTCGTAGACCATACCAACATGCTCGTCCAGCTCGTACTCGTGAAAACATAGCCGCAGTGAGTGACACCTCGACTAGGCACCGTTCGCAACAATTGGGAATTAGTGAGACCACTTTACGCCGGATTTTACGCATTGATTTACACCTCCATCCATACAAAATCCAACTAACGCAAGAATTGAAGCCGGCAGACCATCAACAGCGGCGTGTTTTTGTTAATTTGATGCTGGAAAGAAAAGACGGATTTTCGGCCAAAGTACTCTTTTCTGATGAGGTTCATTTTCACCTCAATGGGTACGTAAATAAGCAAAAGTGCAGATTCTGGGGGGCTGAAAATCCACACCAATATCATGAACAACCTCTCCATCCTGAAAAAGTGACTGTTTGGTGCGGATTATGGGCTGGTGGCCTCGTTGGACCATTCTTCTTTGAAGACGCCGAAGAAAAGGCCATTACCGTCAACAAGGAATGTTATCGCGGCATGTTAACAGACTTTTTGTGGCCACAATTGGATCGTATTGGTGCCGACGATCTTTGGTTTCATCAAGACGGAGCAACGGCTTACACATTTCGCCAAACAATCGCCTTATTGCTCACGAAATTTCAAGACCGCATAATTTCACGAAATACAGATGTCAGTTGGCCCCCGAGATCGTGCGATTTAACACCTATTGACTATTTTCTTTGGGGATTTTTGAAAGGAAAAGTGTATGCGAATGGTCCCAGGACAATTCAAGAGATAAAGCGCAATATTCGGAGTGAAATTGCGGCCATAGACCTTATTATTCTGGGAAAAGTCATTGAAAATATCGATGTTCGGTTGTTGGCCTGTAAATGAAGCCGCGGTGGTCACATGACTGATTTTATCTTTCATACATAAATGGCATAAACCAACCTTCATTTACCAATAAAAAAAATCGATTTCACCTCGTAAAAAGCGTGTTGATTTTTCAAATATAAAAAAAAGTAATAGATGACGCACCCTGTACTTAATAGATTTCTTTTTAGGTGGATCCCGACAAGACTGTGTCATTAGAGGTGATTCTGGAAGGATTCGAAACGTGCAATGCTATAGTTGTACCAGCAGGCTGCACCAACGAATTTACTGGCCGTATCAAACTAGAAGATAGCAAGCATAGAAAGTTATATTTACTGGCTTATATTTCGCTCAATAAAAGTGCCAAAGTTAAGGTAAGATATCTGCAATCAGTCCAAACGTTTATATTATAGTTTTGGTCGCATATTTTTCCTCGTTCATAGAATCTTTGCCATTCGATCAATGCATCCTGTTTGAATCTGAAATGGTGCCGTTTCTTGTAGATAACGATAACAGCCTATTTTTGGATAATAAACAGGACAGGGTTGCCTCTGGTGTTCAGACAGTCTGGAACATCGACGGAAAGTGCGGGCCAGTTTGAAGAGCACGAACAAGCCAGGATGGTAACGCCGTTTCTTTTCAGTTTTTCTGATCAAGATGCTAGCCCGACGTTGAACGCTAGGGTTGGAAAAATGGTTGTGTTTGACGGTACATCACAAGTAAGTTTAACATTCATTTGTCAGGAACATCTTTCCGATCTTCAAGTATCATAAATAACTATACAGGGTGGCGCATCGAAAACGAAACAGACGCGTTTACTGGCAGCTAAGTTTTTTTTGGGAAAAACGCTCAGACCCGTCGATTTTGTTTTCGAGTTTGGCTAAAAATCACGTTAACACGTGCAGCCCCCTGGGCGGGGGTGACACCAACCCTAAAATCTTAAATGGAAAGGGGGGTCGAGTGATACCTTATTTTAAAGGTATTTCAATTCCCTTTATAATGATGTAAAATACATGAGCTTCAGTTCAGTAGTTTTGAAGATTTATTGATTTAAGCTTAAAGTAGACTTTAATAGGTACATCAGATTAGTTTGTACTACTTTCAGAAGACATTTGACTAAAAGAATTTACTTAATAAGTAAATGCTTTTCTTCACTACGCCCATGGTTTGTTTATCATTTTGTTGTTGAAAATAGCTATTGGAGCGTTTTTTTGTGGCAAAAAAAGCTATTTCTTGAAGAAAGGTAAGGAAATATCTCGTACTTATTTTAAATAGGAATTTAGTACATAGTTTGCGATTGATTTGACCAAACTTTGTTGCTAAAATAACTTGTAACGCTTTATTAGATAAATTAACCACGGTATATTCCACAGCAGAAAGAGTTGAAATTATCGAAATCGCCGTAGATCCTGCATTAACAGCCATAATTTAAAATCAGAATGATCGGCGGTACATTGCGAATAGGTTGATGTTCCAACATAATGGTGCCCCACCACATTACGCATTAAGTGTTCGACATTATTTAGATCAGACGTTTCCAGATCGATGGATTGGTAGAAGAGGTGCCATTGAAGGGCCCCCAAGATCGCCAGATTTATTACCTTTGGATTTCTTTATGTGGGGTCGTTTAAAAAGCAAAATCTATGCCAACATCATTAGAAGACCTGCGAAAAAGAATTGTGAATGAGTGCCTTCAAATTACTCCTCAAATATTGCAAAATGTGCGGCAACGTTTTGAGCAAAATCTTTATTATTGCATGGAGAGTCGTGGTGACCATTTTCAACATTTACTTGCCTAACGGGTCAGTTCATTCTTCATTTTTAAATTACTTTGCTGCCAAATGTATTGATCTCCACTAATGATGATGTATTAGTTTTATTTAAGCTTTAAATCAATAAATCTTCAAAACTACTGAACTGAAGAACATTAATTTTATATCATTATAAAGGGAATTGAAACACCTTTAAAATAAGGTATCACTCGACCCCCCTTTCCATTTAAGATTTTGGGGGTGGTGTCACCCCCGCTTAGGGGGCTGCACATGCTAACGTGATTTTTTGCCAAACTTGTGTCCCCCTCGAAAAAAAATCGACGGGTCTGAGCGTTTTTCAAAAAAAAAACTGAGCTGCCAGTAAATGCGTCTGTTTCGTTTTCAATGCGCCACCCTGTATAATAAACTAAATAAAAAGTGAAAATCGCTAATTTTTTTTTTTTACTTTTGAAGATTTTTGCCACTAGTGTGTAACAAAGGGCCTCAGCTGCTCGACTGGATGTGGACCGTCGATCGTTATCCGTACCAGATGTAGTTTCGATCACGTGCGCCAGCATGAATTTTTCTCAAGACTATGAGTTTCCCTATAGAAGTAATTTGTTTTTTTTTTGTTGGAATTTTTGAAATAATGTATTGATAGCAATCCTCAAACTTTATTTTTTTTTATTATGTGACCAGTTATCCTAACTGTGATAGTATTCTCATTTAGGTATTTCCTTATTAGCATACATTTGTTTTAGAAGCGTTCAATTTTTTTTCCAAATTGTACCAACCTGTAATTAAAATGAAAAATTGTAAATCAAATTCATATCTCAGAGTGCTTACTTATGTATGTTTAGCACATGTTGTTGTGCAGTACTCACTGTTGATTTACTAAATCCCATTTCAGAACAAACTTCACTTTGCTTCACACCTTGCAATCTTTTGACGATATCGTATTTACTATTTAAAGTAAGAGCTTTACGTGATCCTTTAAACCCATAGTGATGCAATTTTGTATGAAATTTATCCCTATCAATAGTTTCAAACGCCCTTTTGAAGTCCAAAAACACTGTCACAGTGTGTTTCCTATTGTCCATACATCTCCTCCAGTCCTCTAAAATCATTGGTATTGCCATTTCAGTTGAGTGTTTCTTCCTGAATCCAGCTTGAAATTTTATTTCCCTCGATGAAGTGATGATGAATAATTTCTTCAAAGACTTTTTCAAAATCTGGCAGTACATTTATTCGCCGCATATTGGTGTACAACTCAGAGTTCTTAACTGTCAAAACTAGAGTTATAGTAGAACACTTCATTTCTGTTGGAAATTCGCCATATTTTAAACTGTTAATTTATCAGGATTAATATTCGTGTTCCAATAATATCAAAACATTCATTAAGCAACTTTTTAGACAAAATCACACTTTTATTTTGATTGGGCTGCAATTTTGGTATAATCTTTTGAGGCGATTAATATTTATTGTTCTAAACTCGCTGAATGAAGCATTATAATCTGATTTAATGGGACAGTCGTTGGGATCCTCGTCAATAATTGATCTTACAATGTCGTTGACACTTCCTATGAAATAAGTATTCATTCGATCTGCTATTATTTTTTCGTTTGCCATAACCTCACCGTCAATCTTCGATATTGTATTTCTTTTAATTGGAGAAACAATGTTTTTCAATATTTTACACATCTGCTTGCTATTATTTTTACTGTCATCAATTTTGCTATTGTAATATTTTTTCTTTTGGCCTCCTAAAACTAGTAGTAGAAAGATTTATTTAGCACATTTGGCTACATAAACAGAACAATTGTAAACAACTTAGAACTAGTAAATTCAAGCCATATGGTGTATGATGTAAATGCCGGGCAAGCTATAATTGTAGATTTAACAAGTGATTTCTCAATTTTACTTTAAATTTTGTCAAAGTTTTCTGGTCTTTTATCTCTGAGTATAATTTATTATATTCAATCAACCCTTGATGGAATACAGATTTGTAGCATATGTTATACTTTTTGGTCATTAAATGGAAGTCATCTTTATTTCTGGTATTATGTAAATGATGGTCGACATTTGATGATGTTAAATTAGTTAGACTTGATGGAAATATATTATTTTTTACTTTATAAATGAATATCATTACAAGATATTTGATAAAATTTTTTACATTGAGCCATTTTAATTTGCTAAGCATTTGCCTAATTGGAGTATATTTATCTTTATTTAGTATTATTCTCATGCACTTATTTTGTAAAATTTGCAGTCTTTCAAAAATGGAATTATTTGCTAAATATAGAATAGTCGAACAGTACAAGAAATTTGGAAGAATGATGGTATTATAGATAATTTTTCTGCTATATGAACTCAGACATTCAGAAACTCTCGATAAATATCCCACTTTACTACTAATCTTATTTATAACTTTTTCATAATGAATATCAAAAATTAATCGAGAGTCAATAAAAACCCCCAGGTATTTAAAATTTTCTACGAATTCAATATCTTCACCATTAATATTCAGTTGAACATTTGTACATTGTTTTTTTTCCGATTAACAAGGCTTTCGTTTTACTTGCATTTAATTTTAGTCTGTTAGATGCTAACCATTTTGAGACAAGTTTCAAGTCTTCATTTATATAAGAGATACCAGACTGAATATTTTTAGTACTTATATAAATCAGTGTCATCGGCGAAAATCTGAATTTTGCATTTTTTTGACTATGGCAGGTAAATCGTTTATGTATAAAATAAAAAGAAGTGGTCCCAGGATACTGCCCTGTGGAACACCCAATGTATTTTCAATTTTTGATGAAATAGTGTCATTAACTTTTGTAACTTGCATCCTTTTAGACAAATAATTTCTAAACCAATCTAAAACACTTCCTGTTATACCATATGCCTTCAATTTACCTAACAAAATATCTCTATCAATCGTTTCAAATCCAAAAATACTGCTATGACAACTTATTCTGAGTCTATGGCTCTTCTCCAATTCTCAGTTACTAACTGGAAAGCCGTTTCTGTGGAATATTTTTTTCGAAAGCCTGCTACAGATTGGGTTCTTGATCTTGTGTATTCTAATCATTTTCACTATTAACATTGAAAATCAAGTAATAGTTGTCACACTGGTTTTTGATTGATTGTATATCACTATAAGCGAAAGGGCGTACATTTTTCATAAATTCCGAAAATTGTGAAATGTGTTCCTTGTTATACATGTTCGTTGCTAACTTTCTTCACAGAACCGAACATAATCCTTTATAAACTGAAGCGCGGTCAACCAACTTGACGTTATTTTTTGTTTCTAGTGGTGTTCGAACTTTCACGTGCAGAAAGGCACCCAATACCGCAAATTGCACGTGAGCATGCGCGGAGGCAGCCCGGACACCGTATTCGTCGTAGGCATCGAGGTGCGACCGGGCAGAGGGAAGTACCGATCGACGAGCATCATCACGATCTCGCCGAGGTACCAACTGCACAACCGCAGCTCCTACCGACTCCTCTTCGCCCAGATGTGCGCCGCCAAAGGGTCCAACGGAGACTATCACAACCCGCAGAAGGCGTTCTTGAAACTGATGCCGGACTCGCACATGCCCTTCCATTGGTCCAATTTGGAAAAAGACCAGTTGTTGTGCGTGTCGATCGAAGATGTGCCGGATTGCTGTTGGTCGGGAGGGTTGAAGATCGATACTAACACCTCGATGCATGTCAACGTCAGGTTAGTAGAAATTTTTTTGCTAGTATCTTTTTGGCGACACTGTTTTTGACAGATGACGCGTGAATCTTGTCTTGTGTCATTGTCAAACTTGTTCAGTTTGGTCTATAATTTAACCATGAATCGACTTACGAACGAACAACGCTTGCAAATTATTGAATTTTACTATCAAGATTCATGCTCGGTTAAGAGAGTGCATCGAGCACTGCTTCGAATTTATGGGCAATTTGGTCGGCCTACTGAGGGAGCTATTCGGAAGCTTGTGACTAAATTTCGAGCCCAGTTTACATTATTGGACATTAAACCACCAACACGCAGACGTAGAGTGAGGACTGAAGAAAATATTGCGGCTGTATCCGCCAGTGTTAGTGATCACCGTGAAATGTCGATTCGCCGCCGTTCGCAGCAATTGGGCCTCTGTTACTCCACTACGTGGAAAATTTTGCGACAGTATTTGGGTGTAAAACCTTATAAGATACAGCTGGTGCAAGAATTGAAGCCACACGACCTCCCACAACGTTTACAATTTGGTGAATGGGCACTAGCAAAGTTGGAGGAAGATCCACATTTTTATCGAAAAATTGTGTTCAGCGACGAAGCTCATTTCTGGTTGAATGGGTACGTTAACAAGCAAAATTGCCGCATCTGGAGTGAAGTCCAGCCAGAAGCATTGCGAAAGCTACCAATGCATCCCGAAAAAATCACTGTTTGGTGTGGATTATTGGGCCGGTGGCATCATCGGGCCGTACTTCTTCAAAGACGACAATGGCCGGAACGTAACTGTGAATGGCGACCGCTACCGTGCGATGATAACAAACTTTTTTTTGCCCAAAATGTAAGAGCTGGACTTGGCTGACATGTGGTTTCAACGAGACGGTGCCACATGCCACACCGCACACGAAACAATGGCCCTATTGAGAGGCGAGTTCGGTGAACAGTTTATCTCACGTTTGGGGCCCGTCAATTGGCCGCCTTGGACCTTGCGCATGGGCCATCTAAAGCGGAGCCGCGGCCAACATTTACATGAAATAATCTTTAAAAATTAAATTATATCGACCGTTCTATCGACTCAAATAAAGATTTAATCGTTTTTTCAAATTTTTTGTGTTTTTTTTTGAAAATCAAATCCTATACCTCTTAAAAAATCACCCTATATATTGGCCACCCTGTACAATTTCGTTAACTAGAAAGCTAATAACTTTTCTGTGACAAACTTTTAACTCGTATATTTTATTCAGAGACGGAAACGGTCGCGTGTACTTCCTCCGTCTAGAAGTCGTCCTCCAAGGCGCCACTTTCTTCGTCGTCTTCACGGACGCGGACACGATGCCGCCTCCGATCCGAGTGGACAACTTCAGCGAGGTGTCCATCACCTTCGGCCAGAGTTGCTGCGTGGACGTGATGCACAGCACGGCCAGGGCGCATTCGAGCGTCCCTTATGCCTGGGACGAACCCACCAGGGATCATTCGGTGAGGCTTGTCGCGCCTGGCGGGGTCTCGAATACGTACAGGGTGTCGATGTTGGGACCCGCGCCGGGTCTCACTTATGAGAATTTTATCTATATCGCGTTCACCGGGACTTTCAAGAGGTGAGTAGGCGGAATTTTTATATATTTTGCAATTTTCGGAATTTTTTCGCCTATAGTATACAGTTAATCAAAAACCGGTGTGACAACAGTTACTTGACTTTCATTGTTAGTGATGAACATGATTGGCTAGAATACATAAGATCAAGGAACCAATCTGTAGCACTTTTACGAGGTGAAAAAAAAATATTACAGTACCAAAATTGATGATAGTTAAAATAATTGCAATCAGATGTGGAAAACATTGAAAAACATTGTTTCTTCAATTAGAAAAAATACAATATCTAAAATGAAGTTTGACGATGGGGTAACGACATATGAAAAAAATAATAGCAGATCTGAATACCTATTTCATAGAAAGTGTCAAGATCAATTATTGACAGGGATTCCACGCAATGTCTCATTAGATCAGATTATAATGCATCATTTAATAGAATAAATATTGATCAACTCAAAAGATTATATCAAAATTGAAATCAAATCAAAATAAGAGTGAGATTTTATCTAAAAAGTTGCTTAATGAATGTTTTGATATTATTGGATCAAGAATATTAATCGTGATAAATTACTGTTTGAAATATGGCGAATTGCCACCATAACTCTTGGTTAGAAAGTTAAGAATTCTAAGTTGTGCGGACAATACAAGTTCTGCCAATTGTTGAAAAAGTCTTTGAAGAAATTGTTTACGAACAGATCCTCGAATTTAGCGAGGGAAATAAAATTTTAACCGAATTTCAAGTAGGATTCAGGCAGAAACACTCAACTGAAACTGCAATACAAATGATTTTAGAGGACTGGAGGAGATGTATGGATAATTGGGAACATACCGTGAGACTGTTTTTGGACTTCAAAAGGGAGTTTGAAACTATTGACAGGGATAAATTACGTATCACTATGGATCTAAAGGATTCAAAATTAGACAAGACTACTTAATTGACAATTTAAAAAAACAAAATTGGATCTTTATTATCAAGCTCAAAACATATTTTTGTTGGTGTACCACACCCTACGGCAGTCTGTCAACTCCTGTTACTACAAATATTAACTTTTTTTGGATTTTATTTTTACAATGTAATGATGAATAATGCATCTTCAAACTGGTGTCTCAACCTTACTGCCAACTTTTCTCGTTCAGGAAAAATTGCCACTTATTTCCCAACCAAGTATTCCAAAGTAAAACTTTGCTCAACTTTAACTGGCTGTACTGGAAAAAAATTTACTACGAGAGTTTGGCAAGTAACCTTAAAAGTTGGCGCATTTAATAACGATTCCAAAATGGTATAACACTTAGAAGATTACTCGTTAACTTATGCACAATTTTTATTTGAAAAAAAACTGATGAAAATTTTTCAAAATTTCCTAATTAAACAGCGATTATGAAAACGCACAAGGACCCTTAAGGATAACTGTTTGCACAACAGTGGGCGTCAAAATGCTACTGATGATGATTTACCTTTACAGCAAATGCTCAAACTGTTTTCCTTCAGCCGCAATACACGCTCGACATCTTCTTAAAAAAGATCGGATTATTAAACGAGCGAATCCACGGTTATTAACAAACTCAGCTGCTTCCAATAGTCTTTGCCGTAGCTCAGCTACATTTTGAACCGGCTTGAAATACACTTTTTCTTTTACAGTTCCCCAGTAAAAAAATCTAAAGGATTCAAATCAGGTGATCGGGCTGGCCACGGGATTGTACCAGACCGCCTTATCCATCTGCCTGAAAAGTTTTGATCGAGATACTCTCTCACTGAGAGTGCATAGTGCGCTGGGCTGCCATCATGCTGAAACCACATGTCCCTGTAATTACTCAGTGGCACGTCCTCTAATAAATTTTCTAAATGATTTTGCAAAAAACCTAAATAAACCTCAGCAGTCAGTCTCAAACTAGGAACTCAAACGGACCGATGATTTTACCATTTAAAATTCCTGTCCAATGGATTATCTTGAAGCGATATTGAAATTTATCTTCTCTCATCAAATGTGGGTTTGCTACGTGCCACTCGTGTAAGTTATGCAGGTTCATGTACCCATCTTTCTTAAATGTGGTCTCATTTGACCATAAAATTTTTTCAATGAACCGTGGGTCTTCCCTGTGTCTTTCTAACATTGTGCGACAAAAAGCAACTCGGGGCTCATAATCCCGGACCAGCCCGATCACCTGATTTAAATCCTTTAGATTTTTTTACTGGGGAACTGTAAAAGAAAAAGTGTATTTCAAGCCGATTCAAAATGTAGCTGAGCTACGGCAAAGACTATTGGAAGCAGCTGAGTTTGTTAATAACCGTGGATTCGCTCGTTTAATAATCCGATCTTTTTTAAGAAGATGTCGAGCGTGTATTGCGGCTGAAGGAAAACAGTTTGAGCATTTGCTGTAAAGGTAAATCATCATCAGTAGCATTTTGACGCCCACTGTTGTGCAAACAGTTATCCTTAAGGGTCCTTGTGCGTTTTCATAATCGCTGTTTAATTAGGAAATTTTGAAAAATTTTCATCAGTTTTTATACCATTTTGGAAATCCTTATTAAATGCGCCAACTTTTAAGGTTACTTGTCAAACTCTCGTAGTACATTTTTTCAGTAGAGCCAGTTAAAGTTGAGCAAAGTTTTACTTTGGAATACTTGGTTGGGAAATAAGTGGCAATTTTTCCTGAACGAGAAAAGTTGGCAGTAAGGTTGAGACACCAGTTTGAAGATGCATTATTCATCATTACATTGTAAAAATAAAATCCAATAAAAGTTAATATTTGTAGTAACAGGAGTTGGCAGACTGCCGTAGGGTGTAAAATTTCTATATTTTTTCAAAGACCTATAATTTTCAAAACACATACATAAAAATTTTTTAAATATTTTTCTGAAAGCTGTTATGACTTTGCCTATCACCCGGTTTCGGCTTGACGTCGACTTCTGGGACACCCTGTATATATATAAAGAGAATATGATCATGCGGAGAAAGGTATATAACAACAAGTAGGAAAATATAATAAATAATACTTTTTGCGGATTTTGCCCTTTATTTTCCTATATATATATATATATATTGATATTAAACTAAAGTTTGATAATCACTATGAATTCATTATTTCAATAATTTCCAAAAAAAAAAAAACAAATTACATCTATAGGGCATCTCATAGTCATAGTACTTATTCCAAAGAATAGTTTATAATACAATTATTCTACCGCATTTACTAAAATAAAATCTCTATTACAAGAATTGCAGTGGTTCTTATTTTATATTTAAAATAAAAATTCATCTTTTGCTACAAAATTTAGAACACTACATAGAATTGTATAATCATTACCACAATTATTATAGAAGAGGGAATATGAAAATGAAAATCTCATTTACAAAATTGCACTAGTAATCATCATAACTCGCAAGCCAATATTTCAAAAGGATTATTTGAATTTGATAAACTAAATAATGATATAAAGTCTACTTGTAATTTGTAATTGATATGAATAAATTATTATTATTATTATTGAAAGATGTTTAAAAGAAAATCAAGGGAATGTTTCATGGACAGTGAAAATTCTTAGAGATGGAAGTTTTGTTTTTCTAAATATCTCTATGTTATGTAATTGTTATAGTTTCTTAAAAGAATGTAATTGTTGCAAATCATGCTAAATAAGTCTTAAACAAAAACAAAACAATAAGACACCATCAAATTTTTGCGACCGACCATTGATCATGAATTAAATTTTGTTTGACTGACTTGGTCCATTCAATTTTATTGCTATACATTTTCTCAGATGGGCTAATTCGAACCAAACATAATTTTTTATGAACTGATGACCTCCGTCGCAATGCTATCATACTTAACGCCATTTTTTATGTGCGCAAAATGAATTAGCTGAGAAAAACTGAACATATCCAGCATTTTTCATTCACAGTTCTAGCAAGTGGATTTACACAGTTTGTGATTGCATAGTGTAAGTAGCAATGCATTAGGCACGAACAAATAATAAAAAACCGTAGATCCATCATTGCTACCCAGCTTTGAATCATTTTACATCAGTGTATGAGTTATCATCTAAATAGAATAGAATAATATTTATTAAGCAATTATAACAACAAATCTTACTACAGGTTAAACTGAGATAAAAACGTTAGTATTATTCTGTATATGATTGATAGTATGGTAGAGTGGTATCGTTATTTTATAGGTTCCTTTGCCGATTTTCGCAAAGCATGACAAACAGTTTTGAAGCACCATTCATTAGCTTAAACTTATGATTCGCTTCAGAAGCCCCGTCATTTAATGTCTGTAACACCTACGAGGTCTGTAAATTAAGTGATGAGACCGCTTATTTTATTTTTTTATTCAAATACGAGCACCTTCCCACTTCAGTTGGCGCAGTTCAAGATTTGAACCAAAATATGCCTTTATAAATTAAACATGACGAAATTTACTTGTAAAACAATTTATTTTCTCAAAAACATTTTAGATACACTCTAGTCGTAAAAAATACATATTTGAAATCACTTAGACCTATAACTAATAGAACATCTGAACAAATAAACAATGTGCGAATAAATGCGCGAAGTTAACAAAGCAACAATTGAAAGATTACCATTGGGTAACATCACCTTTATTTTTTATTACGGCTAAAATTCTTTGGGGCATAGTATTAACCAAGTTTTGGCAAAAATTTGGTGTAAAACAATCCCATATTTCTTGAAGCTTTTGTCCCAGTTCGGTGATTGTACGAGCAGGATGTTGTCGTAGAACCTTTTTCATCTCGTGCCACAAAGTTACAATAGGTGACAGATCTGGACTGCTAGAAACCCATTTCAAAAGTGGTACATTATTTTCTTCCGTCCATTTTATAGCCTTTTTTAAGGTATGGCACGCTGCACCATCTTGCTAAAACACAAAATCTTGGCCGGATGTCAAACATTCTTCCATCACTGGTAAAAGCGATTCTTCTAAAATTGCCAAATATTTGCTGGTATCCACATTTCCATCAATAAAATAAAGTTCTCCTACTCCTTTTGATGACATACTGCCCCAGACCATAATGGATGCTGGAAATTTCACTTTTCTCTTCAGACAGTCAACATGGAATGCTTCATTTTTTTGCGAATAACTCTACTGTGACTGTCACCAACACAAACTTCGAATCGGGCCTCATCACTCCATTGTATTGCACACCATTGTTAAGTTGTCCATTGTCTATGTTCTTTAGCACATCTAAGCTGATTTTTCTTTTGCAGTGGAGTTAATAGTGGCTTTTCTTTGGCCAATAAACAAGTTGTGCAACTTTAGGGTTTTTACTTCACTTTTTTTATAAGAAAACTTACCTTGCAAGTGCTAAATCCCAGTTTGTGGGCCTCTCTATGAGTTGTGGACCTCGAGATACTCCTTCCAACAGCGTCACTCCACAGAGCACTTAATTGTAAATAATTGACACGCCTGTTTTTCACGATTATTCTTCTTAATGCTCTTCGGTCGGCATTTGTGATATTACTTTTTTTCACATATCGTGGCTTAATATTAACTGAACCAGTTACGTTATATCTTCTAACAATATTTCTCACACTGTACCGCGATAAGTCTAACAAAGTTGCAATTTCTGAGTTTGATTTCCCAGAATTAAAAAATTTAATTATCAGTAACAGAATTTTCTCACTAATAACCTTTCCTCTACCCATTTTGAAAACCTTAACTACCCAATAATATTTTAAACGTATTCTGACAGCTGTGATTAATAAAAACAATTGTCATGGCTTTTATTTTTCACAGCCATTATAGACTTATTTTGCATTGAAATGAAAATAGGTTGATATGCTGTAATTGCAACATGTGTTATATTTATGCTGCAAATTTGATTAGGGAGTGATAAAGTTGGTGTTTTCTACTATATATTATCAAAATATTCCTTGTTAATATTTTAAACCTATAACACCCTACTACATTTTTATTATTTGTGTTTGATAAGAAAAAAACTAAGATTTCAATAGTTGGGCCAACTGCAGTGGGAAGGGGCTCATATAATTACAATTTTATATTGCCACCCTCTGAAGCCACACAGTGCTGGAGACGGTTCTTCCACTCCTCCTAGCAGTCCTGGAACTCCGATGTTGCAATAGCCGTTTAGCTGGTCGGTTATAGCCGTTTGAATGTTTTCTACTGTCTCAAAGTGGTGATTTTTGAACTTCGGGAAGAGAACAAAGTTACAAGGACTCAAATCGGGCGAGTAAGGAGGCTGAGGAGCCACAGGAATGTTTTAACCGGCGCTACGTTGCCAGTCTCGTCACTTGATTCACAAACCTCGTACTTCACGTCATAAACCGAACTTTGATTCTACTCCTCAATCTTTACAGTCACCACCCGGGTGTGAGAGACCCCAACAACGTGGAATGTCAAGAACTGGTCCTCGACGTAGCGAAAAGCGCCCTGGTGTACCTGAACCACAAGATACCCGGCGAGAGGTCACAGTTGTGGAGGATGACCTCGGAAGGCTATCTTCAGCACGAAGGTAGCAGTCCGCCGTTGCATCCCAATCAAAGCAGGAGTAGGAGCAACACCTTGGTGTTGGACATAGAGAGTACGGCGCCTCAACCCAACACTTATTCGAGGTTAATGTTGAGGAGGATAGATCCTAGGAGGAGGTCGACGCAGAAATGGAGGTTTACCGAGGAGGGGAGGTTGTGCTGTGATCATCACAATATGTGCGTTCAGGCCATGGATGGGTTTTATGGACTAAGAGCTGGTAGGTAGCACGAACTACACTTTTTCAAACTTGAGGTACTGTATTTTTTACGAGTATCCGTTACAGCTGATTATAAAAGCGACATCTTTGTAATAGGCTGTAATGTTGGCAATAATGAATTTTAGGACCGTGTTCACAAATCTGGATTATACTTTTAAGTTACTGGGAAATAAAATGTACGAAGTACAGATATAAAATTTGAAAATTATTATCTGGGTTTTTTTTGAGTACAAGGTAAGTTAATAGAGTAAGCTGCGTTGTTCTTTCCAGAAGCTGTAATTTTACCTGTCAAAATAATATATACACGTGTTTCTGGTTTATTGTCCATCATCAGTGTAACTTAATTCAAATACAGGTTAAGTATGTGCAGAAGCTATCACAATAATTAGTAATGAATATAGGTCACTCAAACAGGAAAATGATCAAAATATACGTCCTTGATTTTCCTATTCCCGTGATATGTAATGATGGTATAGCATCAATTTGCTGACATGGTACATCCAAATGAATAGTACTAGTTGTAGTAAGATTTATTTAGCACATTTGGCTACATAAACAGAATAATTGTAAACAACTTAGAATCAGTAAATTCAAGCCATATGATGTATGATGTAAATGCTGGGCAAGCTATAATTGTAGATTTGACAAGTGATTCCTCAATTTTACTTTAACTTTTGTCAAAGTTTTCTGGTCTTTTATCTCTGTCTATAACTTATTATATTGAATCAACCCTTGATGGAATACAGATTTGTAGCATATGTTATACTTTTTGGTCATTAAATCGAAGTCATATTTATTTCTGGTATTATGTAAATGGTGGTCGGCATTTGATGATGTTAAATTAGTTAGACTTGATGGAAATATATTATATTTACTTTAGAAATGAATATCATTACAAGATATTTGATAATTTGTTTTACATTGAGCCGTTTTAATTTGCTAAGCATTTGTCTAATTGGAGTATATTTATCTTTATTCAGTATTATTCTCATGCACTTGTTTTGTAAAATTTGCAGTCTTTAAAAAATGGAATTATTTGCTAAATATAGAATAGTCGAACAGTACAAGAAATTTGGAAAAATGATCGTATTATAGATAATTTTTGTGCTATATGAACTCAGACATCCAGAAACTCTCGATAAATATCCCACTTTACTACTAATCTTATTTATAACTTTTTCATAATGAATATCAAAAATTAATCAAGAGTCAACAAAAACCCCCAGGTATTTAAAATTTTCGATGAATTCAATATCTTGACCATCAATATTCAGTTGAACATTTGTACATTGTTTTTTCTGATCAACATAGCTTTCCTTTTACTTGTATTTAATTTGAGTCTCTTAGATGCTAACCATTTTGAGACAAGTTTCAAGTCTTCATTTATATAAGAGATATCAGTCTGAATATTTTTAGTACTTATACAAATCATAGTGTCATCGGCGAAAATCTGAATTTTGCATTTTTTTACTATGGCAGGTAAATCATTTATGTATAAAATAAAAAGAAGTGGTTCCAGGATACTGCCCTGTTGAACTCCTAACGTATTTTCAATTTCTGATGAAATAGTGTCATTAACTTTTGTAACTTGCATTCTTTCAGACAAATAATTTCTAAACCTTCAATTTACCTAACAATGTCTTACTCTCTTTATAAAAACCATAAAGTACATTTCTTATTTCCCTCCTAAACGCTTCCACGCGACGTTTGCGTTTCGCTTGGATTTTTGGAGTATTTTCAACGTCAGACTTACCATAAAATGACCCAGAAAGTCTTCTTCCGATGCGATGTAGCGTTTACCGTGGGCTGATGGACTTTCTTTGACTAAATTAGCAACAATTTTTACTTTAGTTTTCCCATCTACGTCGTCGTCAAACAGAGACTTATCTCTGTCTCAACATATACCTCATCTGTCAAACACCATAAATGTTGGCAGAACTTTTGTGAAGCTGCTTTTGGAATGGTTTTCAGTTTGGGCACAAGTGTAGTCAGCTTTTCCATGAAAACTTCTGCTTGTAAATTTAATTATAAAATTGGGGACGCTTACATAAATCGTTATAACTCAATTAAGGACTTAGGTGTAGTTTTGGACCATAAACTTAATTTTTCACTCCACATAGCTCAAAAAGTGAGCGAAGCTTCGGGGGCGTACGGTTTTTATTGTGAGAAACTGCTTTAGCCGCCCAGAGTCACTGTTGGTTTTGTATTCTGCATATATTAGATCGAAATTGGATGCATCGTTAATTTGGAACCCAATTTACAACTGCTACATTGATTGCCTTGAGTATGTTCAGAGAAAGTTTCTAAAATTTTTATCTTTTAAAGTTGACGGTATACAGGGTGTTTCAGTTTATTGTTGCTTAACTTTAAGATTCGATAGAACTTTTAAAATTAATGCATAAAGTCTATATAAACATGGGTCGAAAAATTGATTCTTCGCATTTTCCTGCATAAAAAAGCTCTCTTGTGAGTTTTCGTTATAGTTAGCCGTTTTTGAGATATTTCGATTTTTAAGGTTCGATGCATTTTTAATTATTTATGGGAAAATAATATTTTTTTTTACATTTTCGATTTGGGCATTACAAGTAATTAAGATGATCGTTTAGATTATGTTTTTAAACACAGCAATAATTCCTAACTCCAAATAAACACAAAAAAACAGAATATTAATTTGTTTAATTTTCCAATATTATTTTTAACAAACTAAATTAATTATTTACAACTAAAATGCTATTGGATAGTTAGGACAAACATACAAAATCTAAGGTAGTTGCTCGAAATGTAAACCCAATTGTTCAATACACAATTCACATCTACGAATGATCGAACGTGGTATAACATTATTCAAATAAGGCCTTATTTCATCACATGCATTCCTGATTCTGTCTATTAGCATATCTCTTGTGGTTACGGGAGTCTGGTACACTTTTTCTTTTAGAAATCTCCACACAAAGAAATATAATGTATTTAGGTCTGGGGATCGTGGAGGCCAGGCGACTGGTCCTCCACGGCCGATCCATCTTTCTGGATAATTTTCGTCCAGCCAGTTTCTAACTATTCTCTAATAATGAGCTGGACAACCATCAAGCTGGAACCAGGCCAATCTTCTTAAATCTAACATAAAATCATCCCACATATTTGCATGTTCAGCCTTTAAAAATTCCAAGAAGGTCGCAGCATTTAACCTTGCAGGCAAAAGGTAGGGTCCATATAGTCGATTACGGTAGATACCAATCCACACGTTCACACTAAATTCATGCTGAAAATTTCTTTCCCGAACTGCATGCGGATTTTCATGCGACCAAATATGTTTATTATGAAAATTTACCACTCCACGTCTAGTGAAGCATGGCTCATCGGTCCATAAAACGTTACTTAAAAACTCCCTATTATTATCAGTTCTATCAAGAATCCACTGACAAAATGTGATTCTTCGTTCTCCGTCCCCTGGCTGTAGTCCTTGCACAGGTTGCAAATGGTAAGGACGTCTATGGCCATTTCTAAGAACACGATGAACATGGCTTGCTGAAATTCCCAAGGCGCCAGAAACTCTCCTAACACTTGTCGGATCTCTATCAAACTCACGTAGAATCAGACGGTTAAATCTGCGCTGACGAACATTTATGTTTTGATCCCTTTGGAGATTTCCAAAACCATTTTCAATTATTTGGCGATGCACTCTTACAAATACTGAGCAAGTTGGATGTCGTCTGTTTGGAAATCTTCGTGTGTATTCTCTGGCTGCTTCTGCTGCGTTTCCATTTACAAAGCCATACACAAAATGAATATCCGCTAACTCTTGATTGGAGAATAAAAATGGCATTTTTGTAAAATAAAAATGGCATTTTTATAAAACTTACAAAAAAAAACTGGTAAAAGAAACTAAATTTCGTGCATTCACAATTGCAAAAAACGTTTCAGGTTTCAACAGACAACAAAACTAACTGTCAACTAATTGACGTTTAACCTTATTCTGCATCGAACCTTAAAAATCGAAATATCTCAAAAACGGCTAACTTTAACGTAAATTCACAAGATTTTTATGTTGAAAAGTGCGAAGAATCTGTTTTTTTATTCAAAAAGCAAAAAATTGCACTAAGAAAAAATGTTCGGTCATTCTAATACACTACAGGTACAGTAGAGAGCGCCCTCTAGCGGCTACAGTAAAACTATGCCCATGGTTCGTTTTGTCATACCAAAAAACCCTTGTGTACCAATTTTCACTGTTATACATCAAATATTGTTCGAAATATTCAAAAAAAAACTATTTTAGAAAGTAAATTCAAACACCCTGTATTTCGAAAGCCACGCATTTTTCGACCTATGTTTATATAGACTTTATGCATTAATTTTAAAAGTTCTATCGAATCTTAAAGTTATGCAACAATAAACTGAAACACCCTGTATATCCTGAACGTGGTATATCTGAAAGTTTGTTATTGTCTAGGTTTCAAGTGCAGTCTTTCGAACTGAGAAGGAAATGTGCATGAATTATGTTCTTGCATAAACTACTGCATAATCAAATTGATGCTAATGGGATTGAGGCATTTTATTGTGATAGGGCTCGCACAAATTTGTTTTTGAAGGCAGCCATATATCTGAGGTGTGAAACTTTCAATGCAATATCAAATTATTGTGATATACATGCTGACAGTTTCCATTCTGGGAGTAGCTAGAAATTGCTTGGATAATTTATGATATGTTACTCACCTGAGTGAAATATGTTTTTTTTGCTTCTTTTTCTTGTTTGTTTTTTCTTTAGATGAAATCACCTGCTTTTTATGTGTTTTCTGTTCTTGTTATTTTGATTTATCTCACGATTGTTCTGTAAATGGTTTCCTTAACTGTTGGGCAATAACCGCTATTTATTATTGTTCTTCGGACTCCTTAAGACGCGCCTTTTCATCTTTCATGGCTAATTTCTTGTCCACCCCAGCTAAACGACCAGGTCGACATGGCTCTCTATGCCGCTGCAAGAAGATTTTTTTCTTCATTTATTTTCATCAATTGAAGTGCATCGGCATGCACAATGTGAAACCGTTTGTCCAAGTTCGTAAAAAACTCTTCCTGGGTTTTGCTTGCATTTTTTGCAAATCTCTCCAAACTGGTATAAGGCAGCTAGTTTGTTAACACAGTTAGGTAGAGATTTACTTGGTATACGTGCACAGTAAATAATGCACTCACGAATAGTATATAATAGCTCTTATTGACACTTGATTTCACTTCCCGGATTTTATAGAACAGAACTGCTACTACTTGTCTATTAGAGCGAAGTTTTGAACCGGTAATTTGATGCTTTACGTACCCTGTTAAAAATATTCCCTTTTTACAACTGAACGAAAACAGTTCGTTTACTTATAGAACAAACGAGTACTGCAATACGTTAGCTAGTGCGCACCTAATATGCAAGTTTTGACATGTTCCAACGCAACTGTGCACGAGTTTCCCTGGTTCTATGTATACTAAGTGACATATAAATCCGAACACCCAGTTTAAATGGTTTTATTTTAATAAAATTTTGTATAAGTACTTAATGAAGCATAATAAGTAAATGATCAACATTTCAAAATGATTGCACTGCTTTAAAGCCCTTTGACCTTTAATAATGTGTGGATGCACCCTGATGTGCTACGCATTCTCCAACGCGCCTAGGCATGCTTCTGATCAGGTGGTCAATGTCCTCCTGTGGTATCTCATTCCAGGCAACCACCAACTCCTCTCGAAGTGCCTCTAGAGTCTGAGGAGGACGTTGCAAATTGAGCAATCTCCTACCCATCATATCCCACACGTGCTCAATTGGGGATAAGTCGGGAGATCTTGGTGGCCATGGTAACAATGTGACATCATTATGTTAAAGAAGTCTATTGTGACTCTTGCAACATGTGGTCGGGCATTATCTTGTTGGAAAGTTGGATCTGCCAGGGTGTCAAGATAGGGTAAAAGATGGGGGTTCTAGAACTTCGTGGATATAACGCTGCGCGTTCATGTTACCTCTGATGAAGATTAAAGGTGACCTGGAACCATAAGCTATAGCACCCCAAACCATAACTCCAACAGTGTGATGAACATGTCTTTCAACAAAAAACTGTGGATTCCTCCTTTCACCACGTCGCCTTCTAACCCTGGCACGACCATCGTGCATGAGTAAACAAAAGCGAGACTCGACACTAAAGACAATACTGTTCCATTCCTGATCCCAGAGTGACCGTTGTCTGCACCACTCAAGGCGATTACGTCGGTGTTCTCGAGTTAAAGGGAGGACCCACTGTGGCCGGTATGAAAACAAGCCAAAACTTCTCATTCGTCGGTAAACACTTCGCATGCCAATAGGTCTTCCGTGTTCTGCAAACCATTCATTTGCAATGGACCTGGTAGTGGAGAAACGGTCCCTCAAGGCCAATAATCTCAGGCGGCGATCTCCACGGTCTGTTGTTCTACGGCGGCGTCCAGTGCCCCTTGCTCTTTGCTTATGGCCTTCTCGAAGCCATGCCTGACAACACCTAACCACAGTGTCTACACTTCTTTGCACTCTAACTGCAATTGCCCGAAAAGAAAGTCCAGCTTCCCGAAGTCCCACTATATGGCCCCTAACAAACTCACTAAGTTGACGAAATCGTTCAGGTCTCCGTACTCTAGGCGTCGTAACCGATCGTAAAGGATGTCAAGAACCAAAATCCGCCAACGATGATTCTTTACTGCGGCTGAAATATTCATTTTTAGAGCGTTAGTGAATTAAAAAAAAAACAGTATAAAACCGGAATGTCCAACTGATAAGGCTGAACATTTTTTCACTTGTTATTTACAGTAAGATAAATACATTCACCAACTTTTATTAAAAAGAAAACCATTTAAACTGGGTGTTCGGGTTTATGTGTCACTTAGTATATATACAGCTTTATTTACAATTGTTTTGAGATTGTAAAATTAGAGGGTATGCGTTTGAAGAAAAGAACTTTCATTTTGGGACACCCTAATGTATGAATAATATTGTTGTACAGGTAATGCAGCAGTATTGGGTCTGCCACAACCAGTTTGTCATAAGGTGACTGAAAAGGGTCTTCCAATAGAACAACACATTGAACACCAAAGGTTAAGACCAGGTTCTGGTTTTTTGTCTGTCGATATCCACATGGATGGACCCACGCAAGTCATCAGTATCAAAGATATCAAGGTAATTTGTATTTGCATTAAACGATTAACATACATGGTTTTCAATATTTAACTGTCTATTCTTCTACCTTCTTTGTCCTTTTTGAAAGCTTTAAAACTTTCATATTTTGACTGTAGTATAATAAATTAGTCACTGATATAGTGTATAATTTTGTTAAGGAATCAAAAGTGTATGCCTCTCCAGACGACAGAGAATGGGGCACCATATCGCAAAGCCAGAGGCCGAACCTGAGCTCAACCGATGAGGTACCATCTCCAGAAAATAGTAAAGAGCTTCAGTTCGGAGTAAATTTGAAAGGTTTAGGCGTCAGTTTGGTGTGTAGAAAAGCTCCGGAAGAGCTACTGTATGCGCATTTTGCAAAGATCGTTGGCGAGACTGTCATTACGTCCAAGAGCAAGAAGTTGTCTATCAGCGTTAAGGATATACAGATTGACAATCAGGTTAGTGATACATTGAATAAAAAATATACTTATACGAGGTGTGGCAGATGATTGTTGACGCATTTTTTATTTACCAAAGTCTTTTTATTAGGTTGTTTGGAAAGTTCTTGAGGTTTTTCTTACCAACCAAAACAAAACACATGGTTTTACTTTTACTTTCTTGCCACGTGTTCTAAGATCTCATGCATCATGTCGTAAAGAAAACATGACAAAGAAAAAACGTTGTATGGATGCTATTTTGAATATTTTTTTTTTCAGTTATTAGACACATCAGTTCCCGTTGTGGTCCATATGACTCCGCCAAGTTCAAGAAATAACGACGAAGCGTACGACCACCTTCCGGCGCTGGACTTTAATGCCGAAATGCAGCAGCAGGTCAACGAAAACGCCGTTATTTTCAAACACCTGATGCTGAGACTTAAAAAGATCACAATTGTCATCGAAGAGATGCTGTTATTGAAGTTGTGCTCTTTCATGGGACTGCATTCTCAAGAGGAGGAACTCATTGATAAAGACGAGAGTGATTACGAAACTCAGAGGTTGTTGACCGAAGTGTCCGCTGCTCACGCGAAAAGGTAAGTACTTTTTGTTTATGAAGAATGCTTTACACGAAAAAGTTACTCGGTTTAAAAAATACGCTATAGCTCGATATATCGAATTAATTTTTTTTTCAGATATTACTTTGGTTTGCTGAAACTGATCCCTGATCAGATAAGGTTAAGCGTGAAAACTGCCAGTAAGCTGCCAAAACAGCTACAAAAAATCAAAAGGAAGCTGGGGTTGACATTGATCAAATTTGAAGATGCCGCTATCGAGCTGGAAGCTTTTCAAAGGGAACATCCTTTTGAAACTAGTCAAGTGTTGTTCAAGAGTATAATCAAACATTTTAAAGATGTAAGTATATTTGGTATACATGGTGACAGGTAAATAGGTGTAAAACATTTTAGGAGGTGATAGTACAGCTCCTTTGCTATCAAAATTAGTATATAATACCATACCCTATATTCAAAGGTTAAAAAGTTATGGAAGATTTAATTTTTTTTTAAAAACAACCCAGATTACAGAGTAAAATAGTTGAGATAAAAAAAGTTGGTGATTAAACATTCTTTTTTTTTGTGGTTTCAGGTTATTATTTAAATAAATAATTCTTATAAATTAAAAAACATATGAAAACACTACTGAAAACGTATTTATTTTCATTTAAATGTTATATGAAAATTTTTATTTTCAACTTTCACATTAAGAAGTCTTTTTTTTCAAAAAAATCATAATAAAGAAAATGTACAAATAACTGCAAAAACTTCCTCGTTTCATTAGGTTTCTAAAATGGTATAATAACATATCAGTAAGTAAACCATTTAACAAAACAATATTACTTTGCCAGAAAGGAGGGCTAAGCGCAGTTCATTGTACTGAGCAGGTAAACCGAGCGTTTCATGGTTCGACCCTTTTTGTTATTTTTTGTGCCCTGTGCCGTTATTGGGGTTTAAGTATTCGGAATCTGTCGTCGCTCCTCGGAAGCAAGCTCTGCGTGTGTCATGAATCGACACAGCTGACGGATCAAGGAAAGGGAACTAACGCTTAGGTTAGTTAGTAGAATATCAACCTTTAACGCGGTAGGACGTACTTTTACTTTTTTGATCAGTTTTAATAATGGCGAGTTACCGTAACGAAAAATACGCTGTTATTCTGTTTTGTTATGGTTTAAGTGATGGAAATTCCGTTGAAGCCAGGCGAGAATACGAAAACCGTTTTCCGAATCGGCGAATACCGAGTCATCGAGTATTTGCTTCTGTGTACCAACGCGTCAAGGTAAGTGGACAGGTTCATGAGAGACGTCATGATGCTGGTAGACCTCGGTTGTTTGACGACGAAGATCGAGAGGCAATACTGGAATGCTACGGCAGAGACCCGACGACGTCTACACGAATTATAGCAAAGCAGCTTGGTTTAACTCGGTGGAAAGTTTGGTTCGTTTTGCATTCGGCGAGACTTTACCCTTTCCATTACAAACCTGTTCAAGTATTAGAAGAAGGAGATCCCGCAAGAAGAATTGATTTTTGTCGATACATGCTTCATCGGGATCAAGAAAGAAAACGACTATTTAACTAAAATATTGTGGACCGACTAGTCTAAGTTTGACAAAGAGGGGACAACAAATTATCATAACTTACATTATTGGGCCCCACGAGAGGCAAATCCCCACATGGTAAAGCCAAGAGCCCATCAAAGAAGATTTTCAGCAAACGTGTGGATGGGAATCATTCATACGTATCTAATTGGACCAGTTTTTTTGTCTGACAACCTGAATGGCGAATCTTATGAAAACTTTTTGAGATCCGAACTCTGGGAGTATCTCGAAGACCTGCCTCTGAATATCAGGATGCAGATGATCTACCAACACGATGGCTGTCCCGCGCATTTCCGTCTGGGTGTTAGACAGTGGCTGGACGAGAAATATCCTTATCGCTGGATTGGCCGAGGTGGACCGACACCATGGCCAGCGAGGAGCCCAGATTTAACACCGTGTGACTATTATTTATTGGGGCACATGAAGTCACTGGTGTACGCTGAGCACGCTGACACTCTTGCACAGTTGAAAGAAAGAATTATTGCTACTGCTGACACTATCAGAGGACAACTAACTGGCCGCATCACGCGTACCAACATGAGAAAAAGACTACGGGCTTGCATAAGAAACGGCGGGCGTCAGTTCGAACAACAATTGCAATGAATTTCACCTTCATTTCATTATTGTATTTTACTTACTAATTGTAGTAACTTTTAGTCAGTTTTTATTATTCTGTAGTACAATTACAACTGTGTAAATAATCTAATCGTGTAACTTAACCGTAGTTTAAAATAATAACTATCCCATAGCTTACAGTTACATTATTTTCACAAAAACACTTTCTTATCAATCAGAGAGTTGTGAAAATAGGAGACAAGCCATTGGTAAACTTACTCCCTATTGTTGTATTACAATACATTATGATTAGTTTCACATAGTTTTTGTGCACTTATCATACCAATTTAGATTCCTTATGAAACAAGGATATTATTTAAATTGTTTGTACGTTATTTGGTTTTCTTAGTTAAACATTTTTGAATGAAAATAAATACGTTGTTTGGTATTGTTTTCGAATCTTTTTTAATTTATAATAGTTAATTATAATTATTGAAATAATAACCCAAAACCACAAAAAACAAATGTTTAATCGCCAACTTTTTTCTCTCTCGACTTTTCTACTCTGAAATATGGATTGTTTTTAAAAAAATCTTAAATCTTCAATAACTGTTCAACCTCTGAATATAGGGTATGGTATTATATACTAATTTCGATAGCAAAGGGGCTGTACTATCACCTCCTAAAATGTTTTACACCTATTTACCTGTCACCGTGTATGTGTTCTATAGGAAGGCGCCGGGAATATTTTTGAGTATGTCAATAAATGACTAAAAGTTCGATAATGCTACTAAGTATGATCCCATTGGCTTATAGGGTTCCAAAAACTACAGGGTGGCCGATATTTAACTGACAGGTTGGTATCTTGAATATTTGTGAAATGGAATAAAATACGTCCATTTTATTTTCATCTTAATCTATTATTGAAACTTAGAAAGCATGTATAAAAAATAATAAATTTTTTCCATCACTTTTTGGTAGGTTTCGGGAGGAATATTTTCAATCGCTAATATTGCTCTTCAGCTGCTCTACAGTATTTGGTTTGTTGGCAAAAACCCTATTTTTCAAAAATCCCCATAAAAAAATGTCAGGAGCTGTTAAATCCGGTGACCTTGGTGGACAGTTGACATCACCAAATCGAGAAATCATCTTGGAGCGCTTCACGATCCCACAACGCGTCCGTATTGTTAAAACGTTTTACTTAAATAACCATAATAATGGGTTGTCCAATAGGGACGCAGGAAAGTAAACGTCAAACAAGAGCACTACAAAAATGGTGCAAAAATAAAAAACACGTTTCGCGCGCTTCGTGAACATTTCGGTCGCAACAACCGCCCAAACGAAACAACCATCGGTCGTCTGGTGCGTAAATTCGAGGCAACAGGTTCTGTGGCAAATCTGCCCGGCTCTGGCCGGCCAAGGAGCGTTCGCACACCGGAAAATATTGCTGTTGTGAAGGAGAGTGTGAGAGACGATCCGAAAAAATCGACAACGCGTCGATCCCAAGAATTGGGCATTTCGAGAACCAGTTTGCTCCGCATTCTCCACAAGGATTTGAATGTACACGCCTACAAGATCCAATTGACGCAACTGCTGCGTCGGGCCGACCATTTTTCGCGCCGAACGTTCTCAGATTGGCTCCTTGAACACCGCCAAATTGATGCCAATTTTTCATCAAAAATCATGTTCAGCGACGAAGCGCATTTCACTTTGAATGGGACGGTAAACAAGCAAAACTGCCGCATCTGGGCGAACGAAAATCCCCGTGAGTATCAAGAGCAGCCGATGCATCCTCAAAAAGTGACTGTGTGGTGTGCATTGTGGTCAAAAGGCATCATCGGACCTTCCTTTTTCGAAAATGAAGCCGGGAACGCCGTTACCGTCAATTCTAAGCGATATCACGTGATGATAGTGGACTATTTTTTGCCGCAACTTGAAGGAATGGATATGGACGATGTTTATTTCCAACAAGACGGTGCAACATGTCACACAACCAACGTCAATATCCATCGAATGCAGTCCTTCTTCGGTGATCGCGTGATTTCGCGCAGAGGAAATGTGCCATAGCCATTGGACTTCTTTTTATGGTTATATTTGAAAAGCAAAGTCTACGTCAACAAACCAGCCACCCTCCGAGAACTCAAAAACAACATCATTGCCGAGATAAATGCCATAGAACCGACCATGTTGCAAAATGTCATTGAAAATTTCGACCATCGCGTGGACGTCTGTAAATTCCGTCGTGGTGAACATTTGAGCTATATTATTTTTCATACATAAATAGTATAAATGAACCTTCAAAATAAAGTACCCAACTTGATTTGAATATCAATCTTTCTTGTTTTAATATGCGTTTACTTTCCTGCATCCGTTTTGGACAACCCCATATAATAAACCAGACTGTTACATATCGGCCACCCTGTACAAAGAGGAGTTAACGTGTACCAAACAATCATTTATGAACCGATGACAGTGTTTCGTGAGGAGTAAAGAGCCAACTTACTTGCCGCTATTTTTTTCGTATGTCTCCAGGAGCTGATGTGGCAAGCGGGCATCATCCTAGGCTCGGTGGACTTCATAGGCAACCCGTTAGGCCTGATGAATGACGTATCCGAAGGCCTGTCGGGGTTCTTGTACGAAGGCAACGTGGGGGCGCTCGTGAAAAACGTCACGCACGGCATGTCGAACTCGGCGGCCAAGATAACGGAGTCTCTTTCCGATGGGTTAGGAAAAGTGGCTATGGATGATTACCACGAAGAGATGAGGCAGAAGATTAGACAGGTGCAAAGCGGCAAGAGTTCGGATCATATTTTGGCTGGGTTCAAGGGGCTAGGTAAGCGCAGGATGCATCCGAAAATAATGTGGAATCACTAAGGTGTTGTTGCTGCATCATTCGTTAATTTGTATTACGATAGACCGTCATCGGATTAGGTAATACGGCAGCTACCGTGATCCTTGTATTTTTGTTGTTGTTGTTGAAGATTTATTTAGCATTAATGCTACAATGTCAATTTTGTATAATGATTCAATCCATTTTCTGTAATTTTACGTACTTGTCTATAAAAATTAAAATTACGTCACTATGTATTTTGATTATTCATAAAGTGATTTTTTAATTTCACCTTAATCATTTTTAAATTCGAACTCTGTTTAATATCATTATTTAATTTAATAAATTCAAATACTCCCTTTTGAAATATAGATTTACAAGTTACGCTACTATTACAATTTTGCAGATGAAAATCTATACTGCCTCTAGTTTCGTAGTTATGATAATGACTATTTAATTTTGTGAAGTTCTCTAAATGTGGTGGTAATAGATGATTTTTTAATTTGAATATGAAAACGAGAACTAAATAATATATGAAAGTTTTCACATCCAACCACTGCAGTACTTCTAACATAGACTTAATCCTAGCATACTTGTTTCTATTTAAAATGATTCTCATAGCTTTATTTTGTGGAATATGTAATTTTGAAAATATGTTTTCATTTGCTGTAAACAAAATGGTTGGACAATATAAAAAATCGGGAAGAATTATAGTGTTATACACAATTTTTTTGGAATACATACTAAGATTATGGGAAACTCTATAGAAGTAATTTATCTCTTCTATTGTCACCTAAATGTTTCCCTATTATACATACATACATTTTGTTTTATTAATGTTTAATTTAAGTTTATTGACATTTAACCAATTCATAATTTTTTAGTATCACTATTTAACAGTTCTAAAGCAGTGTCCAAATGATATATATATATATATATATATATATATATATATATAAGTGTATCGTCCACAAATATTTGAATTTTGCAGTGTTCTAAAATGTCAGAGATATCATTTATATAAATAATAAATAGTAACGGCCCTAATTTACTCCCCTGTGGCACCCCTACTGATATATTTTGAACACTTGACATAATATTTCCAACTTTAGTTTTTTGATTTCTATTTACTAAATAATTTTGTAGAATGTGTAATACTGATCCTTTAAAGCCATAGTGACGCAATTTCATTAACAATGTTTCCTTATCTATAGTCTCAAATGCCCTTTTGAAGTCTAAAAATAATTGCAAGTCCACCCTTACGTTGATCACACCTGGCATTTATTTGAATCGGAGGACTTATTGTTCCTCAGCCGTTTCATGATTCTATTCGCAATGTAGAACACTGACAATGGAAGTTTTAGGATTAAGTTCACAAATTTGGAATATTCGAGATTGAGTGTATACTTTATCTGAAGTCACTTGAAACACTGTGAAATACCGGGTGCGTTTTATATATCTATATTTAACACGCTCTGTTGCTGCAAAAATCGTCAAATTTCGCAGCAAATATCCCCCGTATAAGATCAAAGGCAGTTTCACCGGTCCACGTGGAGTAAAGCACGCCTTTGCGTGGACATAGCCAATGAGAAAGCGTGTATTTCAGAGCTCCGAACAAGTGCAGGTGGCTACTGAAAATTGAAACAGTTTAGCCCAGTGCCGTGTAGCGGTGAATAAACGTGTTTTCTTTAGTCTGTCCGTGTTTTTTCATAGATTTTATTAGTTTGAGTGTTTTTGACTTTTGAATACTCAGTTTACTTGTTGATTTAATTGTTGTGTTGATTGTTCTTGTGTGTTCTAAATATGGCTCTTTGGAGACCTTGGGAAAATGCTCCAAGCCACGAGGAGATGGTTGATGAACCTGTGCAGGCAGAATTCTTTCATAAAGGTTTAGAGGAACAGACCCAAAGAGTAATCCTAAATATGTATGATTGCCTGAAAAACGAAAATCCAGATTCCTCGCAAAATCAAATTTTAAACAGAATTTGTATCCTGACAAAAATCAGTCGGTCTACCATATATCAGGTTATAAAAAGGGGAGATGTAGTCAACCATTCCTTCCACAGAAAGCGCATAGGGCAAAAATTAAAAAGAATAGACGTGGGTTTTCAGGAAGATATTCGTCGTATAATATACGGATTTTATAAAGAAAATTTGGTGCCCACGTTGGAAATGATACGGGATAAATTAAAAGATTATCCTGAAGATTTTTATAATTACAAATGCTTAGACTCACTGCACTGTATTGTAAAACTGTGTGGTTTTCAATACAAAAAATTAGATAAAAGAATGGTGATTATGGAGTCGTCTCGAATCGTTGAATTGCGCCAAGAATTTTTGCACAAAGTTAAAATCTATAGAGAGCAGAAAAGAAATCTGATTTACCTGGATGAAACGTGGTATGATACCCATGATGTTGTGCAGTACGGCTGGGTTGGCGACAGCAACAAGTGCATTTTAAATGCACCATGCAACCGTGGAAAACGAATCATTATTCTCCATGCTGGCAGTGAAAATGGATTAATACCTAATGCCTTGCAGTTATCTGCCAAAAATATCAAAGAATCATGTGCCGACTATGATGAGGACATGACCTCCGACTTATTTGAAAAGTGGATAGAGCAGCAGTTAATACCAAACATTTCCACAAATTCAGTGATTATTATGGACAATGCGCCATACCATTCCCGACAGAAAAACAAAATTCCGAATACAGGCACAAAAAAACAAGACATTATTGATTTTATGAAGGATAAGGGAATGGAAATACCACAAAAATCAACCAAAGCCATATTATTGGATCTTATTAAAAGACAAAAATTTGAAAAAGAGTATGTTGTTGACAATCTGCTTCAGCAAAATGGCCATGAAGTATTACGTCTACCTCCCTATTACTGCATTTTTAACCCGATTGAGTTGGTCTGGGCTGCTTTAAAAAAAAAGTAAGAAAATATAATCAGACCCCTCAATTAAGTGAATCGCTATTGGCCACAATAAGAGATGCAGTATCTCATATTGCTGCCACAGACCTATGGAAGCAGTGTTCTAGGCATAATATTGAAAAAGAAAATGAATATTGTGTTTTGCCTCCTGTAAATCCCGTTGTAATTCCTCTACAAGATGACTCTAGCGACAGCTCCGAAGGCGAGGATGATATATAAATACCTATAATGTAAGTCTTTATATACCTTTTTATATACCTACCTGCTATGTAAATATTTGCCTATGTCAAACGTTGGAATTCTGTAATTTTTCCATTTCTTAACTTTCAGTCAACATAAATTAAACTCCCAATATAAGTATTTTTTATCCCAAATCAAAAAAATAAGAAAATAGTAAAATCCATTTATTGTGATATAAAAACATTATTATTATCGTTCTAAATAAATGACCCCACGCCTATGATACGTCATGAAATTACAAAGGACGCGCCGACCAAAGGTTTTTATGCTATTTCAAGTGACTTCAGATAAAGTATACCTGCAATACCTGAAATATTTTTTAACTAGGGCAGTTTATCTGTCCACTGATTTTTCCTATCGGCTTATGTAAATATGCTGTAATATTTTCTACTCCAGAGACAATTATGCTTAAGCCAACTGTTATATCTACGCTCACTATGTTATCCTGTTAACCTGATTGAAAAATAAAAAAGACAGTTTCAGAAAAAATATCACAGTTTGAGAACTAGCGATTTAGTCCAAATTCTTCAAAATCTAACTTGATCACTTACATTCACTTGATTCTGATGAATTGTAACCGGTTATTTCTTCTAGGATTCGGTATACTTGGAGGCGCTACGGGAATATTCAAGCAAGTATACGAGGGAGCATCTAACGACGGAATACAGGGAGTCTTTTCCGGTTTAGGCAAAGGTATAGTTGGGGCTGTGACAAAACCCGTTGTGGGTGTGCTGGACTTTGCATCGGAGACCGCTAGGGCCGTCAGGGATTCGAGTAGAAGGTAAATATTGATTCATGTTCAGATTTGCCTGTTGGGACTTTGGATACTAATGCAACACGTGGAATTTATCCTGTGATTTTCATGTCAATAAATATACGTTTTTCTGGTCGATAAATGGATAGGCAAAGTTATAGTAGTTATCAGAAAAATATAAAAAAAAATCTAAGTCAGGACACCTTGTATGTGATTGTACTAGTTTTGCGGCCACTTCGGGGGCTTTTTTGGAGATACAAACCCAAAAATGCCAATGACAGTATATTTACTGATGAAAGATTATTTTTTCTTCCTGAAACGAATCTCGTTCGAATCAGGTATTTGCATACTGAGTGAGAAAAAAGAAGTAAATACCTACGTTGTTTTTAAAACAGTCGTTTGAAAGTCGTAGCATCTTTGGGGTGCATATCTGAGATATAATTGTATGAATATTTTGACTCGTTTTGTCCGAATCTGAGTAATGTTTTTATAACATATTCCAAACTACCAAAGTTACTCTTTTTTTTAGTAAATTAACTCCAGAACGTATTAGACTACCTAGATGCACCCATGGCCCAGGGGGTCTTCTCCCTAGGTATAACCTGAAACAAAGTCAAGGACAACAGTACCTGTACATTGTTAATGACAAGTAAGTGACATTCTTCCAAATCAATAGTTTTCTGGGTACTGAGATATAATAGATGAGTTTAATTTCAATGTAAAGATATTCATTCACCAGTGATGGTATTTTTTTCTAGGAACTACGATGAACAACTAGTTGCTTACCAAGTACTGGGAAGCGCATCTGAAAATTTGATATGTATTGTCTCAAACAAAATGATTCGTATTGTTACCAGCATTAGGAGTCCTGACTTGACGCCTGTCATCGAGTGCCCTTTAAGGTAAGTCTACATGGGGCGATTCAGAAAACTAGCAGACTAGAAATAGATCAAAAACTATTTAAAGAAACTGATATAAAAATCTATAATACGCGACCCCCAAATGTCGTTTTATACAGGGTGACAGGTAAATAGGTGTAAAACATTTTAGGAGGTGATAGTACAGCTCCTTTGCTATCAAAATTAGTATATAATACCATACCCTATATTCAAAGGTTAAAAAGTTATGGAAGATTTAATTTTTTTTTAAAAACAACCCAGATTACAGAGTAAAATAGTTGAGATTAAAAAAAGTTGGTGATTAAACATTCTTTTTTTGGTGTTTTCAGGTTATTATTTAAATAAATAATTCTTATGAATTGAAAAACATATGAAAACACTACTGAAAACGTATTTATTTTCATTTAAATGTTATATGAAAATTTTTATTTTCAACTTTCACATTAAGAAGTCTTTTTTTTCAAAAAAATCATAATAAAGAAAATGTACAAATAACTGCAAAAACTTCCTCGTTTCATTAGGTTTCTAAAATGGTATAATAACATATCAGTAAGTAACCCATTTAACAAAACAATATTACTTTGCCAGAAAGGACGGCTAAGCGCATTTCATTGTACTGAGCAGGTAAACCGAGCCTTTCATGGTTCGACCCTTTTTGTTATTTTTTGTGCCCTGTGCCGTTATTCGGGTTTAAGTATTCGGAATCTGTCGTCGCTCCTCGGAAGCAAGCTCTGCGTGTGTCATGAATCGACACAGCTGCCGGATCAAGGAAAGGGAACTAACGCTTAGGTTAGTTAGTAGAATATCAACCTTTAACGCGGTAGGACGTACTTTTACTTTTTTGATCAGTTTTAATAATGGCGAGTTACCGTAACGAAGAATACGCTGATATTCTGTTTTGTTATGGTTTAAGTGATGGAAATTCCGTTGAAGCCAGGCGAGATTACGAAAACCGTTTTCCGAATCGGCGAATACCGGGTCATCGAGTATTTGCTTCTGTGTACCAACGCGTCAAGGAAAGTGGACAGGTTCATGAGAGACGTCATGATGCTGGTAGACCTCGGTTGTTTGACGACGAAGATCGAGAGGCAATACTGGAATGCTACGGCAGAGACCCGACGACGCAAAGCAGCTTGGTTTAACTCAGTGGTTCGTTTTGCATTCGGCGAGACTTTACCCTTTCCATTACACATCGGTTCAACTATTAGAAGAAGGAGATCCCGCAAGAAGAATTGATTTGTGTCGATACATGCTTCATCGGGATCAAGAAGAAAACGACTATTTAACTAAAATATTGTGGACCGACGACGAGTCTAAGTTTGACAGAGAGGGGACAACAAATTATCACACCTTACATTATTGGGCCCCACGAGAGGCAAATCCCCACATGGCAAAGCCAAGAGTCCATCAAAGAAGATTTTCGGCAAACGTGTGGATGGGAATCATCATACGTATCTAATTGGACCAGTTTTTTTGCCTGACAACCTGAATGGCGAATCCTATGAAAACTTTTTGAGATCCGAACTCTGGGAGTATCTCGAAGACCTGCCTCTGAATATCATGATGCAGATGATCTAGCAACACGATGGCTGTCCCGCGCATTTCCGTCTGGGTGTTAGTCAGTGGCTGGACGAGAAATATCCTTGTCGCTGGATTGGCCGAGGTGGACCGACACCGTGGCCAGCGAGGAGGCCAGATTTAACACCGTGTGACTATTATTTATGCTGGCACATGAAGTCACTGGTGTACGCTGAGCCCATAGACGCTCTTGCACAGTTGAAAGAAAGAATTATTGCTACTGCTGACACTATCAGAGGACAACTAACTGGCCGCATCACGCGTACCAACATGAGAAAAAGACTACGGGCTTGCATAAGAAACGGCGGACGTCAGTTCGAACAACAATTGCAATGAATTTTACCTTCATTTCATTATTGTATTTTACTTACCAATTGTACTAACTTTTAGACAATTTTTATTATTCTGTAGTACAATTACAACTGTGTAAATAATCTAATCGTGTAACTTAACCGTAGTTTAAAATAATAACTATCCCATAGCTTACAGTTACATTATTTTCACAAAAGCACTTTCTTATCAATCAGAGAGTTGTGAAAATAGGATACAAGCCATTTGTAAGTTTACTCCCTATTGTTGTATTACAATACATTATGTTTAGTTTCACACAGTTTTTGTGCACTTATCATACCAATTTAGATTCCTTATGAAACAAGGATATTATTTAAATTGTTTGTACGTTTTTTTGTATACTGATTTTTTTGTAAAACACGTTACTGTAAAACGTTATTTGTTTTTCTTAGTTAAACATTTTTGAATGAAAATAAATACGTTGTTTGGTATTGTTTTCGAATCTTTTTTAATTTATAATAGTTAATTATTGAAATAATAACCCAAAACCACAAAAAACAAATGTTTAATCGCCAACTTTTTTCTCTATCGACTTTTTTACTCTGAAATATGGATTGTTTTTAAAAAAATCTTAAATTTTCAATAACTGTTCAACCTTTGAATATAGGGTATGGTATTATATACTAATTTCGATAGCAAAGGGGCTGTACTATCACCTCCTAAAATGTTTTACACCTATTTACCTGTCACCCTGTATATTGAATAATAAAAAAGTTATAGGGGTGAACCACCTTGGAGAATCACCGGTATAGTTTGATATGCAGAGGTCGAAGATTCGTCGTACCTAACCACGATTCGATGTCGCCTTTTGTAACGACTTGTCTGATTCCTTTTCTGTGGAACCTCCAAAAGAGTAGGAAGAGTCAATCTCCTTGACGCCGTTTTTTCTTTACAGTGATTTGGAAACGTGCAACGTGATAACGGAGAAAGAGCACGGCGAGAGCCGTTTCTACATCGAGATCGTGATGCATTACGCGGGTGTGAGCGCCGCTTTAGTCAATCCCGATCCTGTGAAAAAACCGAGAGTGAGATGTCGAACTTTGGAATTGGCGAGCACCGTATCACAACAAATAAATTACGCTAAGCGAATATACATCGAACATCTGTACACTTTCACAACAGACAATATCACGACGTTAGAAGACTGAGCATTTTTTGTTGATACTGAATTTGGTTTCGTTCTACCTTTTCCTGAGGACGTACAATGTGAGCACATGTTTTTCAACAATGTGGGGCCAAAACCGACCCCTCGCTGATGTGAGAAGAGGGAAACTATTCTAGAAGATATATACGTGACATGTTGAGACGTGGGCTGACATTGCATCCAAATGTAGATATTTAGTTTTGGAAAGATTGTATTTTTTCAGACGCGTACGAAGCTTATAGTTTTATTTTTGGCTTCGAGTGAGATAGTGTGATAATGAGGAAAGAAAAGAGGTTGCTTTAACTTTATTTTTGAACCCAGTGATTATATGTCGCTTCGACAAGATATGATAAGGTTACTTGTTTGTCATTATTCAGTTTTCGATTCATATAATTTGAAGAATATGTTTTTGGTTCGTCGAACGATTTAAAGGAGTTGTTCCGTGCCGCAACAGCGACAGGACACGCGACCGAGACGAACATTTCCTAACTAGTTACTTTCAAGAAATTACAAATTGTCAGTTGACAGCGTCATTGTATGGGAATCAAATCCTTACTCCAAGAAAAACAGTTTTAAGTCCGCTTTTAATAACCAGTCTGCGAAACAATACGAGTCGAGTCTCGGGCTATTTGGACATCAAAGGGGATACGGCTTAACGTTGCATAGCTTCAAGGAGGTTCTACTGGTTCCAGAGCAAGAAATTCTCGAGATTTCAGCCACATATCAGGCTAGAAGTAGGTGTCCGTGTCAAGCTGTCGGTCAAACCTTCTTTCTGGGCTGATATTCAATCCCTGTGGTTGCATCCTTGAGAATGTCTTGCTTTGTATCCGAACTAGTCAACCAAGACTACCCTCCTCGGTCCTGGTTCCTTTTTCTAGGCCTAGTACTTATCAAACTGCCCTCGTTAAGTGTGATTTGCAATCCTGTACTGCCATCAGAGATTGGATTTTTCTAGATGCAGGATACAACGTTTCAACAGGTTACGTTACGTTTAATGACCTTATATTTAACCTAACCAACATAGACCGAACTTAATGAATGTCTACTAATCTTCATTAACGCGTACTAAATTTCGTTAACGCGTACCAAATTTCTTTAACGCGTTCTAAGTTTCGTTAACGCGTACTAAATTTCGTTAACGCGAACTAAATTTCGTTATCGCGTACTAAATTCCGTTAACGCGTACTGAATTTCGTTAACTCGTACAAAATTTCGTTAACGCGTACTAAATTTCGTGAACGCTTACAAAATTTCGTCAACGTACTAAATTTCGTTAGCGGCTACTAAATTTCGTTAATGCGTATTAAATTTCGTTAACGCGTACTAAATTCCATTAAGGCGTACTAAATTTCGTTAACGCGTACTAAATTTTGTCAGCGGGTACTAAATTCCGTTAACGGTTAGTAAATTTCGTTAGCACGTACCAAATTTCGTTAGCTCGTAATAAATTTCGTTAACGCGTTCTAAATTCCGTTAACTCGTACAAAATTTTGTTAACGCGTTCTAAATTTCGTTAACGCGTTCTAAATTTCGTTAACGCGTACTAAATTTCATTAACGCTTACAAAATTTCGTCAACACGTACTAAATTTCGTCAGCGGCTAGTAAATTTCGTTAACGCGTATTAAATTTCGTTAACGCGTACTAAATTTCGTTAGCGGGTACTAAATTCCGTTAACGGTTAGTAAATTTCGTTAGCACGTACCAAATATCGTTAGCTCGTAATAAATTCCGTTAACGCGTACTGAATTTCGTTAACTCGTACAAAATTTCGTTAACGCGTACTAAATTTCGGTAACGCTTACAAAATTTCGTCAACACGTACTAAATTTCGTTAGCGGCTACTAAATTTCGTTAATGCGTATTAAATTTCGTTAACGAGTACTAAATTTCATTAACGCGTACTAAATTTCGTTAACGCGTACTAAATTTCGTTAGCGGGTACTAAATTCCGTTAACGGTTAGTAAATTTCGTTAGCACGTGCCAAATATCGTTAGCTCGTAATAAATTCCGTTAACGCGTACTGAATTTCGTTAACTCGTACAAAATTTCGTTAACGCGTACTAAATTTCGTTAACGCTTACAAAATTTCGTCAACACGTACTAAATTTCGTTAGCGGCTACTAAATTTCGTTAATGCGTATTAAATTTCGTTAACGCGTACTAAATTTCGTTAACGCGTACTAAATTTCGTTAGCGGGTACTAAATCCCGTTAACGGTTAGTAAATTTCGTTAGCACATACCAGATTTCGTTAGCTCGTAATAAATTTCGTTAACGCGTTCTAAATTTCGTTAATGGCTCCCAAATTTCGCCTACGCGTACTAAATTTCGTTAAGGCGTACTAAATTTCGTTAACGCGTACTAAATTTCGTTCATGCGTATCAAATTTCGTTAACGTCTACTAAATTTCGTTAACGTTTACACAGGTTGAGTGTTAGTAGCCATCTGTCCCACCACTGGGAACCATGCCCAAGTCACGATGAAGTAGAGCAGAGTTTCCGATGGTGTTGTAGATTTTAGTATAATCCGCGTGAAACGAGATAAACGTAGGTAAATCGCTGGTATACAGGATGAAAAGAACGGGGCCCTATAACGATCTTGAGCAGCTTGAATCTTCACGTGATAGAAAAAAGATTGAAAACGGTCTCCTGTCGCTATTTTTTGTGTGCGAATTGTAAAGCACAGTCGATGTCGCGGCACGGAACGGTATAGTTCACTACATACTTATAGTGCCTGTTTACAGTTTTTTTGTTTCTTTATGGTACCTACACGCGTATAACATGATCATTTTATGACGCAGATCTGAATCACGATGAAAGCAGGTTCATCTCTAGAGATTATACATTTGAATAACGTGCAATAATGTACAAAGTCTGTCGCAAAGTAAACAGGACAATGAAAAAAAATGAACAAATATTTTTGGTTTCGGAAAATCGAATTTATTTTATTCAAAATAGTCTCCTTCAGACTTAATACAGCGATTTGCACGGACGAAAAGATTTTCTCATTGACCGGGATGTGCTTCAAAATGGTCGTCTACGCCTTAATGGCCTCTACGTCGACATACCGCTGACCCTTCATGGCCAAATGTAGTTTACCGAACAGAAAATAGTCACGCGGTGCCATATCAGGAGAATATGGGGAGTCGTTGATGGTTAAAATGACATTTTTTTGTAAAAAATCGGACACAAGCTTCGATAGATGAGACGGTGCATTATCGTGCAACAAGTGCCAGCTTCCGTTCTTCGAGGTATTCTAGCCGATCACGCGACAGTAAATGCCTTGTAACACCAAGATAAAACACAGCATTAACCGTTTGGCCCGGTGGAACGAATTCTTTGTGAATAAAATTCCGCTCGAATCATAGAAACAAATCAACATTGTCTTCATGGCTTTTTTTCGGATTTGGTTCGCTTGGGTACTTCCATTGGCTCTTTGTTCGATACTCATTTTTCGACAGTTGCTAAAAAGGTAATGTCCGTTTGAGCGCGATAACTCCGCGTGAAGTGGTTCGATAATCATGATATTTTGACACATCAATGAAAGATGTACCTATCCAACGCTGGTCTCCGATAATAGATCACGCTACTTGTATCCGATATCTTTTCAAAAGTTCTGTTTACTTGCGACAGACCTCGTAAAAGCACTAATAGTTTCTTATTGATTTGAGTGTAACGAATCTAAAATAAATCGCTTTGTTTAGATACGGCCATAGCAACAAATTCACATAATTTGACTATGCTATAAATGATGCGACTCCAACCTCTAGACCCGAGTCCCGCATCTCCACAAGCCAGCAGGTGCCGTATTGCCGTATTCTCGGTTTTATGGGTTCTTACGACCGCCAATAAAATGTGAACAGACTATGAGTTTGTCGTGGACTATACCTTAACAGTAGAACATCTCATGAACAGGTAACTAAAAGATGACGTTAAAATTCGGATACAGCTCCAGGTTCCGTCTGGACATGAACACATTTGGCAGTTTTGGCACAACTCTTCATACTTACCATGGTTGCTGCTTATTTCGTCTATATTGGAAAAAACGTTTCGTTTAAGTGCCTTACTTTTGTTGCATTTTTTGTTTGTTATCCAGGTGTAAATACTTAGACTGTTTTTAGCATTTTTATTAACAAGATTTAAGTTGTTTTTCTTTTATAGTAGGATTGTTTTATGAGCAAGTTGTTCGAATTGTAAATATATCTTTTTACCAAAGATTTGTTACGTCAGGAGGAATAAGTTATAATATGGATGTATTAATTTATTGTCATTATCGCATAAATAAAGTTGGAAAATTTCTTGGCCTTTCACTATACCTTTTGTTTTATTCAATATTTTTCGTCCTCGTTTGAAATATTATCAAACCTAAGTTCAACGGCATTCTCGCATTTTTAAGGAAAGTTTATATTTCACGATGTCAGCGATCTTCTTGAGCGACAACCCTCTCATGTAGTCATTTACAGGGTGTTCCTTAATGATATGCGAATATTTAAGGGTGTGAATCTACATGAAAAATTAATGTTAGTTTGCTTTATAAACTACGGTCCAAAAATGTTTCCCTACAAAAACTCGGGGTGTTGAAGTTTTAGGAAAAAATGGAAATTAATTAATATTTTCAGATATTTCACTGATATAGAGATCGTAGTTAAAGTTAATAAAGTTGCATATTTTTCAATGCAAAAATAATTTTTAGCTTTAACAGTGGAGTGCGTACGGGTATTGACTTCGATATTTTTCAAGAAAAAAATGGTACGCCAATGGTTTTTTGACAAATAAAAATTATTTTTGAATTGCCCGTTCAATTTAAAACAAATGATCTCTCTTGAATTGTTTTCCTTCGATGCGCCATTTTTGAGTAAAAAAATAAAAACCGTTCTATTGTCTAACTTGCAAAATTATTATTAATTTAATTGGAAAAATTAAACACATACCATTTTTTTCCTAAAACTTCAACACCTCGAGTTTTTGTAAGGAAACATTTTTGGACCATAATTTATAAAGCAACCTAACATTAATTTCTCATGTAGATTCACACTCTTAAATATTCACATATCATTAAGGAACACCCTGTACACCTCAAAGCCTCGTACTTCTAATTCAGGGGGCCTCAGGGATCAAATCTAGGTCCCCTATTATTCATAATATATACAAAGGGTACTATAAAAGTTTTGCAATATGACTTAACAAACTGACGCAGGAGGCTGCAAGTTGAGACATGTCCATGAGTGCATAGCAGAGCAGGACGTCTTTGATTTGGTTATTCATGCGTATTGACAGTGTAAAGTACGGACTATGGCATGTGATCACGTAGTGGGATAAGGGTGATTTCAAGATATAACTTTACGCGTGGTTTAAGCATAGACCAGTACTTTAAAAGGGTAAAACAAGATACATATAAACAAATACAGTCATTTATTACGTTTGGATAATAAAAATAAACACACACAGATATGTCCCAAAGGGACTAAGTTGAAACAGTGCGGGAATTTATATTTCTATAAGATATTTAAAATGTACATTTCACAATTACCCTTATTTTAATGATTAATTTTAGTACATTAGATTAAAATTAGTGTCAAGGGTCAAAAAAGTATTCTAAAAAATGTAACATTACATCTCAAATTGCTGCTAAAAACCAAGAGCCATCATGAGTTGTATTTAAGGCAAACATGGAAAAGGTGTTTCATTTGCTCCAAAAACTACAATACAGGTTAGAATACAGTTAATCTTACGACATATTTGAAGGATTTCATGGCACTAATTATAAAGGGTCAATCAAATCATTTAAACATACATTTTTTATTTCATTAAACTATTATTTTAAGAATACTACCATAAACATTAAAAACCTTTGATTTACGCGTGAACAGTGAGTGCCATCTTACCAATATTTGATTGTACGCAAATTCGGAAATGATGAGGAATGTAAAAATGAGCATTACATCTATTGAGATCATTAAAAACGTGTTGAACCATAAACAGGGTGAGTTTTTAACACTATTTTTTCATTTCCTTGATATCTAATTTACAAAGGGGTTAGCTGTAAATCAAAACCCCCATAACCCGTGTATCAAAAAAGTATGTCAGAATGAGAATCAAAGCTAGTGGAAATATTTTTGTGAAATCGTTCATTTTGCATTCATATTATAACTGAAACTCTAGCTATAACAATTGAGGAGGTGCGAGTTGGATTTTTTTGCTGTATCTCAACAATTTCATTTGAAATGGCCTATCCAAATTTTCAATAAAATGTATGGCTTTCCACTTAGAAAATATATGTTTGGGTCGCACTGTAGAGATACAAATATTTTCCAAAGTAAAGAGCATACTATTGGCTATAATTTTTGTAGTTAACTTTTTGTGCTGGTAATAAAAAACTCACCCTGTATGTTTTAATTTTTCAAGGTGATGCAAAATGTGGGGTCAATTAAACATTTAATAATCTCACAGATGAGTGATGATACGTCCGATTCGAGTGTTTTTTTTATGTAGTACATTTTTACCCAATAAATACAAGTTTCTCAAGATTGAAAAAACATGAGTACAATGACGATAATCACACCTCAAATGATCAAATTTATTGTCAAAATATCCATGTATATAAAATTCATTCTTATTTTCAACGTCTTAATTTGAAAAATCTAAACTACGTGAGTGGCACAGTCAAAAGCAAATGGGCGTCAAAAAGTTGAGCAGGAATGAACTTGTTCTCGTAATTAAGTATGTACCGTACATTTAACAGACGATTCCTTGAGTAATTCTTAGACAAAAAGTTCATATAAACATAGATCCGAAAATTATTCGTTCTCAAGATACAGGGTGTTAAAATTTTTCTCAAGTATCCGTCTCGAGCGGGATCTGAACGAATGTTTGTCACAAAAAACGTACGCCACTGACTTTTGTGCAATCTTTATCATGTTTTTGGATTAAGCAAATAAAAATACAACTTTTTTGTCTCTTGAATATTTGCCGTACCTTGCCTAGTTTTCGAGAAACAAAACGTCCACTTAATTGCATATACCTGGACCACACAAGGATTATCGGGAAAGGTTTCTTTCGGAAATTATATTTTTTATAATTTTTTATTACGAATTATGTAACAACAAATAAAAAAGACAGCGGCGTACATTTTTTTGGTCGTGAATATTCGTTCATAGCCCGCTCGAAACGGCACTGGACTAAATTTTATCAATTCAGGGCTAAATTAAACCCTTAATGTTACAATTACCACAAAATTAGGTAAAGGATATTTAAGATATTTACGAAAAACCATTTTTTTAATTTATCACCCTGTATCTTGAGAACGAAGAATTTTCGTACCTATGTTTATATAGTCTTGAAATTACTCAAAGAATCCTCTGTTAAATTTATGGGACATACTTAAATAACAGCCTGTATATAAATATAATTTTGTAATGCACACACAGTGTTATCATATGGCTATTAATTTAATGCCAAATAAAATCAAAAAATTTCGTCCACAAAAAAAATACAGGATACAAGAACGAATCGTTTTCAATAATGCACATTCCAAAGAAGAACAAACTTAGACTATGCCACAGTTTATACTCAAGTAAGTATCACCAACGTTGAAGGATATTCTACCATTAGACTACATCAAACATGAGCCATCAAAACGAGGGCAATCACGAAAACACATTTCTTGGCAGAGAACTATGGTTGCCATCAAACTTATGCCGGTGGAACATGTTACTGATTATGACACCCTCCAAAAGCTCTTCAATATGAAATATATACTGTCTATTGAAACAAGACAGCACAAAGCGCCATCTATTATCAGAATCGACCACTGCAACAGTGAAATAGATGAGCTGCAATAATGGTTACTTTTTCTCATGGCCCCTTTGATGTCGTATCCATTTTTGATACTTTAAACCTGTCCTAATGACAGATGAAGTGCTGGGTTATTTTGCTTTTTTCAATGTACCTGCCATAATGATACGAGAATTTAACAAACGAACTAGAAGAAAAATTGACCATTATCAAAAATCTACACGACGAAGTAGTATCTGCGACATCATCGATTTCATCAAGCAGTTGGATGAATTGACAGAAAAAGAAACATATAGGGTGCCCAGAGAGTATGAAAACATCAAGTAATGTCGAAAAATATATTTCATAGAGGAAACTTTTGTGAAACCATGTCACGTCACAACTTTGTTCTGCAACATTATTCTCTGGGAAGGATATTTTTCGAGATATTTTGTCATTTCCATACCTCCTGCATGCAATGGCCTCGAAAGTTTTAAGGTCTTACTTGAATGCAAAATGTCCCTTTTTGCGTTTCAGCTGTCAAAAATAGAGGTCTCCATATAAGAACGCACTTTTAACCTTTAAATGATCTTGAATAAATTGTCAAGGTCATCAATAGACGATAAACCTTACAACTTTGTTCACCATTTTTCTGATGTTTCCATACTTTTTTCTTGTATAAGTCTATAAATACTAACTATAATCACTTTAAGGAGGAACGCCACTCAGATCCACCACCAAAATTTCAACAACTACCTTAGCCGACACACAATTAGAGAGAGATAGATACTTGACCAAATACGGTGTACACCCATACAGTCACTTTTTCGGTGCATTTCTTCAGTCATCTTATTCCAGAGAAGCACATTATGAGCAATACCTCCTTTAGTTCAAAATTCAAAAAATGTTTTGAAAATATCACCCATTTCATAATTCTTCATCCCAAGGTTTTCAAGCTAAGAATACATTCCCGTAGCCGAATTCATTTTAATTTTGGGAAAATCACTTTGTCAAACTGTGGGCGACTGCAGTGACAAGCTTGAGGTCAGTTTCCAGACCGTAAAAAAAAGCTTCACTGTAAGCCGAGGTTACCATACCGACCGTACGACTGTATGGGAGTAAAAGTAGACGCTATGGTCGCTTAGAATGGCAACACCTCATACCTACAGACCTTTCCTATGTTTCAACTAGCCCACCGCGATTTCTGCAGATCTATCTGTCCCTCCAGGGTCTTTGCTAGATAGATGACGAACAGCTGGGATAACGCTACCGCCAGTGCTATGCCCGCGATGGTATACAGGTTGCGTTCTGCCCACGAACGCACTATGTCTATGCAGCCTGATGTCCACACTTTCTTGCTAGCCTCAGCCACCTAGAATAAAACCGTTTGATTTTCCTCTAGAGTGAAATTTCCTTTCGCGGACATCCCTATTATACGGACAACTCCTTTGAACGGACAGTTCTCATGGTCCTGACCGACTCTCAAATAACTTGCATTGTATTAACTCTCTCTCTCTCTCTTGGACGGTCGCGAAAAAAAGGTCTGCTGATCGGACAAAAAACAAAATAAAAAAAAACGCCTTACTCGATTTTCTCTAGTAAACCGGGGATTCAACGACTTTAATCTTTCGATATAAACGGACAGAAATGCTGTCCAGCGTAAATTAGGGGGTTTCCCCGAGTTGGTCGGCGATTTACAGTTCTTATTCTTTGGATACACGCTTTCGACTAAATTTTCATTCAGTATTAGTGTAGATCTAGATTGAAAAATGGCTAAAGAAAACGAACTTTTTGTTATTTTTAGACAAAGCAGGATCTCATCCAAAAGACATTCTCTTAAATAATATACTTGAAGAAGTGATTATAAAGAGTTTTAAAAATGATTACCGAAGAATATTCAAACACCTGCTAGTAAACATTGAAACTGCTGGTACAGCTTTCGAATTAATAAAGAAAATTACCTCATTGGATGCTTGGGACCAAGTAACCAAAGAAACAGTGCAAACTTGCTTCCACTAAGCAGGATTTAAGCATGAAAATGTGCATAGTGAAGACCAGTCAAATGAGGCTGATACACCTGACCCAGAAGATGACTTACCACTGAATGTACTTTCAGATATCCTCAAAAATAAGAATTTATTGAATTTGACTGATAATGGCAACCTTCATGATTTTTTGAACCTAGATGAAACTTTGTACGTTGAAGATCCAGATTCAGGCCAAGAAATTGAAAATCCAGTAGAAATACAAGAACTTTGGAAAGATTTTGATGTTGATGAGGTTAGAGTACCAACACAAGCTATTCCAAATTATGGTAAAGCTATTATCCTGATGAAGTAGCTGTCATAAATTAGGTAGATACAGAGCCTTTGGAGATTCCTCCTAAATTAGAAATACGATTTCAAGGCGCCATTTAAAAGAAAAAGAGGAGACAAACGACAATATAAGAATTTTGGCATCCTTAAAGCAACTTTTTGTTTCATTGTTTTGTGTTACTACATTTTGCATAGATCTAAAGGTAGCAAACCTTTTTTTATTGAGATTAAAGTTTTTTATTTATTTTAAAAACATTTATATACATATACGTTCTAAATGTCCCAGCTTCTTTAAGTTTCATTTCATTAAAAACACGATTTTTGTTGTATTTCTTTTATATGATAATAATAATAATAATAATAATAATAATAATAATAATAATAATAATAATTTATTGGTACTATTACACAAAAATGTGTTTGCACAGGTCATTTAAAGTAGAACATAAAAGAGTAAGAAAAAGTAACAAACAATACGAAAGTAAGACAAACGTAAAACACAAAGTGGCAATAAAAGGTAAAAAAAACTTGATAAAACTATTTTAAAATTTAGAGGAACAATAAAATAAGATGGTTAAAAAATTATGAAATAGTAATCATTTTTTCATGTTTGTACTCAAAAGTCCTTACACACGTCTGGAGAACGATAAAATATAATACAAAAATAACACATAAAAAAAACACAAACGAAAACAAAGTAATAAATAGTCAACAATTATGGAACAAAGTCGGTAAAGTCATTATTTAAAAACTCATCTATGCTGTAAAAAGCTTTCGTCACTAGATATCTTTTCACAGTTGCTTTAAAAATGGTTGAGTGAGGCAGCGCATTAAAAAATTTCACACCGAAATAATTACTTCCGTGTCTAGTTTTTGAAAGTCTTGTGTACTCTGGTATTAATTCATTGTTGAACCTTGTGTTATATTTGTGAATCTCTTTCAGAGTTCTGTAATCATCGTAATTATTTTTAACGTGGATCAGACATTCCAGTATATATATGCATGGCACAGTTAAAATTTTTAGGTCGATAAATGTCGTCTTGCAACACTGTCTGAAATATAAGTTTGCTATTATTCTCTTCTATGGACACTCTCAGTCGGTTCCGTAAGTGACCATCCAAACAAGATTTCACGGGTTTCAAGGGTTGTCCAATAGGGACGCAGGAAAGTAAACGTTAATTTGACATAGACGCCATCTTTGTTTTCTGTCACCGATATGTCATTTTGTTAGTTGAATGTTTACCATTGATCGCTATGGAGTCGTATTCGATTGAAGACCGCATTAAAGTTATTCAAGAGCACTACAAAAATGGTGCAAAAATAAAAAACACGTTTCGCGCGCTTCGTGAACATTTCGGTCGCAACAACCGCCCAAACGAAACAACCATCGGTCGTCTGGTGCGTAAATTCGAGGCAACAGGTTCTGTGGCAAATCTGCCAGGCTCTGGCGGGCCAAGGAGCGTTCGCACACCGGAAAATATTGCTGTTGTGAAGGAGAGTGTGAGAGACGACCCGAAACAATCAACAACGCGTCGATCCCAAGAATTGGGCATTTCGAGAACCAGTTTGCTCCGCATTCTCCACAAGGATTTAAATGTACACGCCTACAAGATCCAATTGACGCAAGAGCTGCGTCGGGCCAACCATTTTTCGCGCCGAACGTTCTCAGATTGGCTCCTTGAACACCGCCAAATTGATGCCAATTGTTCATCAAAAATCATGTTCAGCGACGAAGCGCATTTCACTTTGAATGGGACGATAAACAAGCAAAACTGCCGCATCTGGGCGAACGAAAATCCCCGTGAGTATCAAGAGCAGCCGATGCATCCTCAAAAAGTGACTGTGTGGTGTGCATTGTGGTCAAAAGGCATCATCGGACCTTTTTCGAAAATGCGGCCGGGGACGCCGTTGCCGTCAATTCTGAGCGATATCACGTGATGATAGAGGACTATTTTTTGCCGCAACTTGAAGGAATGGATATGGACGATGTTTATTTCCAACAAGACGGTGCAACATGCCACACAATCGACGTCAATATCCATCGATTGCAGTCCTTCTTCGGTGATCACGTGATTTCGCGCAGAGGAAATGTGACTCCCTTGGACTTCTTTTTATGGGGATATTTGAAAAGCAAAGTCTACGTCAACAAACCAGCCACCCGCCAAGAACTCAAAAACAACATCATTGCCGAGATAAATGCCATAGAACCGACCATGTTGCAAAATGTCATTGAAAATTTCTACCATCGCGTGGACGTCTGTAAATCCAGTCGTGGTGAACATTTGGGCGATATTATTTTTCATACATAAATGGTATAAATGAACCTTCAAAATAAAGTACCCAACTTGATTTGAATATCAATCTTTCTTGTTTTAATATGCGTTTACTTTCCTGCGTCCGTTTTGGACAACCCATTATATGCTGATGAAACTGAAGGTAAAGAAAAATAATTTTAAAGTATTTAAATATGATGTTTTGATTTTGAGCTGGTTAGTTACTTACCGAAAGGGTTTGCACCCCATAGCCACACATGATGTTCACTAATCTTGAGCTAAGATCTGTGGCGTTTATACAGCAAGAAAATGGCACACCACAGTGTTCAACGCTTGGTGAACTGCAGTTGAAATATTCATTCTTCGACCAATCCAGAAATCCATCATTACTCAAACCACAGCAACGAAACTAAAAATATTGAATCACATAAGCTGAAGCCTATATAGGCAATGTTATTCTACTAGTTATGTCAGTAATTAGTTTATGAATTCATTAAAAAATGTTGATATTCCGATTATGCAACCAATAGAGCATAAGTAAAAAGAATTCAAATAAGTTTTATTTTATTACACAGGCAAAAATAGGAAGAGAATCTGGTTGGACATTAGAATTTTAAGAGGATCATACAAATTAATAATGATATCAAAATGAATTTCAGTCTGAGTATGAAATGTAAATTGAAATAATTTTTTGTGTGTAAAATATTGTATGACCTGAGCCATTGATGCTACAGCAAGCAAACTTTTTGTGCAAGTAATAATTCTATTTTATAGCACAAAAATTTTCAAAAATTCAAGTCCTAGATGAAGCTTGTCCCATTACCTCTTGTTGTGCAAAATCAATGAAGTTTTGTAGATCAGGATCATCCCTATAAGTACGAATTATGTTATCTGTGAAATTCTCCTCCAAAACTGACTGCATTGAGTGTGGGAATATAAATCCAACTATCGCGATTCCCATCTCCAACAAAAAGAATATCAGGAGACAGAGAGAATACTGAAAAACAAACATGTATTATTCTACAATCATTCTAGAGGACCCTTCCATACTGTTATGATCATCAAATTTCAAGGATGTTATGATTATATTTCAAAAAATATCCAAAAAGATAATTTACTTTTATACAATTTCACATAGCCTAAGTTTTATTCAAAAAAAATTGTGTACAACACTATCATTCTTCCTCATTTCTTATTTTGTTTGATTATTTTGTTCACTGCAAATGAAGCTGTATTTTCAAAATTCAAAATATTATAAAATGAAGAATGAGAATCAGCTTAAATAAAAATGAAGTTAAAAAATTGGCTTCTACCAAATCAAATTTTAAATTGAATTAAACAATGAGTACATGGTTATTCTAGTAGAGGAAGTATAGGCTTACACTGACAAAACTGTAGTAGCTGTATAACAAACAAGTCAGCATTCCAAAAAGGTTTGTAGGAATTTAATAAAAAATTATGATATCAAGATGTGTGCCATATTGATGAGTTTCAAACGACAATTGGAAAAATATTTCATGGGAAACTAGAAATCATGGTATTGAATTTTTTTTTAAAAACATGTAGACTTGAAGACATAAAATATTGTGATTTAATGTGTAACATTGATATTGTAGCATTAGAACAAACAAACAAATAGACTGGTCCGTCTGACTAATCTTCATGAAATTAGTGCTTTCAAGAGAAAGTTGATAAATATACTCACAAACTTGAGCAAACAGGTATTCTCTCTAAGTGCTCCTACACAGCCGGCAAAGCTTACGATAAACACTACTCCTCCCATTATCACCATAACCAAAGATATATTTAGAATCACATCGTAGACATTTTCCAATTTTACCCATCCAGTCAATTGCCATTTGTCAACAAATGCATAGAGACCAATGCCAATCAGCAATCCTCCAAATAACTACAAATGAAAAGGCATTTTAATTGTTTAATCACAATAATGATAGATTCATTTAAAGGTTTCTTAAAATTCATCAGGATGTTTTTGTGAATGAAGTAAACTTTATCAAGATATCTTCACTAATGAAGTCAAAAAGTATGGTTTGAAGTTTCGAAAGTTAATGCGTTTAATACATTGGAATTCCATTTTTACTTCCTACAACGCAGGCTGGAAGTATTTGTGGAAAATTTTAAAAATGTACATCACAAAAGACCATGTCACTCATTTCCATTGGTCTATCTCACTGTTAATCTTTGGCCCAGAAATTTTCTACTAGTTCTAAGTTCAAAAACAAGTTGACCCAGTTCCATTTACAAACATAAAACTATAATCCTGCTGAAATAACAATTTGACAAGCAGGTACTTTCTCATTTTCAGATACATGAACTGGCTACAGAATTGTATAATCTGATCCATTGTTCTTGGTCTATGGTTTTGTATAACAAATGATGAAAATCATGTGAAAATAAAACCTAATCAAAATCATTGTTTAATATCAATTTTACAACTATTTTCATAGTAATAAAAACTCAAAACACTAGCCTTTCATGCATTCACAAAAATAATAGTAAGTACTTTAGTAGCTCTGACATATTGGACATATGTAAAGGGGACTTTGCTATAAGTAGTTACAAATCTAGAAAAATATCCATACATACATCCAATACATTTTCTGCAAATGAATGTAATCATGATCTATTATTTTATCTTTACAAAAGTACAGAATGGTGTCATGTGAATTGTTTATAAAAAAAGTTCAATCTGTATAGGAAGTATGACTAATCGGATCAATACGTTCTTTTTCGCAGATTCGTCATTGCATTATACAGGAATTACCCTAATTGAAGGCAACACAAAAAATGGGCTTACCCAAAAAACGAAGTTCAGAATGAATATCAGATATTTAACGCAAGGGCTAACATATGTGAAATTGCTTGAAGGCGGTCGCCTGTATTCTCTTCTGTATCCAGAATGATGGCTGTACATTTTGCTAGAACGTGGGTGTAAATAACCGGAATTGAGACTACTTCACGCACATAGGGCGTTCTGTTTATGCTCGAACGAATTTCTGTTTGTCACTCAAAGATCGTACATTTTGGTATGCGACTATGGCACCACGTGAAAGATGGTTGTAAAGATGCGCTAGGTGCACATTTACGCAAATGTTATGCTTTCAGTCACGAAGAATATGCATAAAAATTGCAACACTTTTGTTATGCACCCACAACCCACAACAAAGGACAGTTATGAATAATTTGACAGAACGCAAATGTCACATGACGTCGAGTTCACTAACAGGTCAGCCAACAACATAAATAAAAAAACTTATCTGGTGGTTTAGTGATTTTATTTAGCTACTACTGACAACCATGATTAGCGATGTGGGTATATGAATATTAATATTTGTAATTTTTAGTATTGGAGTATTTGACGTTTCCATTTATTTACCAAAGAAGGCATTTATTAGAGATGGTACAAGGTAGGGGTTCAAATGTTCATATCGTTTTAATAAATTCTACATTATAAAAATGGCCTGTATTCTCTTCTGTATCCAGAATGATGGCTGTACATTTTGATAGAACGTGGGTGTAAATAACAAATTGAGACTACTTCACGCACATAGGGCGTTTTGTTTATGCTCGAACAAATTTCTGTTTAAGTCACTCAAAAATCGTACATTTTGATGCGCTAGGTGCACATTTACGCAAATGTTATGCTTTCAGTCACGAAGAATATCCATAAAAATTGCAACTTTTGTTATGCACCCACAACGTTGGACAGTTATGAATAAAGCATCCCACAAACCGGCGCGAAATAATCGCGGCGAAGTATTCGCAACGAAATTTAGAGCGAAATTCGCAATCTGTTTCGCCTGCAGTCTGTGCATGTGCCAAGAAAAGTGAATCAATGGCCTCGTAATCTTTTTTAGGTTTTTTACCTTCAAAATAATTAATGAGCTGTTGTACAGACGAAGATGGTGGTTCATAGCGTTTTCTGCTCGTTTTATATTTTGGTGTAGTTGCTGTCTGCGGAAAGGTGTGCCCTGGAGTAGTCACTGCTGTAGTGTTCAATGAAGAAGGTGGTGCTGTCTGTGTTGCCGAGGCGTTCTGTGCATCTTCTGCATCTACATCAGCATTTTCATCTTCTCCATGGCCGCGGTCTTCCAAATTTTCGGTTTCTACATTTCCAGCCCTTTCCTGATATATATTTGAGTTAAATTCGGCAGTCTCATAATGTATGACGTCAATATCTTTCACATTAGACGACGTTTTGGCAAATACCAAAAAAGGACAGGAAAATTCCATGTAGTCAGCCCACTGCTTGGCCGGTCTTTGGTTTGGTAGATTTTATATATTTTGCAAATGTGTCTCTGATATTGTTCCACCTTTTTTTTACTTCATCACCTAAAAACGATTTTTTTTATAGATTCCTTGCCACTGGTGACACCTTCTATACCATTGGGCATAGCTTTCGAGTTGGCTTTACAACAGTGAGTGCAATCGTAACCGAAGTGATATGCAGACATATGGAGCATATATATTTACCAGAACCAACACAGAATATATGGAAAAAATGCGCTGAAGAATTTGAAAATAGATGGGGATTTCCCAATTGCATTGGCAGCGTGGACGGTAAACATGTAACAATCAAGAGACCTAACAACAGTGGCTCCAATTACTGGTGCTATTTACATAAATATTCAATAGTACTTATGTAAAAGTGGCGATGACAAATATTTTCAATTCTTAGATCCCCCAGAACCCGTGCTTGGAGCTTTTACTGATATAGCAAATGATCCTCGGCGGCCAGCAAGGCTAGCATTTTCTACTCGTGACAAATTCGTAAATTATTTTAATTCTGATATGCCTATGCCCAATATATAGAATGTTCGTTTTCACATTTGTGTAGACTGTAAATTATTTAACAAGTTAATAAAAAATATTAGGTACATACTATTTGTATTTAATTCTTTTCCTATTTCCATCCAAATCTTGTCTTTCTTTCTCACATTCCTGTATTCATCGTTCGACAAATCATACAAACAAGGATACTTTTTCACTATTTCTATCAATAATTCCGTTTTTGCCATTGCGAATTTTTGAAGAACGGCGTCAAAAACGCGGTCAAAGGCGAACTGAAATACTCCGCGATAAAAACGCTGGAACAATCGCATTCGCTTCGCACAAGTCTGAGCCTGTCCGTAAACCGCCGCCTTTTTAATCTGATCGCGAATTCATCGCCGCGAAATTTTCGCAGCCAAAGCGAATATTTCGCGCCGGTTTGTGGGATGCTTAACTTGACAGTACGCAAATGTCATGTGAACACGTGTTCAATAACAGGTCTGCCAACTACATGAATAAAAAACTTGTCTGGACGCCTAGTGATTTTATTTAGCTACTACTGGCAAACATGATTAGAGATGTGAGTATATGAATATTCTTTAATTTAGTATTCGTAATTTTTAGTAATCGAGTCATTTATTAGAAATGGTACAAGGTAAGGATTCAAACGTTCATATCGTTTTTCTAAATTCTACATTAGAAAAATTGCAATAAAGATAACTGTATGCCGCTTAAATCATTCACTGATATTTAATGGTTCGTAAAACTGTCGAAATAAACGAGTATAACAGGTGTAAAATACACTTTTATTTGATAAATCATCAACCGATCACTTAACCACTGACGACTAATTTATCCTTATAAAAAAATAATTAAAAACAATCATTTATACTTTCCTATGTATAAACAGTATAATAGATTTAAAATAAGATTATAATTACAGAAATATATCACAATGATGAGTATATCACGACGGACTTCTGCCGTTGCCGACATTGTAAAAGGACGAAGAATATTTCGCCTTTGTGAAGGACGAAGAATCTTTCGCCTTTGTGAGCCAGCTATCTAACCAGAACGTCCTCAATCTATCTTCAGCATTATTGCAGAAGTCCCGAAAATCTTTCAGAATTTTCAGTTGCAAATTCGAATCTACCGCTTGGTTCGTCCGCCATCTTTTGCTCAACAGGTGATTCCAGCACCAGAGAAAACCCATCTGCAAGAAGTTATGTTTTCACAAATGTCTATACCCTATTTCACGAGTATCTATCACGGTAGAATGACAGCTGATTATCTAGTAATATTTCAAAATTCCCCATATCGGCATAGGACACGGATCCTTCAACTACAGGTAGTCAGAGCCGTATTTTGTTTTTTGAACGCTACTGATTCATTTTGTACTTGCTCTTTTATTTAAAAAAGTTCATTTGAATACAAAAAACAAAACACTACAAAAACGTTTTTATTAGATTTACACCCGATCCATTATTGCCAACGTCGCAGATTAACACAAAAATGTCACTTGCTGACCAGCTGTTCACCTCAGAAGACGTCAAAGCGAGATGGATACCGGCGAAATAGATTATTTGCCACCAGCAGTGGTGAATCCTATTTTTACTAACCTTTCTGCTGTTATCATAATCGTCTTTGTTCTTGCCTGACACATGTCTGGTAATATACTCCTCATGGGGGCTTGGTACCACGTCAGCATGGATAGAATACCTTCTAGCATAGCTGAGCGACATATTCACCCTGTTTCTTACCTAGAAATAAAATATGTTACAGACAATAGTAATAGCAAGCAGAGGGTATACCAAGAGAGACTACTGCGCGGAATATCAAAAGATGGTCGCCTTCATTGCCCTTGTTCGTTATTGGTTTAACCTGTATTACTGATTAACTATACTAAGTGACATAAATCCGAACACCCAGTTTAAATGGTTTTATTTTAATAAAATTTTGTATAAGTACTTAATGAAGCATAAGTAAATGATAAAAATTTCAAAATGATTGCACTGCTTTAAAGCCCTTTGACCTTTAATAATGTGTGGATGCACCCTGATGTGCTACGCATTCTTCAACGCGCCTAGGCATGCTTCTGATCAGGTGGTCAATATCCTCCTGTGGTATCTCATTCCAGGCAACCACCAACTCCTCTCGAAGTGCTTCTAGAGTCTGAGGAGGACGTTGCAAATTGAGCAATCTCCTACCCATCATATCCCGCACGTGCTCAATTGGGGATAAGTCGGGAGATCTTGGTGGCCATGGTAACAATGTGACATCATTATGTTGAAAGAAGTCTATTGTGACTCTTGCAACATGTGGTTGGGCATTATCTTTTTGGAAAGTTGGATCTGCCAGGGTGTCAAGATAGGGTAAAAGATGGGGTTCTAGAACTTCGTGGATATAACGCTGCGCGTTCATGTTACCTCTGATGACGATTAAAGGTGACCTGGAACCATAAGCTATAGCACCCCAAACCATAACTCCAACAGTGTGATGAACATGTCTTTCAACAAAAAACTGTGGATTCCGCCTTTCACCACGTCGCCTTCTAACCCTGGCACGACCATCGTGCATGCCTAAACAAAATCGAGACTCGTCACTAAAGACAATACTGTTCCATTCCTGATCCCAGAGTGACCGTTGTCTGCACCACTCAAGGCGATTACGTCGGTGTTCTCGACTTAAAGGGAGGACCCAGTGTGGCCGGTATGAAAACAAGCCAAAACTTCTCATTCGTCGGTAAACACTTCGCATGCCAATAGGTCTTCCGTGTTCTGCAAACCATTCATTTGCAATGGACCTGGTAGTGGAGAAACGGTCCCTTAAGGCCAATAATCTTAGGCGGCGATCTTCACGGTCTGTTGTTCTACGGCGGCGTCCAGTGCCCCTTGCTCTTTGCGTACGGCCTTCTGGAAGCCACGCCTTGCAACACCTAACCACAGTGTCTACACTTCTTTGCACTCTAACTGCAATTGCCCGAAAAGAAAGTTCAGCTTCCCGAAGTCCCACTATACGGTCCCAATCAAACTCACTAAGTTGACGAAATCGTACAGGTCTCCGTACTCTAGGCATCGTAACCGATCGTAAAGGATGTCAAGAACCAAAATCCGCCAACGTTGATTCTTTACTGCGGCTGAAATATTCATTTTTAGAGCGTTAGTGAATTAAAAAAAGCAGTATAAAAACTGGAATGTCCAACTGATAAGGCTGAAAATTTTTTCACTTGTTATTTACAGTAAGATAAATACATTCACCAACTTTTATTAAAATAAAACCATTTAAACTGGGTGTTCGGATTTATATGTCACTTAGTATAATTTAGCGCCATTGGTTTAGAGGTTCGCTTGTACAGGGTGTGCCAGAAGTGGACGTCAAGCCGGAAACGGGGGATAGGTCAAGTCATTCCATCAATAGCTATCAGCAAAATATAAAAAACCTACACCCTGTGATGATCTTTTAGTATAAATTTCAACCAATTTAATTTTTTTCTTAGATAGAGTGTAGATTTTCCGACTTTTTAAAGCCTATAATTTGAAAAGTACACGACTTGGATTTTTTATATGCTCAGCGACATTACAAGTGTTATACCCAGAAAAAATAATTTCGCGCTCTGGCTCTAGCATACGTGTTTCTCTCCCCATCTCTCTCATACACATTAAATACGGCATACCAATGATTCTCAGCCGATCACGAATATTGCAAACAATAAAAAATGTTGTTGCTGAAAATATTACCTTAGGTGCAGCACTTGAAACTAGGATGAATATGGTACCAGTGGCATGGATGTACTGATGTTCGTGAGACGCGCACGTCTTATTCGCCGGTTCGACTTGGCATGGAATAAATCCGAAACGTTGAAGTATTGCTTCTTGGAATAGGAACAGGCGTTCTACGTACGTCTCTATTCGGAATTCTGGAACGGTTCAATTTTTCAGTAATTTATCTTTTAAAATCTATTCATTCAGTTTCCAACACCAGTTTTACATAGAGAATAACTACACGGATTTCATGGCCAAATTAAAAAGTGTAAAACAAGAATTTGAAGTCAAATAAATCCATGAAGTTTTTCGTGGACAATCTTTACCAAGTTGGACGCCAAATTCCATTGTGTCAACCTCGTTTTCCTTTCAATTATATGGCACAACTTCCCAATTCAAGTATAAAACTACATTGCTCAACAATACGGTTTCTGTTTATGAAATTCGCGTCGAAATCAAAACCACAATACATATACTAACTGACATATAAATCCGAACACCCAGTTTAAATGGTTTTATTTTAATAAAAGTTGCTGAATGTATTTATCTTACTGTAAATAACAAGTGAAAAAATTTTCAGCCTTATCAGTTGGACATTCCGGTTTTTATACTGTTTTTTTTTTAATTCACTAACGCTCTAAAAATGAATATTTCAGCCGCAGTAAAGAATCAACGTTGGCCGATTTTGGTTCTTGACATCCTTTACGATCGGTTACGATGCCTAGAGTACGGAGACCTGTACGATTTCGTCAACTTAGTGAGTTTGATAGGGGCCGTATAGTGGGGCTTCGGGAAGCTGGACTTTCTTTTCGGGCAATTGCAGTTAGAGTGCAAAGAAGTGTAGACACTGTGGTTAGGTGTTGTCAGGCATGGCTTCGAGAAGGTCGTACGCAAAGAGCAAGGGGCATTGGACGCCGCCGTAGAACAACAGACCGTGAAGATCGCCGCCTAAGATTATTGGCCTTAAGGGACCGTTTCTCCACTACCAGGTCCATTGCAAATGAATGGTTTGCAGAACACGGAAGACCTATTGGCATGCGAAGTGTTTACCGACGAATGAGAAGTTTTGGCTTGTTTTCATACCGGCCACACTGCGTCCTCCCTTTAACTCGAGAACACCGACGTAATCGCCTTGAGTGGTGCAGACAACGGTCACTCTGGGATGAGGAATGGAACAGTATTGTCTTTAGTGACGAGTCTCGATTTTATTTAGGCATGCACAATGGTCGTGCCAGGGTTAGAAGGCGACGTGATGAAAGGAGGAATCCACAGTTTTTTGTTGAAAGACATGTTCATCACACTGTTGGAGTTATGGTTTGGGGTGCTATAGCTTATGGTTCCAGGTCACCTTTAATCTTCATCAGAGGTAACATGAACGCGCAGCGTTATATCCACGAAGTTCTAGAACCCCATCTTTTACCCTATCTTGACACCCTGGCAGATCCAACTTTCCAACAAGATAATGCCCGACCACATGTTGCAAGAGTCACAATAGACTTCTTTCAACATAATGATGTCACATTGTTACCATGGCCACCAAGATCTCCCGACTTATCCCCAATTGAGCACGTGTGGGATATGATGGGTAGGAGATTGCTCAATTTGCGACGTCCTCCTCAGACTCTAGAAGCACTTCGAGAGGAGTTGGTGGTTGCCTGGAATGAGATACCACAGGAGGACATTGACCACCTGATCAGAAGCATGCCTAGGCGCGTTGGAGAATGCGTAGCACATCAGGGTGCATCCACACATTATTAAAGGTCAAAGGGCTTTAAAGCAGTACAATCATTTTGAAATTTTTATCATTTACTTATTATGCTTCATTAAGTACTTATACAAAATTTTATTAAAATAAAACCATTTAAACTGGGCGTTCGGATTTATATGTCACTTATATAAAGACTCAAATTGCTTCTAGTGAGAATTTGTTGTGAGGTTGGCAGCACAGATAGCCCATCAATTTGCTCCGTTGATGCAAACACCCCACAACATAATCGGAATGACCTTGAAAAAATCCATCCCAGTAAATTCGTGAAGAAATTGATGTAAAACAATAGCGGGTTAATATTTTTTATGCATGGAAACATGATGATGTTACCTTTGAATAATTTGTCGTTATCGTCCTCTAAACATCTCAGGTTCAAAGGCACAAAAATGGGACCTCTCAGAGGGTCTGATTTGTTGGAATAAGGCAGGGCCAGAGGATCGTGTGGTATCGGAATCATTTGCAGATTACACGCTTGGGCTTTCCTGTGCCAACCTGCTAACTACAAAATGAAAAAAAGTTTATAAACGAATATTACAAGAATTGTAATGTTAATAAAACAGAAGAAAGTCAGAACAAAATAAAAACGATTTGGCCAAATTTTAGATTTTTCCCAAATATGTCAGTGAGCCATGAAATTTTTACAAGTTTCTCAACGGTATGTAAATACGCTCCAAAGAACGTATTTTTTCTCATTTAACATAAGCTGTATCTCCCACAGGTATTGAGATCCCCATGCATAGAAGCATAGAATTTGTACTCAGCGACATTAGACGGTTTACACCCAGAAAAACTAATTTCTCCAACTTGTGATATTTTTTGTTACTAAATACTAACCAATTCATAGATGATTGACCCCGAAGAAGTGAGCCACTCCACGACCAATTCGTAGGCCTGATCAGGCCTAAAAACTGTTTGATACCGCGCGTGGCCCCATTCGACTCTATCGCTTTTGTTCTGCACATCAGTCTCTAATCTCATTCGTTTGAACATTGGTCCTGAAAATCACAGTTACGTCGTAACGTCGAGTTAAAATTATTTTCCAACACTCCTACCGTTATAATCACAGTCAGAATATTCCGCGTCGATGTCTTCACAGAGAAAATGAGGCACGCCGCTGTCTCTGTCCGAGTATCTATTCGGAACTTGCATGTGTGTAGGAGTCACCGCTAGACCCCAGTTTAACGCCGGTTTCACTTCTACTTCCATCCATTCGTTTTCGAAGATTTGAAGGTCACCGCAAGGTTGAAACGAATCTTTATCATCTGTAAAACAATATACAAAACACGTCCATTTTTTTATTTGTCCTGTTTCGGGCCTTGCTTACCCTTATCGGTAGGTGCCAAGAAGAACACGTAAAACCCGTATAGAAACGGTCTGGTGACGTCACCTGAACAATGACAGATCATTTGCTCCTTATGTAAAGTTTGCATGATATGCACGCCTTGTTCCACTGTTGTAACGTCCTCCATGTGAGTCATTAACCAATTGACAGCCTCGCCTGTCACGAACGTCAAATTCGGCAGATTCGGTTGCAGATTGATGAACGAGAGGCCGGCTGTCGGATGTTTCATGGCCTCCACGATTTCGGCAGACGTAGCGTTCTGTTTCAGAAGGGTTATGGGCACAGGCGTACTGAAAATGCAAGATAAGGTTGTATCACAATTACAGAAAATTGACATTTGGTTTGTTCGTACAGCCTGTTCGCTGACAATCAGCAAACTGATAGTCGGCGACAAGTCATGACCTATACGTAGTTTACGCAGTCAGCTGTCACTGACACGTCGCTGACTGTATTGATTGCGTACAAGAGAATTTTACGAGTTGACTGAGGGAGGTCAGACCGATTACCCTGATCCGCGGTTCGCACAGAAACTTCTGACTGTTTGATGACTGTCAAATTAGTCAGCAGATAATTTCCCAGTAAATTATCAGAGCTCGAAGTCAAGTACAATAATTATTCAAATGTAAAATTTTTCAGAATGAAGTAGACAATTTTAAAAAAGTTGGGGGGTATGTTCATTTGCTGTAAACCAGAACGATCTAGGATATTTCGGTCAATTGACGGAATTTTCCTCTACAGAGGAAAACATGGACACTTTCTAGAAAAAATAACAGCACCCAGAAATGTCAAGTAGATTTACTCAGTAGTTCCCATTCAATTCTCATATAAAAGGTATACACAAATTCGAAGAAATATGATTCCACACATCGAATAACAAGTTGAAGAAGTAAATACATAGTAAGAATTCTGAATGAACGTCTGCAGTGATTATGCATGAGAAATGTACAAAGTATTGTGAATGACTTTTAATAAAACTCGGATAGTAGGGTTTTTGCTTCCTGTTCCCTTGTCGCCCAGCCTCGAGGTGTATGCAGAAACAGTATTTATATATACTAGCTATGTAAGTCGAACCCAAAGCTGATTAAAAACATAAACAAAATAACGAATTCTTGAGATTTTGTGATACAGCTTTTTTTTCACGCGTATACAGGGTATTTTAAATTCGAGCCTGACCATTGCGATCTCGGAAACTTCAAGGGATACGAAGTAGCTTGAATAGGGGCAAAGTTGCATATTGAGATAATCAGCAAAATGTCGCTTAGAAAGTTTTGAAATTGAAAGTACGAAATTTTTCAAAAGGGTTTCTTACTTTATTTGTGGTGGGATTTCAAAATAAATTGCACATCAGCTCTGCCGCATTTTCTCTCTACAAGACGCCACAATTAGAATTTCGTCTCTTGTCCTCCAGCATCAACTTAATTTGTTCTTATAGACGCCATATTGGGTTCTTACACACATGAATAGAATTATTGATTTCAAAAATGTACGAGCCTCTTCCCACTTCAAGATTTGTACCAAAATATGCGTTTATAAAGTAAACATGACGAAACTATTTACTTCTAAAACAATTTATTTTCTCAAAAACATTTTAGATACACACTAGTCGTAAAAAAGACATATTTAGAATCACTTAGACCTATAACTAATAGAAAATCTGAACAAATAAACAATGTGCTAATAAATGCGCGAAGTTAACAAAGCAACAATTGAAAGATTACCATTGGGTAACATCACCTTTATTTTTTATTACGGCTGAAATTCTTTGGGGCATAGTGTTAACCAAGTTTTGGCAAAAAATTGGTGTAAAACAATCCCATATTTCTTGAAGCTTTTGTCTCAGTTCGGTGATTGTACGAGCAGGATGTTGTCGTAGAACCTTTTTCATCTCGTGCCACAAAGTTTCAATAGGTGACAGATCTGGACTGCTAGAAACCCATTTCAAAAGTGGTACATTATTTTCTTCCGTCCATTTTATAGCCTTTTTTGAGGTATGGCACGCTGCACCATCTTGCTGAAACACAAAATCTTGGCCGGATGTCAAACATTCTTGCATCACTAGTAAAAGCGATTCTTCTAAAATTGCCAAATATTTGTTTGTATCCACATTTCCATCAATAAAATGAAGTTTTCCTACTGCCCCAGACCATAATGGGTGCTGGAAATTTCACTTTTCTCTTCAGACAGTCAACATGGAATGCTTCATTTTTTGCGAGTAACTACTGCGACTGTCACCAACACAAACTTCGAATAGGGCCTCATCACTCCATTGTATTGCACACCATTGTTGAGATGTCCATTGTCTATGTTCTTTAGCCCATCTAAGCCGATTTTTCTTTTGCAGTGGAGTTAATAGTGGCTTTTCTTTGGCTTATAAACAAGTTGTGCAACTTTAGGGTTTTTACTTCACTTTTTTTTATAAGAAAACTTACCTTGCAAGTGCTAAATCCCAGTTTGTGGGCCTCTCTATGAGTTGTGGACCTCGAAATTCTCCTTCCAACAGCGTCACTCCACAGAGCACTTAATTGTAAATAATTGGCACGCCTGTTTTTCACGATTATTCTTCTTAATGCTGTTCGGTCGGCATTTGTGATATTACTTTTTTTCACATATCGTGGCTTAATATTAACTGAACCGGTTACGTTATATCTTCTAACAATATTTCTCACACTGTACCGCGATAAGTCTAACAAAGTTGCAATTTCTGAGTTTCTGAAATTTAATTATCAGTAACCGAATTTTCTCACTAATAACCTTTGCTCTACCCATTTTGAAAACCTTAACTACCCAAAACTATTTTAAACGTATTCTCACAGCTGTGATTAATAAAAACAATTGTCATGGCTTTTATTTTTCACAGCCACCTATGCGTTATAGACTTATTTTGCATTGAAATGAAAATATGTTGATATGCTGTAATTGCAAAATGTGTTATTTTTATGCTGCAAATTTGATTAGGAAGTGATAAAGTTGGTGTTTTCTACTATATATTATCAAAATATTCATTGTTAATATCTTAAACCTATAACACCCTGCTACATTTTTATTATTTGTGTTTGATAAGAAAAAAACTAAGATTTCAATAGCTGGGCCAACTGAAGTGGGAAGGGGCTCGTATATGTCATACATTGACATTGCAAAACCTTAGTTATTACAGAAGTTCCTAGGTAGGCCTTGAAACAGGGTGAAGACCTCTGCTTATTTATGGTTATTATTGCTATTACCATCAATAAAATTTTCATTTCGTATTCAGGTTTCACAATATCTTTTTATTTCCTTTGAACTTTCATCCAACAACAAATTTATGGTCAACTAACGAAATATATCACTGAATTTAGGGCTGAAAATGCCATTTGAATGTATAAAATTCCAATATAGTGTCTGTACGCAGAAACAAAGTTGATGATGGAAGTCGAAAGAAGAAATGTCGAATTGAAAATTTGACTACGCCAACTTGTAGACGAGAATTAGTAACAATGACAATATACAATTTATTTTGAAATCCCATCTCAAATAAAGTCAGGAAAAACTAGAAGTGACTAAGGTTTGCATGGTATTATGCATTTTTTGAATCAAATTTAAAAAGTCTATTCATCTGTGCAAAAATGAAATATAGCGTCCTTACGAAATAATAAAGTTGATGCTGAAGGACAAGAAACGAACCGTCACATAGAAATTGTGATTATCCCTTCTTGTAGAGGAGAAAACGTGGCACTGTTAATGTGATTTATTTTAATATCCCAATATGAATAAAGTCAGGGAAAAATCAAAACGATTTTGGGAAAATTCGGTTTTCCATTACTCTCCGGAAGTACTTTGAATTTTGAAACTTTCTAAGTGTCATTTTGTTGATTTAAGCGACTTCGTATCACTTACAGTTTCCAAGATCCCAATGGTGAGTGAAAAATTAGAAACACCCTGAATATGCAGACTCTCACTAGAAGAAAGAAGTGAAAATACTACAAATATTTAATAACGTCTTTGAAGAATAAAGACCTAAAAACCTAAAACGGCTGAACATAACTATAATTATCAAGATCTGCTCACCTAGCTATAAGTTTCACAGAGTTCCCAATATGAACAAAAAGAACTGAGACTACGAAAATACATAGAAGTAAGATCGCGTAATTTAGCATTTTGCAACTGTAACAAAAATTTTCAAAAGATAGTGATAGTGATCACAAAAATCGTATTAATTATGGTTATTGAGAGTTATGTCCTGTATTTTTCATACTGTATTCATAATCTTCATTTTGCCATTACCGGGTCAATAAACAAAATCTTGAGCACAAAGCACTTTGGCGCTGGCTGATATTTTAAATGCAATTTCATTAAAATTTCTTCTGCCACTTGCTCGTTACAAAAACTTGTTTCTGTTGAATTGTGGCACTGTTTTCTCTAAAAAATTCAGGTTTTTGGATTACATTCTCTCCTCAGTAGATCTTGAAGGTCTTCATCTTTTTGGTATATCGCTCAGTTTTTTTTACACCGAAGAAGCCGCGCAGGTGAACCCTACATGCCAGGGCACCGCGGCTGCTTTGAGGAGCTTTGTTATTCCTATTTTTGAACTGCCTAAAGTTAGTAGAACTGGGAAAAGCTCCTCATGTAGATTGTTACACGATCTCGACGCCCTCGGAACAAAGGAGCGGTCTTATCGGCCGGTTATGGATGTACGAAGTTCGACACGCTTACGATGGAAGACCGAAGTCAGGCAGGCATATCGCGCGGCGACACCATGGAAGAGAGCTCTGAGGAGCAAAGCCCATTGGCGTAGCTGGATCGCCAACGGCCCGTCGGTGTCCACAGACCGTCCATTAGAGAAGAGTAATCGATCTTGCGAAGCAATTTTAGTCCTCAAGGTAGTTTCGACACACTCTGATACCCGTCATTGTCACTGGTTGAGTGGCGTCCACTGATCTGTCAGAAGGTTCTGTACGAACAGCGGATTAGCTGTTGGCAAACAGTCAGAAACTGTATGAACAGTGATTTTGACACCGACAAGTTACCGACTACTGTTCGAACAAACCAATTGTAGCATTAATGAATAAATCTTCAACAATCAATGTGATTACCTCTCTTCTGATGGTGTTTCGTGGCCTTCCTTGAGCTCCGAGGTTGACTCCTGGGACCCTTGGGATGTTCTGCTTCGATCCAGCACTTTCGAGCCTGATCTAAATATTCAACAGTTGAGATGCATATGGAAAGAACTAAATTTGATTTTTATCACATTTTGAACAATTTGTTCAGTGCTACAACGAACCACTTAACAAAACTGTCCATCTAAACAAGTTCTTGATTTTAAAAATATGGCTATGTCTAAAATTAAGAACTTCAAATCGATTTTTTCTTCTTTGTGCTTGTAATAATTCATATCCTTGTGGTATTTTTAAGTGAAGTTCCTAATAACTAGGGTATCTATTCTTCTAAATATAATATGGCTATTTACATTGTATAAAAATTTAAACAAGTAAGAATTCGATACGATGACTCAAAAACATACTAGCAAAAAAGCAACCGCAAATGAAGAATGAAATTATGCAAGCCAAACCAGAAACTTTCTACTTACACACTCCAAGTGAACAATATGCAGGATCAAATTCTTTATATCAAAAGCAAAGTAAAGGCATGAAATGGAACTTTATCTTTTTTTTAAACACTCTAAGAGCCATTTGGCAGTAACGATAATTATTGCAAAACTCGTGGTCTTAATTATGCAGAAAACTTTAGCTGTCGCATTACAGCAGAGAACACAGGGTATTCTAGTGAAAATTTTCCTCCGTAAAAATATGAATTCCCTCCGAAACTTACAGCAAATATAAAAGTTGTGGAGTAATTTATGTGAGATTACGAACAAATCTTCGAGGGAGAGAATCTTAACTAAATTTCAAGCTAGATTTAGAAATATACACTCAACTGAAATGACAAGACAAAGGGTTCAGAGGACTGAGGGCATCTATGGACAATAGGAAACATACATTCTCAGTGTTATTGAACTTTAAAAGGGCATTACTATGGATTTCAAGGATCTGTATTCAAATTTCTACAAAACTACTTAATTGACAGACGTCAAAATTAAAAATTTTATCCAAAATATCCAGCTCAAAAAATATTTCTGCTGTGGGTGTAACTCAAGGTAATAAACTGGGCCCACTACTATTTATTAATACATTGAAGACATTTGTGATACTTTAGATTATTGTAAAATTTAGATATTTACAGATGATACATTAATATACATATACTAAGTGACATATAAATCCGAACACCCAGTTTAAATGGTTTTATTTTAATAAAGTTGGTGAATGTATTTATCTTACTGTAAATAACAAGTGAAAAAATTTTCAGCCTTATCAGTTGGACATTCCTGTTTTTATACTGCTTTTTTTAATTCACTAACGCTCTAAAAATGAATATTTCAGCCGCAGTAAAGAATCAACGTTGGCGGATTTTGGTTCTTGACATCCTTTACGATCGGTTACGATGCCTAGAGTACGGAGACCTGTACGATTCCATCAACTTAGTGAGTTTGATAGGGGCCGTATAGTGGGACTTCGGGAAGCTGGACCTTCTTTTCGGGCAATTGCAGTTAGAGTGCAAAGAAGTGTAGACACTGTGGTTAGGTGTTGTCAGGCATGGCTTCGAGAAGGCCGTACGCAAAGAGCAAGGGGCACTGGACGCCGCCGTAGAACAACAGACCGTGAAGATCGCCGCCTAAGATTATTGGCCTTAAGGGACCGTTTCTCCACTACCAGGTCCATTGGAAATGAATGGTTTGCAGAACACGGAAGACCTATTGGCATGCGAAGTGTTTACCGACGAATGAGAAGTTTTGGCTTGTTTTCATACCGGCCACACTGGGTCCTCTCTTTAACTCGAGAACACCGACGTAATCGCCTTGAGTGGTGCAGACAACGGTCACTCTGGGATCATGAATGGAACAGTATTGTCTTTAGTGACGAGTCTCGATTTTGTTTAGGCATGCACGATGGTCGTGCCAGGGTTAGAAGGCGACGTGGTGAAAGGAGGAATCCACAGTTTTTTGTTGAAAGACATGTTCATCACACTGTTGGAGTTATGGTTTCGGGTGCTATAGCTTATGGTTCCAGGTCACCTTTAATCTTCATCAGAGGTAACATGAACGCGCAGCGTTATATCCACGAAGTTCTAGAACCCCATCTTTTACCCTATCTTGACACCCTGGCAGATCTAGCATTCCAACAAGATAATGCCCGACCACATGTTGCAAGAGTCACAATAGACTTCTTTCAACATAATGATGTCACATTGTTACCATGGCCACCAAGATCTCCCGACTCATCCCCAATTGAGCACGTGTGGGATATGATGGGTAGGAGATTGCTCAATTTGCAACATCCTCCTCAGACTCTAGAAGCACTTCGAGAGGAGTTGGTGGTTGCCTGGAATGAGATACCACAGGAGGACATTGACCACCTGATCAGAAGCATGCCTAGGCGCGTTGGAGCCTTGGCCTTGGCAAAAATCATAAATTGGTTAAATGTAAATAACCTAAAATAGAATGCTTCTAAAACAAAATGTATGTTAATAGGGAACTACTTAAATGAAAGTACTATCACGATTATGATAAAAGGTGAAATAATTGAAAAAGTTTAATCAGCTTAAGTTTGAAGATCATTATTTAAAAAGTTGACAAAAAAATTACTTTTATAGGGCTTCTCATTGTCTTAATACATGTTCCAAAAGGTAGTGTATAGTACAGGTATTAGAGACGCAAGTTTTGTCTTTCTGAAAATTGGTATGTTATGTAATTGTTGCAGTTTTTTTAAAGAATGTAATTGTAGCAATCATGCTGATTACATCTTAAACAAACAAAATACCTCAGATTTTTTAATATTCCACGACATTATTTATTAACCTCTAAGACTTGAACCTTCCAAAACAAGACCACAAAAGCATATTGAAATTACGTTCTTGTTGCTGTCGTTAACATCTTGCACAAAAGAAAGACAATGTTTTATATTTTTACGGTGAAAATTTTTACTAGAATTCTTTTACGTGTAAAACGTCAACAATTCCCATGAAAATTTACAGCATAATTACGAACGGTGAAGTAATTCCAGTCGATGGAAGCCGGCTCTATACGTCAAACAATATGTTAGTATTTCAAACTAAAAAAGGAATCATCTAAAACATAGTTATCCGTTCATTCACTGGACTATAGTCATTTTTACACCTAATCGGTAACGAAGGCAAAGAATGAAGACCAACATATACTTTATCAATAAAATTTTGATAAATCGGCCTTCATGTCGCCGATCTTGAGTAAAAAAAGAATGCACGGAAAACTGGAAAAATATTAGTGAGTGAAAAAGAAAATTACCTAAACGCGGGCATATGCCGCTCACTCGAGCGACCAGGAGTATTCTGAAAGCAAGCAACTAATATTAACAAATTACAAAACAACAAAATGCACAACTAACGACGAAAAATCAAAAATACTTGTAGTAATTACGACTTCCAGCAATCATAAATGACTCGTGCATCGTGTTTACTCCGATATGTCAACGTTCCCAAGTCTGCCGAGTCACTGATTCTAAAAGTCATAATTTACCAACGCAAAAGTGTGAGTATGCGATACATCTACTAATAGTCAAAGACATACTGTATCACCATGCAAATGTCACAAATGGTACTAGACAAGCCCCTGCAAGCTGTAAGAGAAATGTATTCGTATCAAACCTGGGCCTAGGACGATCTGGCAGTCTATTGGAACCTAGCCTCTCTCTGAACGGCGAACTAGAATTGATGTTCTGAAATAGGCAACCTGTGTAAAATTTTCTGACCTCACAGAAACAAAATTAGATGGTTTTAGAAAAATATTTGACCACTAGACAAAGTGAATCAATCATTCTGTTGATTGCAATACCTACAAGCTTTGAATGCACTTATTGAAGCTTAAAATTGTTGTTTATTTCAAACAAGTTTTGGGATAGACAATTACTTTTTCCCGAAAATGCTGCAATGATCGGTTATTTAGAAACTGTAATTCCAAAACCATCTAGCCAACCATAAAGTTTTTGCTCTATGCTGAAACTAAATAACTACTCAAGTTAACACACTGCAGCATAAGTTTTAAAAAATATTAATGCAATATAATGAAGCTTATAAGTAGTAGTACAAACTGTATAACCATCATGCAAAAATCGATAAGGGAAATAAATAAAGGTAAATCACAGCAAAAGCATATCAAAATTTTAAACCGCATATTCATAATACAAGATATACTATATCAGTGTTTTTTCTGGGTTCCACTGCTCTCAATGTACTTGAAAAGTAGATCATATTATGAATATATATATATATATATATATATATATATATATATGTATACAGGGTGTCCGCAAAGTTGGGGTTTTCCTTTTCAGAAACAACTACCCTTGAAATAACAAAGGTAATGTGTAGTGAAACGAGGGCGACCAAGTAAAAAAAAAATAAAGGAAAAAGTACTCACTCTCCAGTTGACGAGAAGGGCTAAGTACGTCTCTGCCCGAAATCATACCGCTCCAACAGAAAATGAAATCAGCTGATGCGCTACCGAGCAGACGCAGGCAAACAAGGAAGGCAAAATGTTGCGTAAAAAGTCTCGGTATTGCATCCCGTCCAATCGATTTGGAAGAATAAATGGTCCAATGAGCATACCGTTCACCATGCCAGCCCAAACATTCACCGAAAATGTTTGTTGAAAATGTGCCCAACGGACAGCGTGCGGATTTTCTACTGACCAAACATGAGTGTTGCGAAAGTTATTCACCCCATTACGCGAGAACGTAGATTCGTCTGTCACCAATATGCACTTCAAAAAGTCCGGATTATTGTCATGTTGATGCAACAACCAGTCACAAAACCGCACTCTTGCTGGAAAATCGTCAGGTTGAAGAGCTTGTACACGTTGGACGTGAAACGGATACAGCCCCTCTTCACGCAGCGTTTGCCACACTTTAGTTGTTGATACTTGCACTTCTCTAGCAACGTCTCTAGTGCTTGTTGAGGGAGTCTCGTCTACGCGATTACCTCTACACGCGTGACCGTAACCGTCGGTTGAAGGTTGCATACTGACCTGACACACTGACCCCGACCCAGTTCTGTCCTCGGGTTGAGCTAGTGTCCTAGTACCACTCGGGGATGTCGCGGCTACAGGACGGTATTCAGATATTTTTGATGTTGCAGAGCCCTTTATCTCGGTTCCCTTAAGACATTGGTGTATATGGTACTAAGAAAAATTGCTTATGTTTTCAAGATCTACACGTCGTGTAAAGGAAAACCCCAACTTTGCGGACACCCTGTATATATATATATAAACATACGTCATATGTTACCAATACCACAGCATATATCTCGCTCTGAAGATATTCCAGCAGGGAGTTTATGATATTTTCGCTTAAAAGTTAAATCGTATGATACTACGGTGATAAGCAAAGAATGTTCTACTCTACTTGGCACAAAATCCGACGATAGCAAATTTATGTTATAGCTAGATCTGAAATACCGTTTTGGGAAATAAATAATACGGTAAAGAGGAATATCCCAATAAAAATATTGACTATTGATATATACTCTTTTATTTTTGAAATGCTGTACGGTATTTTGTTGATTAATGCATGCTGTGGAAGTAATCGATTTTTCTGTAACGACCAAGGCTCACTACATGCTTAGAAACTCAGTAGATTTTATTATTTGATAGCTTTTGTCAAACAGCTCAAAAGTGACATGAATGGGAGTCACGACCATAGGATGAATGTTGCAACTTTATTCATGGTCGTAACAAATTATCACAGGTTGAGCTAGTCGAAGCAAATAAATAAAGTTTTAGTAGTATTTTCCACGCTTCAAAAGTCACAACCATGGGAGTCACGACCATAGGATCGATATTGTAGCTTTATGTATGGCCGTGACAAATTAATAGAGTTTGAGCTCGGTGGAGCTAATAAATAATTAAGTGTTTGGTATATTTTCCATGATTCAATAGCCACAACCATGAGTCACGACCATAGGAACAACGTTGTATCTGTATGCACGGTCGTGACAAATTATCACAGGTTGAGCTAGGCGAAGCAAATAAATAAAGTTTTAGTAGTATTTTCCACGCTTCAAAAGTCACAACCATGGGAGTCACGACCATAGGATCAATATTGTAGCTTTATGTATGGCCGTGACAAATTAATAGAGTTTGAGATCGGTGGATCTAATAAATAATTAAGTGTTTGGTATATTTTCCATGATTCAATAGCCACAACCATGAGTCACGACCATAGGAACAACGTTGTATCTGTATGCACGGTCGTGACAAATTATCACAGTTTGAGCTAATAAATAAAGTGTTTGTTATTTTCACGGTTCAATAGCCACTACCATGAGTCACGACCATAGGATCAACTATGTATCTGCATGCACGGTCGTGACAAATGATCACAGGTTGAGCTAGGCGAAGCAAATAAATAAAGTTTTAGCGGTATTTTCCACGATTCAAAAGTCACAACCATAGGAGTCACGACCATAGGATCAATATTGTAGCTTTATCTATAGCCATGACAAATTATTACAGTTTGAGCTGGGCAAAGCTAATAAATAATCAAGTGTTTGGTATATTTTCCGTGATTCAATAGCCACAACATGAGTCACGACCATAGGATCAACGCTGTATCTGTATGCACGGTCGTGTCAAATCATCAGTTGAGCTCGGTGGAGCTGTTAAATAAAGTGTTTGATATTTTCACAGTTCAATAGCCACTACCATGAGTCACGACCATAGGATCAACGATGTGTCTGCATGCACGGTCGTGACAAATTATCACAGGTTGTGAGCTCGGTGAAGCTGATGAATGAGGTGTTTGACATATTTTTGAGGGTTCAAAAGTCACGATAATAGGAGCCACGACCATATTATCAATGTTGCCGCCTTATAGATGGTCGTGACAAATCACCACAGTTTGAGCTTGGCGAAGTTAATAAATAAATTGAACTATTTACAATGGTTTAAAAGTAACAATCATAGTAGTCACGACCTTATGATCAATGTTCACCTTTATCCACGATTGTGACAAATTATTCACAGTTTGACCTCGGCAAAGCTCTTAAATAGTGAAATATTTCCAACGTACAAGTCACGACCACAGGATCAATGTTGCAATTTTATCCACGGTCGTGACAAATTATCATACTTTGAGCTCGGCGAAGCTAATACACGGTCTGACATAGCTTCCAAAGAGTAGAAGACTTTTTGTCACTAAAAATAAGAATGAGCCGTATGCGTACTAAAAACCTTTAATAAACTAGCGCGCGCAGTAAGACGTCAATGACACGCAAAACTATAATTTTTCAGTAATCACGAAAGTAGAGTATACATAACTTTGATTATCAGCAAGATTAATAGAATAGTTGAGATTAGTACCTGGTTAAAATTGCTCATACTGTTACGCCTACGCTGAGCCAAGGTGGGTGGGATGCTTACTATGCTCAGTGACATCTACAACATGCGAAAATTATTCGGCGGCTACAAGCCTTCTATAAGTTTACATGCGGGTTGAGTTTAATCAAAAGGTGTTAAATCTAGATAAGAGAAAAGCAAATCTTGTGTTCATAGCATCAGTATAGCGTGCTCAACCATACATTGTCAAGGTAACAACTTTCACGTTCGTTTTCCGTTCCGACCTTTTACTTTCTACGCCGCTGGCGACCCAGTGAACATGACGACGCCAAAATGACGTCATTAGTCGGTCATTTTTGGTCGTAAACGTCAGTGACTAAAAAATGACGTCATATCGACTCCAGATAGACGTCATATCTACGTCATATCAACCTTGTATTTTTCCTTTTATACGGCATATGACGTCATATGATCACTTCAATTGGGTGTGACATTTGACCGTCATAATGACGTCATTTCTACGTCATTTTCGTTGGTCGCCGTACGTCAGTAGTGTCCTAAAAATGCCAGCATTATGACGTTACTATGTTCATTGGGGAGGAAGTATTATAATCGCAAAATTGAGGTAGTGTTTTTTGTCAGTATGTCCTCTAATCCTTGGTTAATCTGTAATTTAGAAAGTACCGCTCTGCTTTTGATGAAATTTAGACCAAGGACGAAAAAGATGGATATTTTAAAATCGATAGGAGATATGGTCAAAAAACTGAAAAATAAAAATCGCTCAAACTTCTTTTTGGAGTGGTTGAAAATTGGGGGTTGGGGGTAGAGAAACCAAAAAATATATATCTCATCTTCGAATTTTTCGCTATTCCAATACTTAGTCGTCAGTGACGTAGAAAGCAAAAAAATCGAGCAAAATTTTGGAAAAACTGTCACCTTGAGACAATATACCAAATGTAAAGCAAATCTACCAATAAAATACTTCAAACACTACTGCATCAGCACGCAACATACTCTGGCCTTTTTCGATATCGGTGACCGTTTAATTTTGTTGACAGCAGTTTCAAGGAACTTGAGGTACCCATCTACCATCTGTTGATGGTCGGTGTTCGTAGGAAAGGTGTACAGGTCGCAGTGATCTGCGCCGTCGATAATTTTTTTGGTCGCTTGGTTGTTCAGCGGAAGCAAGTACACACGGAACCTGGAAAACAATGAATCTAGTAAATAAAGGCTTTTAAAATCGCTAGTTAATATTATAAATGGGAACGTGTAGACGTTGTAATCAGAATTAACATCAAAACGCTAGTCGGTGTGATGTATACACATGAACGTTCACATGTAATGTATCTGATGAATTTGTAAATTAACAGCCAACTTGCCTGCTTAGGAAATTTTGTTACTTTATTACGGGCAAAACCACAGGGCGTAAAGCTAGTCTGGAATAAATTTGATTTATTATTATTAGCACTACAACAATATGCGAAAAAGTCCGATGGCACTGTTGTGAAGATTCTTTTTGCCTTGTCTTCTACTTCCTTAGCCAGCTTATTCTTAAAAGAATTGACAGTCGTTGCACCCACTGTTTCGTGATTGACAGAGTTCCACAAGTAATGGGTGATTTTTTTGCTAGTATCTTTTTGGCAACACTGTTTTTGACAGATGACGCGTGAATCGTGTCTTGTGTCATTGTCAAACTTGTTCAGTTTGGTCTATAATTTAACCATGAATCGTCTTACGAACGAACAACGCTTGCAAATTATTGAATTTTACTATCAAAATTCATGCTCGGTTAGGAGAGTGCATCGAGCACTGCTTCCAATTTATGGGCAATTTGGTCGGCCTACTGAGGAGCTATTCGGAAGCTTGTGACTAAATTTCGAACCCAGTTTACATTATTGGACATTAAACCACCAACACGCAGACGTGGAGTGAGGACTGAAGAAAATATTGCGGCTGTATCCGCCAGTGTTAGTGATGACCGTGAAATGTCGATTCGCCGCCGTTCGCAGCAATTGGGACTCTGTTACACCACTACGTGGAAAATTTTGGGTGTAAAACCTTATAAGATACAGCTGGTGCAAGAATTGAAGCCACACGACCTCCCACAAAGTTTCTCATTTGGTGAATGGGCGCTGGCAAAGTTGGAGGAAGATCCACATTTTTATCGAAAAATTGTGTTCAGTGACGAAGCTCATTTCTGGTTGAATGGGTACGTTAACAAGCAAAATTGCCGCATCTGGAGTGGAGACCAGCCAGAAACATTGCAAGAGCTACCAATGCATCCCGAATAAATCACTGTTTGGTGTGGATTATGGGCCGGTGGCATCATCGGGCCGTACTTCTTCAAAGACGACAATGGCCGGAACGTAACTGTGAATGGCGAGCGCTACCGTGCGATGATAACAAACTTTTTTTGCCCAAAATGGAAGAGCTGGACTTGGCTGACATGTGGTTTCAACAAGATGGTGCCACATGCCACACCGCACACGAAACAATGGCCGTATTGAGAGGCGAGTTCGGTGAACAGTTTATCTCACGTTTGGGGCCCGTCAATTGGCCGCCTATATCGTGTGATTTAAGGCCGTTGGACTATTTCTTGTGGGGCCATGTTAAGACTAATGTCTACAGGGATAAACCAGCAACGATTGACGCACTGGAAGCCAATATTGAAGCATTTATTAGTGAGATACCGGCCGATATGTTGGAGAGAGTGTGTCAAAATTGGACCTTGCGCATGGGCCATCTAAAGCGGAGCCGCGGCCAACATTTACATGAAATAACCTTTAAACATTAAATTATATCGACCGTTCTAGCGACTCAAATAAAGATTTAATCGTTTTTTTCAAATTTTTTGTGTTTTTTTTGAAAATCAAATCCTATACCTCTTAAAAAATCACCCGTTATATCACACAATTGTCAAATTAGACGTTGCTCATATGGCAAAATATCGAATCTGTGGTGGAATTCGCATTCGCTTGGCAATCTTTCCAGTGGTTCGATGTCTTTGACAAAATAAGGACTCCATACGCTGTTTACATGTTCAAGTTTTGGTCGAATGTACAGATTTTCTTTCATAGCAGGAGAATGCTTTTTAACAGCTTTTCAATCAAATATATCAGTGAGTTGGCTTTTCCAATTTCGTTGGTAATGTGAGCTTCCCATTTTAAATTATACAGGGTGAAGGGAAAATAGATTCGAAGTCGGGGGTGTTTCATTTAATTTTTTTTTGGTTTTACAATAAAAATATTCTAATATACGAAAATTGATTCTCAAATGTACATTATTGACGTTATCACATGCAGTAAGCTTCAAAATAGTTCAATTTTTGTTAAAAAAAAATCTTCGTTCATCTTAAAAACTCAATTTACTAGAAACAATCATCTACAAATTTTTCGTGCAAAACAATTTTAAAATATCTACGTTTCATTACCTTTCAAATGAGGTATCAAAGTCACAAACCGGTTTAGAAATGACAAAGATATGAGTGAAAGAAACAGGTAGAGCCGCGAACATCGGACTTTGCCACCGGAATAGTGTGATAAGTAAGACTAGTCACCCCCCTCCCTCTCCCGCTTCAATCTGCTCTTTCGATTTGTTGCGTTCGAATGTGTTTGTTTGCTCGCTGTTTTGATATTTCTAACGACTTGGATCTTGTTGGACTTCCGTGTGTGATTCTTTTCCTGACGACCTAGACTGTAACCTGTTTTCTGTGATTCCTTACGACTTAGCTGCTGTGTGACTTAATTGTTCGTTGATCTACCTATCGATGAACAATGGCTGATGAGCAAAGGAGGTGGCCGTTCAGTTTCGAAAAATATGCCGATATCCTTCTCCTATCTACTATGGAGATGCCAGAGGCAATGCTGAAGAAGCTCATCGCGAGTATGAGTAAATGTTTCCTAATCGTCGCCTACCTGACGCCCGCGTATTTAGGCATACGTTCCGTCGGGTTCGAGAGCGAGTTTGCATCATTGATAATTATTAACTTATCATAATCAGTCATTCAGTAAGGCCTATGTAGAGCCTTGGAGGTCTGTGGGCTGAACTGATGATACTGTAACAGTTGTCTGGATACAGTTGATTGAACTTCTTAATTAAGAGTTTATTCATTTAATTTTAACACGAGCATCTACACGGCTCTGAAGATGGAAACATCCACACGTTGTGTATCGTTTTTTCTAAATAATATTTTGCCAACTCTAGCTCATAGTATTACCGCTATATTTATTAGGTAATAATTTCCTCCAAAAGACTGTTGTTATTTGTTTTTTCATCTTATTTAAGGTGATGCAGGTAGACCTCGACATGATGTGGAAGAAGAAGAAGAAATATTAAATATTTTCCGAAGAGACCCTATTCTCTCTACTCGCGCTGTAGCTCGACGGCTTGGATTATCCCAATGGCAAGTGTGGTATGTTTTGCATGAAAACATATCACACCCTAACCACTACACACCTGTGCACGTCATAGAGGAAGGAGATCCCATGAGGCGCACGCAATTTTGTCGTTTTATACTAAGTGACATATAAATCCGAACACCCAGTTTAAATGGTTTTATTTTAATAAAATTTTGTATAAGTACTTAATGAAGCATAATAAGTAAATGATAAAAATTTCAAAATGATTGCACTGCTTTAAAGCCCTTTGACCTTTAATAATGTGTGGATGCACCCTGATGTGCTACGCATTCTCCAACGCGCCTAGGCATGCTTCTGATCAGGTGGTCAATGTCCTCCTGTGGTATCTCATTCCAGGCAACCACCAACTCCTCTCGAAGTGCTTCTAGAGTCTGAGGAGGACGTTGCAAATTGAGCAATCTCCTATCCCACACGTGCTCAATTGGGGATAACTCGGGAGATCTTGGTGGCCATGGTAACAATGTGACATCATTATGTTGAAAGAAGTCTATTGTGACTCTTGCAACATGTGGTCGGGCATTATCTTGTTGGAAAGTTGGATCTGCCAGGGTGTCAAGATAGGGTAAAAGATGGGGTTCTAGAACTTCGTGGATATAACGCTGCGCGTTCATGTTACCGCTGATGAAGATTAAAGGTGACCTGGAACTATAAGCTATAGCACCCCAAACCATAACTCCAACAGTGTGATGAACATGTCTTTCAACAAAAAACTGTGGATTCCTCCTTTCACCACGTCGCCTTCTAACCCTGGCACGACCATCGTGCATGCCTAAACAAAAACGAGACTCGTCACTAAAGACAATACTGTTCCATTCCTGATCCCAGAGTGACCGTTGTCTGCACCACTCAAGGCGATTACGTCGGTGTTCTCGAGTTAAAGGGAGGACCCAGTGTGGCCGGTATGAAAACAAGCCAAAAATTCTCATTCGTCGGTAAACACTTCGCATGCCAATAGGTCTTCCGTGTTCTGCAAACCATTCATTTGCAATGGACCTGGTAGTGGAGAAACGGTCCCTTAAGGCCAATAATCTTAGGCGGCGATCTTCACGGTCTGTTGTTCTACGGCGGCGTCCAGTGCCCCTTGCTCTTTTCGTACGGCCTTCTCGAAGCCATGCCTGACAACACCTAACCACAGTGTCTACACTTCTTTGCACTCTAACTGCAATTGCCCGAAAAGAAAGTCCAGCTTCCCGAAGTCCCACTATACGGCCCCTATCAAACTCACTAAGTTGACGAAATCGTACAGGTCTCCGTACTCTAGGCATCGTAACCGATCGTAAAGGATGTCAAGAACCAAAATCCGCCAACGTTGATTCTTTACTGCGGCTGAAATATTCATTTTTAGAGCGTTAGTGAATTAAAAAAAAAACAGTATAAAAACAGGAATGTCCAACTGATAAGGCTGAAAATTGTTTCACTTGTTATTTACAGTAAGATAAATATATTCACCAACTTTTATTAAAATAAAACCATTTAAACTGGGTGTTCGGATTTATATGTCACTTAGTATATTTTAAACGCTGATGTTGGAAGATAGCAATTACACCGATCAACAGCCAAAAAATATCCTAAATAAAATCAACAAAATATTACTATTTTTAATGTGCTAAAACCGGAGTGAAACCTATTTTTTCAATATTAGTTCAAGTTTTAGAGATACGGTAATTATATGTGTTCCTGCTGTGACAGTGTTAATATACTGTAATTCACAAGAATGCACGTGCTACATTTTTATATTCGGCAAGGAAAGATGATGTAATCGGCATGATTGTGTTAAGTTATACATACGTGTACATTATATTGTTTTATATTAGCCATTTTTTCCTCAGTTGGCTGACAGCGTTCATGCAAGATGTCTCGAAAGTGTGTAAACAATCCAGATCAGTTTTGTTACGTGTGTGGTGATGTGACTTAGCGTCTCAGAGACGGTCTATTACTCCACTAATAACAAAGGCATATCAGTTTTATTTCGGTTGTAAACTAGGTGATCAAGACAAACAGTGGGCACCCCACATCTGCTGTAATACATGTGCTTCAAGTCTGAGGAGCTGATTAAATGGCAAAAAACGGTATATGCGCTTTGCTGTCCCAATGGTTTGGAGAGAGCCTACAAATCATATTAATGATTGTTACTTTTGCATGGTACCTTGTGTTGGACAAGCCACAGGTATGTCCAAGAAAAAAAAATCGGTTATTAACTACCCAAACATACCATCTGCGATGAGACCTGTGCCTCACAGTGAAGAAAATCCTATTCCAAAACCCCCAGAACAATAAACTTGCGAATCAGAAAACAAATCAGATCATGGCGATCGAGAAGATATGCCATCAACGTCAACAGATCCTGATTTTATACCGAGCACGTCATGCCACCAACCGCACAAAATAACACAGTCAGAATTAAATGATCTTGTATGAGATTTAGAACTTCCAAAATGTAAGGCAGAGTTATTTGGATCAAGACTGCAGCAGTGGAACTTGTTAGAAGACGATGTTTCGGTATGGGTTTTTCGTAAACGCGACAAAGACTTAGAACCATTTTTCAATATGGAGAATAACTTGGTTTTCTGCAGTAACATTAACGGCTTACTGGCGGCTTTAAATATAAACTATAACCCGGAAGAATGGAGATTGTTTATAGACAGTTCAACATTGAGTTTAAAGGCAGTGTTATTGCATATTGGAAATATTTTACCATCTCTTTCTGTAGGGTATGCAGTTCACATGAAAGAATCATATGACAATATGAAGTACCTATTGACATGCATAAAATACGATGAGCACCAATGGCATATTTGTGGCGATTTGAAAGTTGTTGCACTTTTACTTGGGCTGCAGCTACGCTACACAAAGTTTTGCTGTTTTTTGTGTGAATGGGACAGTCGGGCAAAGGCACTTCATTACACCAGACAAAACTGGCCTGTTCGTCAATTCCTAGAGCCAGGTCAAAAAATGTACAGCATATGCCATTAGTAGATTCGAAAAAAATTTTATTACCACCACTGCATATCAAGTTGGGCCTAATGAAAAACTTTGTCAAGGCATTAGATAGAGATGGGTCAGCTTTTCAATACCTGCGTCAGAAATTTCCAAGACTAAGTGAGGCAAAGGTTAAAGAAGGTATTTTTGTTGGGCCACATATTCGAAATATTTTGAAAGATACACAGTATGAAAACACTTTAACAGGTATTGAAAAAACTGCTTGGAATGATTTCCGTCTGGTGGTCACTAATTTCTTGGGAAATAGAAAAGCTGACAACTATAAAACCCTTGTCAAAAATATGCTGTCATCGTATCAAAAGATGGGCTGTAATATGTCTCTTAAGATACATTTCCTACACTCACACCTGGACTTTTTTCCTGACAATTGCGGAGCCGTAAGTGATGAGCACGGCGAACGTTTTCATCAGGATATTTCAACAATGGAAAAAAGGTACCAGGGAAAGTGGAATCCTTCCATGCTTGCAGACTACTGGGACTCTTGGTAGAGATGCTCCAGAAACGATCCATAAAAGAACAGCAAAAAGACAGCGCATATAGTGATTCTTATAAGTATATGAATCTTGTTACTTTTTTAATATATCCTTGAAAATAAAAAGTTTTTTTTCTAAACCGCAACTAATTTTTTTATTTCATTGTCATTTTTGGATTCAGCGCCCCAAAATTAACAAAGAAGTGCACTTTTCCCACAAGATACAATTAAAAAAATAAAATTTGTTGTCCAGTGTTATTTAAGAAAAATTCTATGGTCCGACAAATCAAAATTTGATATAGACGGCATAACAAACCACCATAACGCTCACTATTGGCGTGAACGTGCAGTGGGAAATCCTCATATGAAGAGACCAAAAGGATCTCAAAGGCGATTTTGTCTGAATGTCTGGATGGGCATTATAAATAACTGTTTGGTAGGACCACATTTCCTACCCGACAACTTAAATGGAGAAGCCTACGAAAATTTCTTATGAAATAGTCTATTTGAATTACTTGAAGACGGGCCGCTACACACAAGATACAGAATGATTTTTCAGCATGACGGGTGCCCAGCACATTTCAGACTAAGTGTTAGAAATTGTTTAAATGAGCAGTTTCCGAATCGATGGATCGGTAGAGGCGGACCAATCCCATGGCCAGCACGCAATCCCGATCTCGCACCTATGGACTTTTTTGTGTGGGGTCGCATGAAAACTTTAGTATACTCTGATCAAAATCCTGTACCCGCAATAGAAGACCTCAGAAACAGGATAATACATGCAGAACAAGAAATTAAAGCCTTTCTTAGGAATTAGGCGGTAGTAAAATCAGCTGTCATAAGAAGAGCATGTCTGTGCATTAGAAATAAAGGGCGCCATATTGAAAATGTATTATAAAAATAAAAAAATGTAGTTTCAAACAAATTATCCTGTATTAAGGTAAGATTTTGTAAGTGTAGTATTTTTATTGCTTTTTCCTGCCTCCTCTTATAATAGTCATATTTTTGCCGATTCTTAATCGATTTGTGATTTTTATACCTCATTTGAAAGGTAATGAAACGTAGATGTTTTCTAATTATTTTGTACGAAAAATTTGTATTCGACTTTTTCTAGTAAACTGAAGCTTTTGAGATGAATGAAGATTTTTTTAAGAAAAATCGAACTATTTTGATGCTTATTGCATGAGATAACGTCAATAATGTACATTTGAGTATCAATTTTCGTATTTTAGAATATTTTTACTGTAAAACAAAAAAAAAATCAAATGAAACACACAATTTTCAAGTTTTATGACTTGGTTAACGTATAAAGGACGTTAATTTTATAAATCTTAAAAATTAGTATAATTCGAAAACGGATAATTTTCGGACAATAGTTCTTATAGTAAAATCGACTCCCCCCACCGACTCCGGATCTACTATTATAACCCCTTGATCTTTCTGGTACTGTAACATTTTCAATTTCTTCCAGTCCTATACTGATTTATACTGCATTTGAGTCACTAAACGCTTTCAAATTTAAAAAATAAACTACAACTAACCTCCAATATTTCAAGGCGTCGACTAGTTCAAATTCAGTGTCACCACCCGTGCACACGTAATGATCCAAATAATTCCAGTTGTAATGTTCCAGTTTCTCGGTTGTAAACGTTGCAAAAGATTCTTCGTAGTTGTCATGACATGGGGCGTAAAATCTGTAGCGATATTGATAGTTGAAGCCCGGATATGGATGCCTGGAAACAAAATATACGAAAATGGCCTAAGATCGACATATGAACTATATGTGTAATGTGCAATCTAAATAGGATATATAGAATTTCAGAAAAAAAATGTATAGGTGGAATTTATTTATCAGAAATATATTCTTCTTGAGATTGAATAAAAAGGTTTTTCACCGGTAGAGATACAACGATTTTGCTGGGCAATTTTTTTATTAACCGTCAAAGTTAAAAAGCTAACTTTTTGCTAATAATAAAAAAATATGAAGTTTGGTAAAACTGCCCCAGAGGAAAGTCGCAAAGCATGAAAGTATCATCAAATTGGAAAATTTGCTTTGTTTCTAAAAAATCACCATTTTTCAAATTTATTTTTCACAAAATAGTGTACAAAAGAAAATACGAAATAATATCCATAACAGAAAAAACTTTGTTGTGTTTATCAGCAATCGAAAATGCCCTATATTTTCAGAAAATGTATAATCAATGCTAAATTTTTTGACGTTGGTAGTCCTTTTGTAGTAGTAGTAGAAAGATTTATTTAGCACATTTGGCTACATAAACAAAATAACTGTAAACATCTTAGAATTAGTAAATTCAAGCTAAATGATGTATGATGTAAATGCTGGGCAACCTATAATTGTAGATTAAACAAGTGATTCCTCAATTTTACTTTAAATTTTGTCAGTTTTCTGGTCTTTTATCTCTGTGTATAATTTATTATATTCAATCAACCCTTGATGGAATACAGATTTATAGCTGATTTGTACTTTTTGGTAATTAAATGGAAGCCATCTTTATTTCTGGTATTCTGTAAATGATGGTCGACATTTGATGATGTTAAATTGGTTAGACTTGATGGAAATATATTATTTTTTACTTTATAAATGAATATCATTACAAGATATTTGATAAAAATTTTTACATTGAGCCATTTTAATTTGCTAAGCATTTGTCTAATTGGAGTATATTTATCTTTATTCAGTATTATTCTCATGCACTTATTTTGTAAAATTTGCAGTCTTTCAAAAATGTAATTATTTGCTTAATATAGAATAGTCGAACAGTACAAGAAATATGGAAGAATGATGATATTATAGATAATTTTTCTGCTATATGAACTCAGACATCCAGAAACTCTTGATAAATATCTCACTTTACTACTAATCTTATTTATAACTTTATAATATCAAAAATTAATCGAGAGTCAAGAAAACCCCCAGGTATTTAAAATTTTCTATGAATTCAATATCTTCACCATCAATATTCAGTTGAACATTTGTACATTGTTTTTTTCCGATTAACATAGATTTCGTTTTACTTGTATTTAATTTAGTCTGTTAGATGCTAACCATTTTGAGACAAGTTTCAAGTCTTCATTTATATAAGAGATACCAATCTAAATATTTTTAGTATTTATATAAATCAATGTCAGTTCAAATTGTCAAGTTACCTACCTAATTGTGATAAATATTGAACAATGACTTATTAAATTCTCCGGATCTAAGTTCTTTAGATCACCTTCTTTGAGAGCATTTGAAAAATAAAGTTTTTATTATTGCATGGAGGTAAATGAACACCACTTTCAGCACCTATCACCACATTGACCTACCTCTTTAAAGCAAATTAATTTTTACTTCAACTTCAATGTGCGTGTAACCTGTTAGATGTTTTTTGTTTTTTTAATACTCGGAGAGTTATTTTTAATTTTCAAGTAAAGTCTTGTTACTATGGGAACTATATTATTATTTTTACGATATAGAATTAATTTCTAGAATTTTATTATAAACTCAAATAGCTTCACAATGATTGAAGATAGGTATAAATTTTATTATACAAAACTTACTAAAAACTTCCTAAAAAATCTAAAGTTAAAAAGAAATGGGGTGTCCAATTAGAAATCTAAGTATCTTATTTTTGGATCACCCTGTATTGTACGGCTCACAAATGGGGGTGTGACCTTTTCGAGGGCCACCTGTATGGATCGCCAAATTGAAATCTGTTAATTTTTCCCTCTGGAGATTTAGTTTTTATCTGAATTTTCGGCGACACATCTGTACCTTCCAAATTTCTACACAGTTTTACAAAATGGTCTTAGCGATTATTTCAATGTTAACAAAAAAGTTTGATATAATCACCTTGGTCTGTATCTCGTTACAGAAATAGTGTTCCCGGATAACGAAATTTTATGGAATAATCTGCCGATGGATAAAAAATAGCTTTCGTCTTCCTCTGTTGGACTTTTTCTTACAACGCTGCTTCTCATTTTCGGATTTGGGGCAGTCATAATGTTGTTTAGTTCGAGATTATTGTCTGCCATCAATATGAGCTGGAACCCTTGGGCCAGCCGTTGAGATATCAATTCCCTAAACACCTGAAACGATTTTAAGTAAGGTTATCTAGTTCTACCGGGTGTTTAACCATCGGGATCTCGAAAACGGTTCCTAGGTAAGCCTTGAAATTATCAGACTTCATTTATTTCGTATAAAAGAAATAAATCGAGCATTGAACAATGTGCAGAGAAAAGTCAGGCTTTGCCTAGAAAATAACGCAAAATATTTTGAACGTCAGCTATGATTTACGTCTGCTTATTTATGATTATTATTGTTATTACCATCAAAAAATTTTCGTTTTGTGTTCAGGTATCACCATACCTTTTTATTTCCTTATAATTTTCATCCAACATCAAATCCATGGCCAACTAAGGAAACACATCACTAAATTTAGGGCTGGTATGAGAAACAAATGATTATCTGATAATTTCAAGGCCTATCTAGACAATTCTGCTTTTCTTGAAACAGCTAAGGTTTGGCAATATGGCGTTCATAAGAAAAAATAGAGATGATGCTGGGAGACAAGTGACGAAACGTCATATTGAAATTCTAATTATACCATCTTGCAGAGGAAAAAATTGGAAATGCTGTCAAAAGGTTAAAATACACATTTCAAATTTTATGAAGTATCATGCCTCCAAAGGTCCGATATGAGACACGACCCGTCCTCCATTATCATGAGAATGACCAATTTTGGGCCAACATTTCTAAAATTGAGTCCAAAGGCCTATTCAAGCAATTTTAAGCCACAAATACAAAATTCGACTCATATAGAGGGATAGATTGATACTTCTTCTTTACTAAACAAATTTTGTGCGTTTTGGAAGGCATTTGTATTGTCAGCCCAATAAAACAGTGCAAAATTTTGCCGACGTTTTGGAAAAGTACACTAGAGCCTTGAAGAAGGCAATATACTAAATAACATCGAAAATGCAACACCGACTAGGAGTGCTCTAATTTTGAGCACAAGTTTTAGGCCTATTGATAAAGAGAAATAATTCTGGGTGTTACATTTTATATGTCACTTAGTATACATTTTTCCGAAACTTTATAACAGGAAAATGTGTTTCTCTAGACCATTGATTCCCAAAGTGGTCTATATCGACCCCTAGGGGTCTATGACAACCTGCAAGGGGTCTACGTCAGCGAACAAAAATTTGGGGGTCCATGAAATGAATATGGGGGTCCACAATACATACACTGATAGTACCTATTTACTTTCATCATACTATCTTATAATATCAAAACATATACATTATTTATAAAAGTACCTATGAAGTAAAAAATTTATTATAAACATATGTTTATAAAATTGTGTAAGTTGTAGGATGTTGGTATTCGCTTTGTGGTCGCAATACATTTTGAACTTGTAAAAACCTGAGAGTCACAGTCTCAGAGCTTCGCTACCTTGCACTGACTTGTTCAATTCGTCACTCTATAAATACGAATGTGGGACAAATACGTTTATTCGTTTCCTGAGTCTTCAAAAGGAAAGTGCTAAGAAAATATTTTAAAAAATATAAACAGATAGTATATCACACAAATTATAGTGAGTCAGTGTTATTTTGTTTGAGAGTGCTGGAGAAAAGTAAGTACATAATTTTTTATTAAATTTTAGTTTTGTACTCGTAGTTAGCAAAGATAGATAAATTACGCCAATCATGACTTTAGCTATTAGTAGTTGAATATTGAATCATGCAAAATTACACGAGTACTCCTCAATAGTTTCTTTTTGAAAGTTTTAGCAATCGGTAATATAATTACAATGCAATCTCCGTAATTCGAGCTAATTGTTGCAAGAAGATGTTCGAATTATGGAATGTTTTTGGAAAAATCAAAAAATATTTTTAATATACAGCTGCTGTCTTAATTTTGCCCACAGATGACTGATGCCATGTCCGAATCTAAAAAGAAATGTAGACAGTACAGTGTTGATTATTTGAAATTTGGCTTCATTCCATCATTGCCGGACAAACAATCGCCTGTGTGCCTTTTATGCAACAAAGTTTTGGGCAATGACGCTATGAAACCATCTAAACTGCAAGATCATCTGAGAAGATGCCACCCTGATAAAACATAGAAAGATTTGAAATAGTTTCAAACACTCAAAGATAAATTTCAGAAGAGACCTACACTGGACAGAATGTTCGCTTCGACGTCACAAAGAAATAATGATGGTTTGCGGGCGTCTTACAATATCTCGTTACTTATAGCAAAATCCGGAAAACCGCATACTATCGGAGAGAACTTAATTTTGCCAGCCGTTGAAGAGGTTTTAAAAACTGTTTTACACAAACCTGCATCTGATATCATTAAAAGAATTCCCTTAAGCAACAATACTCTTGAAAGACATATTGATGAAATGAGTTCTGATATTGAAAGCTTCTTATGTAATTATTTGCAAACGACCCATTTCTCTATACAACTGGACGAGTCAACTTTACCTGATAATGCAGCATTATTATTGGCATATGTTCGTTTTATTATGAATCAAGAAATCTACGAAGAACTGCTCTTCGCAAGAACTTTGATAACCGACACTAAAAGTGAATCAATATTTCATATTTTGAAGGATTACTTCATCGAAAAAGCAATTCCTTTATCAAATATAATATCAGTAGCTACAGATGGAGCACCTGCCATGGTTGGACGTTATCGTGGATTTATAAGCTATTTAAAACAAAATGTGTCAGGGGTGTTAGCAATACATTGCGTCATCCATCGACAACATTTAGTTGCTAAAAATTTGAGTGTAAGATTGCATGAATCACTTCATTTAGTCATTGATGCAGTAAACCGAATCCGACGTAACGCGTTGAATACGCGGTTATTTGCGCAGTTGTGTGAAGAAAATGACGAACACTTTCATCAATTACTCCTTCACACTGAAGTACGCTGGCTGTCGAAAGGCTTATGTTTGACAAGATTTTTTGCACTTTTTGAGACTATTTTAGAATTTCTGGATACTAAAGATAAAATTTTAAAAGAAAATTTAATGAAAAGGAAAACAGACATCGCCTATTTAACAGATTTGTTTACAAAATTTAATTTGGTTAATTTGCAATTAAAGGCGACAGTTTAAATTAAAACAAAGCCCATCTTATCAGCGTTTCTTGCCAGAGTTAAACTAATGAAGCAAAATATTGGACGGGGCGAATTTTCTCAGTTCCCCAATTTGTCACAGACAAGCTGCCAGGAAGACGACGTTTCAACTTACGTTCAACATTTAAATGCCCTCTATTCAGATTTTGAATCTAGGTTTGAAGATATTTTGACTATGGTAATACCACCGTGGATAATTAATCCATATGGTGACATAGAAGAAACGAATGTCATAATACAAGACGAACTGACTGAACTAAGTACAAACGAAGAACTTAAGGTTCAGTTTAAAAACGGATACCAGCAATTCTGGCTGCAAAACAACATACCCGTTACTTATCCCGTATTATGGAATATAGCGAGGAAATTTTCAATTTCCTTTCCATCGTCATACCTAGTGGAAAAGGGGTTCAACGCTGTTACCAATCTCCTAACGAAAAAAAGAAACAGACTGGACATCATTAGCCGAGGAGATTTAAGATTAACCCTTACAAAATTGACGCCCAAGTGTTGATAATTTATTATTAAAGCATCAGGTTCATCCTTCTCACTAAAAATATTGACTTATTGCTTATGTTATTTTATTTATAGTTTATTTTATGTTTATTGGTGTCTGACCAATAAATGCCCGCATTGTGAATAAGTGCCCGCATTGATTTTTTTAAAGAACCCCCCTTTATAGAAAATATTTTTTTTTAAATTGTTCTGAAAATTCAAGGATAGGTACACACTAAAATGCGTTAATTTTTTGCCTATTTTTAGATAACTTAAACGTATAAGAAGCGGAATTTAATCAAACTAACAGTGAAATTATTGTAGAACATACGCTTATGTTATAATTAATAAACGAAATCGCTTATTGTACTATTTTAAGTAAAAAACTTTTTTTTAATTATTTTTGACTTTTTTATTTTATCCCTCTTATTTTTTTTTCAATGCGGGCACTTATTCCCAATGCGGGCACTTATTGGTCAGACACCTGTTTATTTAATGTTACGTATATTTTACATAACAGATACAACATTTTATTTTGAGTAGTTTTAATTTAACTTCAATTAATAAATGTATAAATTAACATGTGTTTTTACTTTAAGTTTTTAACACTAAACTTCACTACAGTTAGAAATTTACAGGAAATCAATATCAGGTAAGTAGGGGGTCTACCCAACACGGAAAAACATGGCAAGGGGTTTGGGGAACTCTGCTCTAGACAGCAAATTAACCGAGTATTCATGTGCTAGTGTATTTTAAAATCACGTTACCTCGTCAGTGGACAGAGGCCGTTTGTAACACGACCTCTGCTGAGCGAAATCAGCGTTAACAGTGTCAGGCAGCAAACTGTACAGCGACACCACGTAGTCTATATTCAGAGCCCTCTTGTCGGGAAAATAGTCCGTTGTGATTGGTAGACACGCTGGTATAGTAAGAGACTTCCAATCCACACCTTGCACATGAAACATATGTTAAGATAATATATTCTGGCGTTGAAAAACTTCTCCTAGATCTTCCAGGTTGTATTCAACTTGAAAGTTTCATTAAAAAAGCTTATAATAGTGTGATGCATGATCGTTAATAGAATTAACCATTCACCAGCTTTATTGGATGGCATTAGTAAGCCTAGCGTGCACATGCTTTTCATTGAGCGGATATTTACGTCTAATTCATACAGTAAGAATTATCGGTAATTATTTCTCATGCTTGGAAGCAGGTTTTGATCGCGATATTTTTTTATTAAATCCATGATGATGTCTGCTTACCGAAAACAGTTTTTACATAGTTACTACTACGAAAACTACGCATAGAACAAAGTATTTTTTAATAATACTTCCAAATAAAGTGCAAATGTCTGCTATAATGTTTGGCAAAAATAATTCACGGACTATTCAGATTCTACATAAAGCAATACACGTACTACAAACAAAAATTGTTGCTGATGTTTTAAACACCAAAAGCGTCTTCGTAAATTATTAGGTAAACTAAACTTTAACCACATTACGATGTCATGACCTATGAGAGAACTTTAAAAGAATATATCGTCGGACATCTGACAATACCTGCTATCTGATATTTTTGCCCAACAGCGCACATTGTGATACAGTCCGCTAAAGAAAAATTTTGTTTTTGAATTATTCAGCCAAAACAATACCTACCACTGGCAACAAGTCTGTCAATGAGCGGCAATTCCAGCTAACTGACAATTACGCGTGCTATTTTTCTTAACTTTGCAATGAAACACGACGTTGTGATTTTACAGAAATATCTCACCAAAGGACACACCCAAATGGAATGTGACTCTGTACACAAAGAAAACTGAGAAATGGGACTGTCGCATGTTTTACGACAATTTGCCATATGCCAAGGAAAGAAGCTGAATCATTTAAAGTGTGACTGAGAATGCTATTATCTTTTTGATTTGTAAAAGCATTAAACTTTTAATTTGACATAATGAATAACAGTTTTTCTAACACGAATCTCACTAAATCCATCTATACATCATAGTACAATACCTGTTACCTGCAAAGAAAGTTAGCAGAAATTAAATATGTGTTAAACGTCATTTATTTTTTGTTACCAAAGTTGTAGAGTCTTAAGGCCGGTAGTATAAAATTGATAAGGTTTTTTTCGTCTCCAGTGAAATTACGGTTCCTGCATTTAGCAAGTATTGTCAGATGTCCGACGATATGTATACAGGGTGGCGCAACTAAAAGGTCGCACCCCCATTTCTGCCTCCTGATATATTTTGGGTAAAACGCTGGGACGCGTCAATTTTGACTTCTATGGGGACGTCTTTTCATCTGTAGCCGTACAATACAGGGTGATCCAAAAATAAGATATTGCGTTACACTTTAGATGTTTATATAGAAACCCCATTTTGTCAATTTTTAGATTTCCCATGATGTATTTAATAACTTTTGTGTAATAAAGTGTATACCTAACTTCAATCATTGTGGGGATGCGACCTTTTCGTTGGGCCACACTGTATATTTAATATCCGATTATGTCTATTCTAAACATTTTCTAAAGACGTGGAACTGATTTACTTGCAATCTGCATATCCATAAAGTATCGCAGGAATAGGTCGTAACATCATCAAAAACAACTGCACAAAAAAGCTAGTCCAAAAGAGCAAAATTGACGTTTTCGTTCCAAACGACATATACAATATGTTTTAAAAGTATTACTTTTGATATATCTATTAAATTGATAACGGCTTGCTTAGTATTTCCAGCTGAAACTAGAATATTGAAGAAGTTGATCCGAACTGATTTTTGTATCAGAATCAAAAGACAGTTTTGCTCCGCATCACTAAGGCCCAGTTTTTCGATCGCAGGTTAACTTTTATATTGGGTAACTGTTACTCTCGGTTGTCTGTAAATTGGTTTTTGAAGATTGGTTTAGTAACCCATGATTGTTGACGCTGCCTTTACGTCTGAACTACCGAATTCTGTACGATTCGTGATGTTCCGTTTTTTCAGAGTTCCACTGATGCCAAAATGCCGAGCGCGCTGACGATACGACACTTTTGGGTTCTGGGCAACGCTGTCTCTGACCGCTTCAACCAATTCGTTGGAAAGTCTTGGTCGTTGATGAACGGTATGTTGACGATCTCCCACTGTCTCGTACTTGAGAAAATTCGGAACCAAACGACGGATAGTCTTGCCAGACCTGTTTGCCACGATATTTTCGACGATATGCACGTTGCGTTAACACAGCTGGACGACGATTTTCAATGGACATTGTGACTATTTCGGTGCAAAGCGATTCATGACTAAAATTGCAGTAAATTGAATAACCAAATCACTCGGTTGGTAAATATTAAAGCCAATCGATGTTTCAATACCGACATAAAAGATGGCGCACCCGGTATAACTTTTATGACCTCACGCGGAATATTACACGACTTAGTAACAAAAGAGGAACGTCATCTTCAACTTCAAATGTTTGAAAGTCAACCTCAGGTTAGCGGTAAAGTTACAGTTGACCTGCGACTAAAAAACGAGGCCTTTGCACCGACCTGCGCCCATTCCCAGATCTAACATTACATAAACGTCAACCAACATATAGAAGTAACATAACAAGGTGAGCACGACACTAGGAAAGAGATGAGCAATGTACTAGTGCACCTACAAGTGGAAAAGATGTAAGAGAGAGACAAAAAAGGAGGATCAACTAGTTTGTTACTGAATATAAGTAGAATGTGTTCAAACCTATGAGAATGTCATTGACTGCAGGCGTAGTCGATGGTGTCCCGTTGCCGATTTGCCATAAAATGCCATATGGAACAAAAATCAGGGCCACATTAGTTATGTCATTCCTGCTGGTGCTAGATATTGATGGTGGGCGACAATGATAGAAGACAACACTGATATCGCTTAGGCTATATCAACATGCACTTGATTTTAGTTTACCTCCATGTCAGTTGACACCAACAAATTCAGGCTAGATAGAAGGAGCAAGTCTACGATTTTTCTCTAAAATCTCAACCTCCAAAGACCATTTATCGAAGAAAGAAAGTGAACCCAAACATATTCACGCATTCTTCACGGACGCCGGCGGTCAGCGAGGCTGCATGCACCGCCGTGTCGTCTCCCCCTCTACCTTCTTGGTTTCGCAAATTTTTGAAATATATCACGCGTTGATTATGTTTTGGTTCGATGTGTTTCTTGGATAAAGAGACTACAGTCGAGATGAAAGTAAATTCTTTGTCAGTTATAACATAAAATTCGTATTTTTAGTGTCGTTTTGTTAAAGTGTTTGCAGAAACATGTGGTCGTAGCTGATTTTCGGATATTGATAACAGACGCTTTACACGATCCAATAAATCGAACAATTTTTTAACCTTGAAGAAATTGGAGCGTGTAAACATAAAAATTGGAGTTAATTTCTTCACATCAATAAATTCATGAAAAACTGCCAGATTAGAGTTGACTAATTTTTTTTTTTTTGGGAATTTGTTTTTTGTTGAAGATTTATTTAGCATTAATGCTACAAGGTCAATTTTGTATAATTGTTTACACATTTTTTTAATCCATTTTCTTTAATTTCACATTCTTGTCTATTAAAATTACATCTCTATGCATTAAGTACAAAGTGATTTTTTAATTTCACCTTAAACAGTTTTAAATCCGAACACTGTTTAATATCATTATTCAATTTATTTCATTCAAATACTCCCTTTTGAAATACAGATTTGCTAGTTTTGCTACTATTTCAATTTTTGCAGGTGAAAATCTATTCAGTCTCTAGTTTTGCAGTTATGATAATGATTATTTAATTTTATGAAGTTTTCTAAATATGCTGGTAATAGTAAGTAATTTGAATATGAAAATGAGAACTAAATAACATATGACATTTTTTAAATTCCACCACTGTAGTTCTTCTAGCATAGACGTAATCTTAGCATACTTGTTTTTACTTAAAATTCTCATAGCTTTATTTTGTAGAATTTGTAGTTTTGAAAATATGTTTTGATTTGCTGAAAACAAGATGGTTGAACAGTATAAAAAACGGGGAAGAATTATAGTGTTATACACAATTTTTTTGGGACACATACTAAGATTATGGGAAACTCTATAGAAGTAACTTATCTTTTTTGATATTTTTGAAATAATGTATTCATAATGCTTGTGAAACAGCAGTTATCCACATATATATATCCACATATTTAAATGATTCGACTACTTCAATTTTTTTATCATTAATCATGAACCTAAAATTTAACCAATTCATATATTTTTTAATATCACTGTTCAGCAGTTCCCAAGTAGTGTCTAAATGTTTAAGTGATATATATATATATATATATATATATATATATCAATGTATCGACCGAAAATATTTGAATTTTGCGCAGTGTTCTTAACTGTTAGAGATATCATTTATATAAATAATAAATAGTAATGGCCCTAATTTACTCCCCTGTGGCACCCATACTTATATATACTAAGTGACATATAAATCCGAACACCCAGTTTAAATGGTTTTATTTTAATAAGTTGGTGAATGTATTTATCTTACTGTAAATAACAAGTGACAAAATGTTCAGCCTTATCAGTTGGACATTCCGGTTTTTATACTGCTTTTTTTTAATTCACTAACGCTCTAAAGATGAATATTTCAGCCGCAGTAAAGAATCAACGTTGGCAGATTTTGGTTCTTGACATCCTTTACGATCGGTTACGATGCCTAGAGTACGGAGACCTGTACGATTTCATCAACTTAGTGAGTTTGATAGGGGCCGTAGCAAGGGGCACTGGACGCCGCCGTAGAACAACAGACCGTGAAGATCGCCGCCTAAGATTATTGGCCTTAAGGGACAGTTTCTCCACTACCAGGTCCATTGCAAATGAATGGTTTGCAGAACACGGAAGACCTATTTGCATGCGAAGTGTTTACCGACGAATGAGAAGTTTTCATACCGGCCACACTGGGTCCTCCCTTTAACTCGAGAACACCGACGTAATCGCCTTGAGTGGTGCAGACAACGGTCACTCTGGGATCAGGAATGGAACAGTATTGTCTTTAGTGACGAGTCTCGATTTTGTTTAGGCATGCACGATGGTCGTGCCAGGGTTAGAAGGCGACTTGGTGAAAGGAGGAATCGACAGTTTTTTGTTGAAAGACATGTTCATCACACTGTTGGAGTTATGGTTTGGGGTGCTATAGCTTATGGTTCCAGGTCACCTTTAATCTGCATCAGAGCTAACATGAACGCGCAGCGTTATATCCACGAAGTTCTAGAACCCCATCTTTTACCCTATCTTGACACCCTGGCAGATCCAACTTTCCAACAAGATAATGCCCGACCACATGTTGCAAGAGTCACAATAGACTTCTTTCAACATAATGATGTCACATTGTTACCATGGCCAACAAGATCTCCCGACTTATCCCCAATTGAGCACGTGTGGAACATGATGGATAGGAGATTGCTCAATTTGCAACGCCCTCCTCAGACTCTAGAAGCACTTCGAGAGGAGTTGGAGGTTGCCTGGAATGAGATGCCACAGGAGGACATTGACCACCTGATCAGAAGCATGCCTAGGCGCGTTGGAGAATGCGTAGCACATCAGGGTGCATCCACTCATTATTAAAGGTCAAAGGGCTTTAAAGCAGTGCAATCATTTTGAAATTTTTATCATTTACTTATTATGCTTCATTAAGTACTTATACAAATAAAACCATTTAAACTGGGTGTTCGGATTTATATGTCACTTAGTATATTTGACATAATACTTCGAACTTTGGTTTTTTTACTTTTATTTACTTGAATAATTTTATAAAATGTTTAGTACTGATCCTTTAAAACCATAGTGATGCAATTTCATTAATAATTTTTCCCTATCTATAGTCGCAAATGCCCATTTGAAGTCTAAAAATACTGTTAAAATACATTCTTTCACATCTATACGTCTTCTCCAGTCTTCCACCATCATTTGGATTGCTGTTTCTGTAGAATATTTATTTTCGAACAGCTTTACGACATCTGGCAAGACATTAATCGGCGGCACATTATTCTAGTTACTTTTGGTTATTTTTGCTAGCTATCAACCTTCATTATTTGAGATAAAAATTATAATCCTAAGGCACGATTTTTCATTGCAAGTTATCGTTCAAGTTGGGTAAGTATTACTTGAAAGTTAACTATAAGTTGCCATGAAATTCGTTTTCAAGTTCTGGTTAACTAACTTCTAACTAATCGTTCATTGTGTAAATCGGCTATTATGAAGGTAAATCTTACCAACGGCAAATATCATGTCGATACAACGTTGTCACTTTGGTTGTCAAATGAATCAAAAGTATGCTCTAAAAATACGCAATTCTGGCGATAAACAATGTAATGTAAACATCTAGGCTCCTTCTAATCTATTCGAATTTGATGGTTGAAAAAAATATTTTTTATAACCATGATACTGAAAGATGATGATCGAGAAAACACAAAAATAATCTATCTGTCAGAACAAGGCATTTAAGACAAAAGTCTGGATGAGTTTCTATGTATCTATGGTTTTAGGACATTTTCAGAAAATTGGATATTCTGGAAATTGTCTAAGCTTGAATAGATGCAACTCAAAACTGGAAAATTTTCGAAATTTTTATACTTCGTAAATTGGGAAATTTTTTAAACTAGAAAAATTTTTAAACTCCTATAGAATCAAAAACCCCTGGGTGCTCGACAAATAGTTCAACATGGAACATTATCTATTCAGAGTTATTTATTGTATGTTATCGCAAAAATTTAGAGTAACTGAAATCAAGCTTCAATGATAATGCACATATATAGTGTTAAGTGCTAGTGCTAGCACATTTGCATTTGAAGGCAGAAAAAATCAGATTGATATACTGAATATCTTGGTAGTTCTTCATATTTTCAATTGTCCAATTAAGAATTCGATAAACGAATAACACATAATACGAGGTCTGTAAATTAAGTGGTATGTCTGGCAACGTGGCGTCCGACATGGCAACACTGGAGGCATCAGACTTGGAGAGGCGACAGGAGAACGTGTGATCCGCCTTCAGTACAAGTTTGAACTCGCTCGAGTCATTTGGTTGACAGTAGCATTTTTTTTTAAACAGATTAAATAAGAGTGCGTAGTGTCAAATTACACTGGTCAACAAAATTTTAACTTTGTCGTGCCACACGGACTTTTTTGATATTTTTTACATTAATTGGTGATTGTAAGAAAAAATAAACAGTTAAAAAAAATTTGCTAGACAAGGATTTTATTCTATTGAGTAATTTAAAATATTAAGAAAAAACACAGATCTCGTAAATCAAAAGTTATTTTTTTTATAAATGATTTAATAATCTAAGATTTTCTTGAATATTTAGCTTCTGGTTGGTCCCTTTTAATTGTCCAGCAGTAATCTGCAAACATATTTGGGCTCCATTTGCCCTGGTACTGCTTTTCAATATTAGAAATGTCCTGATGGAACCTCTCACCGTGCTCGTCGCTGACAGCCCCTAAATTGTCAGGAAAAAAATCCAGGTGCGAGTCTAAAAAATGGATCTTAAGTGACATGTTGCAACCCAATGCTTGATATGACAATAACAGCTCGCTAACCAACTCTCTGTAGCTGTCACTCTTGTGGTTACCCAAAAAATTTGCAACAACATTTTTAAAAGCCTTCCATGCAGATGTTTCTAAATCGCTTAATTTTTCTTCAAATCTTGAATCTTTTATTAACTCCCTAATTTGAGGGCCAACAAAAATACCCTCTT